CAATGCCTGATACAGGGTAGGTATCAGAAGCTAATAATAAGTTATCAGAAAATTAGTTCTTATTTTATTGCTACAAGGGTCAGGTGCTATGCCAGGGCAGAAAAATGGAGAGCTGGGGTTTGTACCAGTGTTCCAACCACTTGGCTCGGGTGAACAAGGTGTTTTGCAAACAGTAATGGCATACCACTGCCATTACTCTTCTCTTCATCCAGTCCTAAATCAGCTATCACAGGCCCCTGAGGATACACTCCTGTTTGCAGGAGTGCCTGTAGTTATGTTTGCTTAGCACTCAGTATGCGTTTCTTAGTTGACTCTTGCTTTTATGCTGCTGTGCTGCTCTTTTCTTCCATATGTCTGTCTTAACTTACAAGGCCCTTCTCTTATTCATCTATCTTCACATTTCCTGATCTCCTTGTCTATTACTGGGTCTACGGAATATGCTCAATGCAAGAGTATCCACTGCCAAAGCTTCTCCAAGAAGACAGTCAGGCAGCTCTACACTTGCACTTTTAGGGAAAAGATGCTGACATTCTAGGAGAGGGAGGTCAGTGGCTGTTCTTACCTGATCTGCTGTGGCTGGTGGTGGCAGAGCTGTAGAGAGTGAGAGCATCCGCAGGGAGGCTTCCAACTGCTGGGGAGGCAAAAAGAAGTTGGGCACCACAATGGGCTCTGGGCTGTGATGGTAGTTAAGGAACAAAAATACTCAACATCTTTTCCCTTGCCAGATCAGCATCTCCGCTGACCTCAATTACACCATTCATGTTTTTCCCCCAACTTATTCTGCCTGTCCATGAATCTTCAGCTCATGTAGGTCCTTCTCAGTGGAAGACCTTGTCTACTCCTAACAAATCAGTTTATGCTTTATGGGTCAGTTCAAATCCTGCCTTCTCTATGTGATCCTTCTTTCTTGTATCCTAAAGCATGGTCTGCAACACAAAAGAATGCTTACTTAGTCTGGTATGACTCTCACTTATCTTCCTCAATACTGACCTTGCTGAATGGCAGAGTGTGTGGTTTCTTTCAGTTACCCTAGTACCTGCCTAGGGTCCTGCTGAGGCTGGCAGGGTAGCAAGTGCTGAATACTTGGTGAGGGCCCATGGATTAAGAGCTAACCTGGTGGCTCCTGAGGTGGGAAAGTGACTCCAGGGTAAGCAGCTTAGGCAGGATGGAGGTGCCTGGTGCTGAAGGCGACCTGTCTGCCTGGCTGTTCTCTCATATTCAGAAACAAGGGCTTTGCATAAGTGGGCCAGGGTACAGCTGCTCCACCCAATCTAGATGTAAGCCCATAGAAGGCAGGTACCATAGCTTGTACCTCATCTCTGAACCCTCTTGAGATGCTGTATTAAGAGCATGTTGTTCCACAAATATCTGCTGAATAAAAGCACTGATTCAGTCTAGCTTAACTTTAAGGGAGGTGGAGGGGACTATTGTGATGTTCTGAGTTTGTTCTTGTTTAAGAAGCTCTAACTCAAATTCATTTACCAGATTTTCTATTTTATTGTTATTCTTTTATGTTAGACTTTGAACTCCAAGTGAGCAGAGGTGATTTTTATCATAGCCATATTCCTGTCACTTAGCATAGTGCCTGAGCAGACTAAGTGCTTAGTAAATACCTACTACATGAATGAAATGCATCCATGTCCAGCTTTGGTTCAAGTTCCTGATTTTTCTGTAGAGAGGTGGAGGTAGAGTAGAGTTTCTAAAGGGAAACAGTGCTTTGACCCGAGCCTTCTTGGCAAGAGCAGGTGAGGCAGGGCCTATTTGCTGGTGCTACTCTGACTGTTGGTTGCCTGGCAGACAGTCAGCTGATGCTGTGCAAAGGAGCAGCATTGCTGGGAGGTATCAGAGCTGGATGTGAGCACAGCAGCTCTCTGCAGCCTATCACCTTCTACTTGCTTTGGGTCCTGCACTAACAGAGTCACCCTTCAAATTTAAAGTCCTCTGTCCTCAGTTTATGAAGACATGCACATTTTCTATATTTGAGAAAAGACCAACCCTACCCTCCTTCCACCCTGGTTCCCAACACTGTATTCCCTTCTAGTCACCACTCAGCGGTCACTTCCTACATGGGTAATTTCAGGAAAGTTCACTTTTTGTGCTTTAGTTTCTTCATCTTTAAAACTGAAGTTACAACAGTACCTACAATTTGGAGAATTCAATGAGTTTATACAGGAAAAGCGCTCAGAATGGTGACTGATATAGTGAGCCACCTATTCCTGTTTCCCCAGCTTGTTTAGGGTGGGGGACAGGAAGAGACGGTTCTGGCTACCCACTGGTCTGGACGGTTTCTGCCATTGCAAGGTCTTCCCCTAATGCTAAAGCCAGTGAATACATGTCAGCCTGACTTCTACTAGACCAATCCTCACACGAGAGCTGAATCCAACTCTGAAACTCTGCAGCCTCTGCTCACACACTGCCTCCCTAGCATCATCGATTTCAAGAAGCACCCACCTTCATATCTGATCCCATGCCTGAAGTCCATCTCCTCTCTGATGTTCCATAGCCACAAGTCCAAAATGGAAATCTGCATTTTCCCCAAACCTGTCTCTTTATGTGCTGTTCCCTACCTAATAAATAACACCAATTTAGTAACTTGTGATGGAAATCTTTAAGTCACACTTTGTATTTCTCTCCTCCTCATTCCCTCCCCGTCTGATCCTTACATCTATCCTGTCCTCCTCCTCCTCATACAGTACTTTATGCTTTAGGTCAGACATTATCTATCCCTTGGTGTAAGTTTCCTGACTTGTCTCCTTGCTTCTGGTCTCTCCAATCTAATCTGCCCTCTATAAGGTTCTGGGTGTCTTTTCTCATATGTAATCTGATCATATTATACTCTTGCTTAATAGTTAATATTTACCGAACACAACCCATGTATAGATATTGTCCTAGGTAGTTTATAGCATTTTTTTTGGGATAGGGTTTGAACTCAGGGCCTCATGTTGCTAGGGAGGCACCCTATCACTTGAGCCACTCTGCCAGCCCTTTTTTGTATTGGGTATTTTTGAGATAGGATCTCACAAATTTTTATCTGGGCTGGCCTTGAACTGGAAGCTTCCTGATCTCTGCCTCTCAAGTATCTAGGATTACAGGCATGAGCCACTGGCATGTGTTAATTTTTGCAACTCTATAAGTACTACTATTACCTCCATTTCACAGATGAAAACACTGTTTATTTACTTCTTAGACAAAGTCCCAGCACTTCAAGTCTAAAATGTCTTTAAGCTCCAGACCCTGCCTCACCTCTCACCATTGCACTTATTCATGGGGTCCAGCCACAGTAAATTGCTGACCACAGGTTAGGCCTCTGTACACAGCCTATTCATCCTTTTTTTTCCTTTTCTTTTCTTTGAGACTGGGTTTTGCTATATACCATGGCTTGGAACTTGTGATCCTCCTCCCTCAGCCTCCCAAGTACTGGGATTATAGGCATGCACCACCACACCTAGCATGCCTACTCATCTTTAATGTCTCTGGTTCTCATGTCTGTCTTACTAGGATACCTCCAAGCAGCACTCTCCTCTTGTTCCCCATGTCTCACCACAGTACTTGGAATAATTACCTGTTTACTCAACTAACTCCTTTCATATAACGGGAACTTGAAATCAGGTCTGACTCAAATCTTTCCTTAGTATTCACCACAAGTCCTGGCAATACTAGTTTTCTGAAACAATGAATGCTTGGAAGGGCCTGAACTCAAGCAACCTGAAGGCCTGGGCATATTCTGAGCATTCCTAAACTGTGAGGGTAGCAGGAGCAGAAGCCAGGATGAGTGAGGTTAGGGAAGAACTTCATTAGAGGTAGTTTGCTTTGAGTGCTCAGTCCCCATATACCTCACACAGAGGGCCCACTCTCTTACCCTTAGATTTTTCTCTAGCCTATATCAAGAGTCATGTGTGTGATATCTAAGAATGTTTCTGCCCAGCTGGTTTCCTCAAAAATCTTGTGAAACTGAAAATTCATTTAATCTGTACTCACTGATTCCTATTCTGTGCAATACCAGGTGAAGGGGACACAGAGAAAGAGGAAGTTGCTGTTGTGGGGAGCTGAAAGTTTGGTGGGTAAGGGATTATTGCCTCCATCTTATGACAAGGCACAGGCTCAGAAAGGTGAAACCTGAAGTCACACAGTAATAAGATGCTGGGTCTATAAGTGTCAAAGTCAGCCCCTTGATTTCTAGTAGAGAAAGATCTCTAGTCATCAAAGCAGCCTGTGGAAAACCAGGTGAGCTGATCTGATCAGCTGGTTAGGTTCAGATGTGAAGGCTGTAGATGATCCTAAGTGGTTTCCTTTCCCTATAACATGGAAGTATGTGTTTCCCAGGTGGCAGGGAGGGATGTCAGGTGCCCCTTCTTCCTACCAACAGCACCATTCTGGGGGCTTGAGCAAATCTATGTTAATGGTGCTCACATCTCCCCTTAGCTCAACACTTGGTTTTTTTTTTTTTTTTTTTTGCAGTACTGACGTTTGAAATCAGGGCCTCATACTTGCTAGGCAGGTGCTCTACCACTTGAGCCACTGCACTAGCCCCAAAATTTGCTTTTTTAAAAAAGAAATCTTGGGAAAGTCATCAAGCCTCAGTTTCCTTACATGTGGACTAGATGCCTACCTAAAGATTTGTGATAACTTAATGAAAAATGCCTGTAAAGTACCTAGCACACAACAGATGTTCAATCAATGTTAGTACTCTTCTTCCCTTCCCTTTCTACACTTTTTTTTTGTGGTGCTGGGGATGGAACACAGGGCCTTACACATGCCAGGCAAGTGCTCTACCACTGACATATGTCCTTACCCTTGCCTTCCTCTTCTATTTCAACTGAGATCCTGAGCCATGCCTTCAAGTGGTAAACAACCAAATAGATGAACTGGATAGATCAGGTGGACAAGTTTTTGAATGTGCTACCAATACCTAAACCCAGTTCAAGGTATTACGTGTCAGAAGGCTGCTGCCAATGGTATATTTGTAGCACCTGTCATCCAGGTAAGTCTTCTGTAGGAAGGGTATTCCCATATCCCTCAGAGCACAGGAAGTGGCAACCACTCACACCCACACTTGGCTAGCCTAAAGCCAGCATCCAAAATGCCTGGAGATGGCCTAAGGGGCCACATGTGGGAAACACCAAAGGATACAGAAGGATGCTCTGCCTTGTGGACACTTCGGATCCAGTTGTCACCTGCTTCTGCCTGATGTCAGGTGAGTCCATGGATGGCTCCCTATGGTTTTCCCTTTTACTTTGGGAGGCTAGGTGTAGAGGAAATGTCTCAAAGCTATCAACAGAGTCACTGAACTCACTGGAGGCATCTGCTTTGGGCTCCTTGTCCTGATCTGCCTGTAGTGAGGTCCATCCAACAGAAGCATTGCTCTCTTGGGCTCCTGAGAGCATTAGGTGTGTAGTAAGTTGAGGGTTGGCTGAGACAGGCTCTCTAACCATGGCCTTAGGGGTCCTACCTTCACAAGCAACAAGACCTGGGCTAGGAGAGCCCTTCCTAGGCAGGTGGGGGTTGATAGTCCTTTCAGGGCTGGACTGAAAGCTACTTCTAACCTTGAGGTCCTCTCTGGGGAAAGGCCCTGGAGAAGGAGAGGAGGAGCCTTCCCTCTGCACCTCATCAGGCTGAGGGATGATGACCTCACTTATGTCTGACATGAAACTAGACCAAGGGCTAGTTTTGTCTGTCACGGTGGTGATTTCATTTAGGGTTCTGGGCTCAATGATGTCTTCTTCATAGTCCTCATCACTGTAGTCTGGGCCTGCCTCAGTGTCCTCACTATTCTGCATCCTTATAAGGGGTACTGTATGCCCCAGGGCCTCAGGGAACATTCCTCCTCTGCTTGAAGTGTCTTCAAGAGAAGGTGGAGGCAGGAAATTTGTGTCTTCCTCTACAGCTTTTGTCAATGGCTCATCTCGAATTGTGCTTTGTTCTTCCATGGCCTCTGTGTCCTGCACATCTGGGACGGTAGTGACCTTTCTGCTTCTACTGGCCCGGTGAAAAGTCAAAGCTGCTTGAGAATCCCTGGTGATAGTCTGCAGATCTGAACAGCAACAGATATGACTCTTACCACAGGCAGGGCCACAGACCATGTAAAGTTCCCACACTGGCCTCTAGCTTCACAAGTATCCTTGAGATCAGAATTTGAACAAACCTTAAAGCAGTTAACTCACCAAAGAGTCAGTGAAACTATATTCAAAGCAATACCATTTCTAGGACTTTATTCTAATATCAGAGGACCAAAATCTAATCTACTTATAGTTGTGGGTACATCTGTGGAAATGCTTTCACAGACTATCTGCTCATGCTCAGCAATTCTCAGGAGCTGGGAGTCCTGACGGGCATGTTCATGCTTCCATTTACTTCAGTAATTACCTATATTAAAAAACCAAAATGAAAATTCACTTATTTACCTATTTGATGACAGTTTTTCAGACTATTTTACTTGGAAAATAAAAGCAAGAAAATATCTACCACCCACAAGATACAAGAAAATGGAGGCAGCAGGGCATGTTGGAAAGGTCAGGCTTTGGATCTGGTCAGTCTTGGTTTCAAATCTCTACTGATACTTGTTAACTTTGTGATCATGAGCAAAATGTTCTCTCTGAGCCTATTTATCTTTCAAGTGTGATATAACAACACCCATTTCACAGGTTAAAGAATACATGAAGTAAATGGGCATATACTGTGTGGTGTGGGAATAGGTACTTAATAAATAGAAGCTACTAGTCATTTAAAATTATTTTTGGATGAAATGGGGGTGAATAAATTAATGAACAGGTTGGCATGGACTATGTGCCTATAGTCCCAGCTACTCTGGAAGCTGAGGCAAGGAAAATCACTTGAGTTCTGTAGTTTAGGTGTGTTACCAGTGTGGGTAACACAGTAAGATCCTGTATCAAAAAAACTCCTCCAAAACAAAAAACCCAAATAAAACAAAAAAGACCAGATAAATGATACATGTTTACATGGTTGTTTAAGCCTCTAAAGGGAGTGAGCACATACATGAAAATGGAACATTCCTATTAGGAGACAAACTTAGTTGACCTTGGTTCTCTGGTCTGAAGTACCCTTTCTATCTTGCTTTGTATAAGCCAGCCCCTCCTTCAAGGCCCTTTTCTATTGCAACTCTTCCAGGAAGCCTTTCTAAATGCACCAGCTAGGTGAGATTGCTATATGGCTGTGTTCTATAAGGAATCCCTTAAGATTATGAGCTTCTCAGGGCAAGGACCATATGTCTGATTCATGTGTCCCCTAGAGCCCAGAAAAGGTCCTGGCACATGAATGTGGCATAAATGAAAACCCACACAAAGACTCACTCTCAAGCTTTACTCATATCCACTTGCCTATGGGCTTTTTCAAAAGTGTACTGAGGCATGGTGAAGTAAGGGGTAGCTTTTATTTATTTCTCTTTTGAGCTGTTTTCCCTGAACTAATCATCTCTCCTTTTAAATTCATTCTTCCTTGTGAAACTCAGTTCTCATTCTGTCAGCCCCTTGCTAAAAACATTTCCCCCCCACATTTTTTCAACCCTCCCTGGCCCCTTACCCCATTTTCATTCTTAGGTACTATGGATTGAACACAAGACCTTATCACTAAGCTACATACTCAGCCCTCCATTTTCTTTCCTGGATAAACGTTAAACTTGAGCAGGGGATGTAGCTTAGTGATGGAACATGTACTTTGGATGTGCATAACCCTGGGTTTGATCCCCAGCACTCCGCCCCCCCCCCCCACAAATTAAAATCCCAAGTTTAACTTCAAGGACTTCCAGCTTCAATTCTTCAATTATTTCTTTTGTTTCTTCTTTTACAATAACACTTTAAAGGGATTCCCCTAGGCTAAGGATATAACTCAGTGGTAGAGCATTTGCCTAGCATGCACAAGGCCCTTGGTCCAATCAGTGGCACCATAAGAAAACAAAACAAAAACCAAGCCAAAACAAAACAAACAAACAAAAAAGTAAAATAATGATTATAAAGAAGGGACATCCCTATTTGCTTCTTTTCTGATTTTCCTAATGCTGTCTTTCTTGGGAGAAGTTTCTTTAGCTGACTATAGAATGAAGCTCGATGAAGCCAAAGTACACATCTGGGGTGGATATAGATATATTATATCTTGGGAGAAGTGGAGAGGAAGATGGTTTATGCCTAATATCAATCACCCCTCCACCTCTGCCTTTAAATAGAGAAAATTTAGCTTATTCTACACATTTTGTTCCATCAAAAAATGACACTGAGTGAGGATAAAATATGTTGATGTGGTTGACTTTTCAAAGTTCTTTAAAGCTTGCCTGATCTTGGCTGATAAAGACTTTTAGGTCTTAACCCTGGATCCTTAATCAGTAGTATGGAGCAGGACCCAGGGATCTATATTTCAAAGTAACTGCTCCAGATGATTCTTATCAAGTAAGCTTGGGAAATACTTGCTTTAGAGTGGTCTTGGTCCTGGTTGCACACTGATGCCTGGGTTCCACTTGCAGAGATTCTGTTGTCCTATGGCACAGCATGGGCCTGCGGATTTTTAAAAGCCCCCTCAACAATTCTAATACAGCCAAAGTGAGAACTACTGCTCTATGGTGCTTTTCAAAGTGTGGTCTTTGGACCTGTAACATTCATAATCATCTAGAGTGCTTTTTAAAAATACAGACTTGCTGGGCACTGGTAGCTACTCAGGAGGCAGAGATCAGGAAGATTGTGGTTTGAAGCCAGCTGGGCAAACAGTTCATGAGACCCTATCTCAAAAAAACCCTTCACAAAAAAGGGTTAGGGGAGTGGCTCAAGGTATAGATCCTGAGGTCAAACCCCAGTACCACATTTAAAAAAAAAAAAAAAAAAAAGCAGACTTCTGGGCTCTGAGAATTGGAATTTTCATCATGTTTGAAGTTAATTTTTTTTCTGAAAAAGAATGGCACAAGGTCAAAAACTGCAGGAACAACTCATCTAATCCACATCTTTCTCTTTTGGTTGGGGAAACAAAAACTTAAGAAGGGCAAGGATATGCTCAGACTCAAGAGCAAGTCTGTGCCTCAAACCCACCAAGGACTTGGGTCTCCTGCCTCTAAGGTAATGCTCTTTTCATTGCCCCATGATCCTGTGCCATACTACCATGTCCCTTCTTTTAAAAGATGGCTAAAAAAAAAAAAGGATGTGAAAGCTGCTGTTTCTATGTCATAGGGGCTTGTTTGAGGAAAGACACTCAAAGGCCTTTTGAACTGGCATCAAGTGACCACAAACTGTTCAACAAGAAAGGCCCTGAGCCATACCGGAGATTAAGGAGCTGACTTGTGACACGAGGTTACTGGATTTCTCCAGGATGCACTGGCTCTCAGGGTCTAGGCTGCTGGTTTGTGGTACAAAATGGTCCTTATTAGGGCTCTCCTGGCACTCCAAGACAGCAGGATGAGCATGAGGGCTGAGAGGCAGGGAAGGCTTGTTGAGCTTCTGGCTGAAGTACTGCTGGATCTGATCTAGCTCACTCAGATTCTTCCTGGGAAAAAAAGAAGGGGGGGAAAGATTACAAAAGGGTCACTCATGGAGATTAAAACAATCTTTTATGTAACACCTGAGCCAAGACCTTAATTCCTTTACTTGATCAGTTAATATACAGAGTCCTCTTTCTCTCCAACTCACATTCATCCTTCACTCCTCTGACCACAATCCTGACACTAGGGACAATGTTGTCCCCTTTATGTCTGGTTAATGTGGTGCCTCTTCTGATGTGCCGTAAAGATGCAATCTTCTTATAAGGAACCTTTTCTGACTATCATGCCAATCCTCACTTCCCCTTGTTTTGACAGAATAAAAGTACTACTCCAGGCTAACATTGTCTTTTGCTATCTCATAATCACTGCTAATCCTTCAAATAAGTGACCTCTTCTAACAAAACTTCCCTGACCATCTATAGTGGTTCAGGGATTCTACCTCTGTATTTTACAGTTCTTTCTGTACGTCTCAATCACATCAACCTACTTATTTTATAACTATTTTCCCTCATGTACAGTGAGCTCTGTGATACTTCCTTTACATCTATAACATCCAACATAGTGCTTGGCATGAAAGAAGTGGGTGTTGAATGATAAGTGCATATACATAACTGATATGAATAATTTAGTTTCCCTAATTTGGCCTGAACATCTGGGAATAGAAGATAATATAGCAAACATCTCTATTTCTCTATTTTTTAATGTACCTGGTAGTTAGCACAACATAGACACTAATACCTGTGAAATAAACTCAAAGTCTTTCTATACTTTTGTTAGGAATGGTTTACAGGTCTTGGAGTTAAATCCAAATGAAAGGAGAAGAAAAAGATGACTCTTATTCTATCACTACAGGATAGGGCTCTAGCAAGTAACAGTGGTGCCAGGGCTGGTGATGCGGCTCAAGTAGTAGAGTGCTTGCCTAGCAAACTGAGGCCCTGAGCTCAAACCCCAGTAACAAAAACAAAAAAACAAGAAAGAAATAATACTGGTCTCACCAAATCACTTGTATGTCTATATGACAAGTGTATGCCACATGGATAAACACCTGCAGCAGAAACATGTAAGCAAATGTAAACTTGGTGCAGCTTTAGAAAATATGCAAACCCATCCATCCATCTCTTTCTCAAGTTTGGGAATTTTTTTTTTGCTATTACTGAATGTTTTCTATACCTGTAGTTTATATCATTTTTTCTTTCTTCTATTCCCATAATTCAAGGGTTTTCTCTTTTAATAGTGTTCCAGAGTTCTTGCCTGTTATGGTCACATTTCTTCATTTTTTTCCCCTTATCTTCATTTAAATGATCTAGTATATCTACTTTATCTTCAAGTCCTGATATTCTGTCCTCAATTTGATCCAGTCTACTAGTAGAAAGGTTTTCAACCAAGTTCTAAAATTTGACTTATTGAGGTTTTAATTTCCAGAATTTCATTCTTTCCCCAGAATTTCTGTATTTTTGGTGAATTCCTCTTTCATATGCTGCATTATCCTCTATTTCATTCAGCTCTTTGTGTTTTCTTAGTATTCATTCAGATGTTTATATATAATCTCTTTATTTTCATTGATAATACTGATAATCGTTTGAATTCTTTGAGATTTCATCTACTGCACTATCATTAATATTTGTCATGGTAGAATTGTTTAATTTTGGAGGAGTCATATGGTCTTGTTTTTTATATTTCTTGTGTTTCTGTGTTGGGACTTGCACATCTGAGACTAAGGCATTGGTGGAAGTTTTAATCCTCTGTAGTCTTTCTCAATGTTCAGGTAGGACAGTAAAGTGGCTATTTCTCACCACTGGGTTGGGGGTGTAGCTCCATAGTCAAGCATTTCCCCTTGTGCTCAGGGCACTGTCCTGCTCAGATTGAGGTAAACCAGCTGGTGTCTCTTGCAGAAGAATCACTTGTCCATTTCTGGGCTGCTTCTACTATAGAAGCTTTGTGTACCAGGAGCCACTGTTAGCTGCAGGGAGCTTTACAAACTGTGGGCTGAGCAGGTTCTCACTTGTTCCATAAGCCTACCAATTTGTGTCCCTAGAACTCGGGTGCCTCCTGAATGCAGCAGAGAATGAGGGAGGGGGGCAAACAGGCCATTGAGTTCTGCTCTGGCAGAGGAAGAACTGAGGTACTGTGGCATTCTGTCTGCTGGTCTCAGTGCCTTTAGACTCCATCCCTGTAGTTCACCTCCTTGTAGCAGGGTGGAGGCTCTAGAAATCACATGGTTTGGATGGCCTGGGTTCAGGGTTCTCAGTTCCATTTGGTAGCAAACCCTTGCTGGATGCAGTTCCTGGAGGCAGGTTTCAGTGTTTTTGGACCTTGCCCAGTAGTTTCCCATCCTGTGTGTGTGTGTGGGAGGAGGCTTTAGAAATCAAATGATTGGGGATTCCAAGATGGTGGCTAGAGGGAGGAAGCAGAAAGTGAACCTCCTATAGTGAAATCTTGGAGAGACGCTAAAGACACACTTTGCAGGCAAAATCACTGAGAACAGGCAAAACTTTGACCCCTTCACACCTCCAGCTGGTGCAGAGAATCTCCACTTCACATTAAATGGAGAAACAAGGAGGGCCCCTGGGCTGCCAGTCGCCCACGCCCAGACGGCTTGGGAAGACGTCGACAAGGTGAGCTTCGCGGTACCGCGGTACTCCCACAGACAACCCTGGGCCAGAGCAGCATAGCTCCCTGGACAGACCGACCTCCACCCGGGGAAAAAAGAGAAACTGACTAATAAGCAATAAGAACAATAAAGACACGCGGGAAAGAGGGTGGGGTGCACTGAGCACCAAAGACTGGGGGAAGGGAATCCTTCCCGGGACTGTAAATAAACAAGCCGGGCAGGCAGGAGAGGCTCTGGCGGGAGCAGGGGTGTGCCCAGCAACCAGGAGCGGGAAAGCTTGTGAGAGTGGCGGAGGGAGGAAAACTCCACAGGAGAGGAGGGAAGACCCATTTCCCACATGAGCTGTAAACAAACATGGCGGCTGGCAGGAGCAGCATCACCGCCCAGTAATCAGGGGCAGGAAGGCTTGTAAAAGTGGCGGTGGGAGGAAAACTGCACAGGAGAGGGGGGAAGACCCACTTCCCACATGAACTGTAAATAAACACGCAGGCCTGAGAAAGTGGGTGCAGTGTCACCTTTCCCAGTGTGCTTGGAAAGGGGAAAGCTTGTAGCAGAGGCTCACGCACAGGAGAACTCTGAGTAAACAAAACCTGCAGGGCCAGGTGAGTGCTAAGCTCACCCCAGAGATATGCATAAATAATGCCTCCAGCAACAGCAGGCTGACAGCAGCGGGCAGGCAAGCCACAGCCGCAGATACCATTCTCAGAACTGTCTCCAGACTCTTTTTTTTTTTTTTTCTCCTTTTTCTCCCTACCTTTGATGAGAGAACAACCGAATTACACCTGCATGCTGAAAAACTTGCTGAAACAGTATTGCATTTGAACTTGGGACACTTGGTGGGGTTTTTTTTTGTGTGTGTGTGTGTAGTTTTGTTCTACTTTATGCATCCCCTTTGATGAGACAACTGCTTAACAACATCTGAGGCACCATCTCCAGGATTGGAGATTGAGACGGACACCCAAATTATTAAGAATGAAACATCATTGCATTTGAACCTGGAGGCTTTTTGGTTTTTTTTTTAAATTTTCTATTTTTCATTTTATTTTTATATATAGATATTTCTTTCATTTACTTATTTTTTATTTTTATTCTTATCTTTATTTTTTTATTTTTTATTTTCAATCCTCTCTCTGTCTCTCTAATGCCTGTTCAGCTTACTGTCAATTGGTACACTAACCTGTTTATACCTTTGAAACTTTCTTATCTGATTCCTTGTTATGTTTCCTCCTTCTTGTCTGTTTATTTGTTTTTCCCTTTTCTTTAACTTCTTGCTTTCCATCTCCACTCACCCTTCCATTCTAAATATTACCATTGTTATAATTACAAGCTAGAAAATACTTAATTGCACACAGTACGGGGACAGTAACAACACCAAAGACAATGATGGGAAGACAGAAAAACCAGGGAAATCAGTTTCCCCACAGCAAAAAATTAGTACAGGAACCAGAGGGGAATGAAGAAAACATATACTCAGATCCAGACTCCAACAAAATGAAGATAAACTATGCCAAAGGACCCAATGAAGCCCACATGAATAATTTAAAAGAAGACATACTACAGGTACTCAATGAGAATTTTATAGAGATGATACTGGAAAGGGTCAACCAAAATGTACAGGAGACACTCAAGAAATTCCAAGACAACAAAAATAGAGAATTTGAAAAAGCAAAAGAAGAAATAAAGGAAACCATAGAAGCATTGTATAAACACCAAAGTGAAACAGAGAACACAATGAATAAACAGATAAATGAACTCAGGACAAAAATAGACAACATAAAGAGGAAACCATCCAGGATATGAAAAACCTCAGAAAAAAGAACAAAATAGAACTGCAAAACAAAATGGAAGGCCAATCCAGAACAGAACAAACAGAAGACAGAATCTCAGAACTTGAAGATGAAATGGTAATTAAAGGAAAAAACTGAAGAACTATTAATTAAACAACTCAAGACCTGTGAAAAGAAAATGAAAGAACTCACCAACTCCATCAAAAGACCAAACTTGAGAATCATGGGCATCGAAGAAGGAGAAGAGGTGCAAGCCTAACACATTTTATGAAGCCAGTATTACACTTATTCCAAAGCCAGGCAAAGACACCTCCAAAAAGGAGAACTATAGGCCAATCTACTTAATGAACATTGATGTAAAAATCCTCAACAAAATAATGGCAAACCGAATTCAACAACACATCAAAAAGATTATTCACCACAACCAAGTAGGCTTCATCCCAGGGATGCAGGGGTGGTTCAACATACGAAAATCAATAAATGTAATAAACCACATTAACAGAAGCAAAGACAAAAACCACTTGGTCATCTCAATAGATGCAGAAAAAGCCTTTGATAAGATCCAACACCATTTCATGATAAAAGCTCTAAGAAAACTAGGAATAGAAGGAAAGTACCTCAACATTATAAAAGCTATATATGACAGACCTACAGCCAGCATTATACTTAAAGGAGAAAAGCTGAAACCATTCCCTCTAAAATCAGGAACCAGACAAGGATGCCCACTATCTCCACTCCTATTCAGCATAGTACTGGAATTCCTAGCCAGAGCAATTAGGCAAGAAGAAGGAATAAAAGGAATACAAATAGGTAAAGAAACTGTCAAACTATCCCTATTTGCAGATGACATGATCCTATACCTTAAAGACCCAAAAAAATCTACTCAGAAGCTTCTAGACATCATCAATAGCTATAGCAAGGTAGCAGGATATAAAATCAACATAGAAAAATCATTAGCATTTCTATACACTAACAATGAGCAAACTGAAAAAGAATATATGAAAACAATTCCATTTATAATAGCCTCAAAAAAAAATCAAATACCTAGGTGTAAACCTAACAAAAGATGCAAATGACTTCTATAAGGAAAACTATAAACTTCTGAAGAAAGAGATTGAGGAAGACTATAGAAAGTGGAGAGATCTCCCATGCTCATGGATTGGTAGAATCAACATAGTAAAAATGACTATACTCCCAAAAGTAATCTACATGTTTAATGCAACTCCCATCAAAATTCCAATGACATTCATTAGAGATTGAAAAATCTACCGTGAAATTTATATGGAAACACAAGAGGCCACGAATAGCCAAGGCAATACTCAGTCAAAAGAACAATGCTGGAGATATCACGATACCCGACTTGAAACTATATTACAAAGCAATAATAATAAAAACAGCATGGTACTGGCACAAAAACAGACATGAAGACCAGTGGAACAGAATAAAGGACCCAGATATGAAGCCACACAACTATAACCAACTTGTCTCTGACAAAGGCACTAAAAATATATGATGGAGAAATAGCAGCCTCTTCAATAAAAACTTCTGGGAAAACTGGTTAGCAGTATGCAAAAAACTGAAACTAGATCCATGTATATCACCCTATACCAATATTAACTCAAAATGGATCACGGATCTTAATATCAGACTACAAACTCCAAAGTTGATGCAGGAAAGAGTAGGAAATACTCTGGAGTTAGTAGGTATAGTAAGAACTTTCTCAACGAAACCCCAGCAGCACAGCAACTAAGAGATAGCATAGATAAATGGGACCTCATAAAACTAAAAAGCTTCTGTTCATCAAAAGAAATGGTCTCTAAACTGAAGAGAACACCCACAGAGTGGGAGAAAATATTTGCCAGCTATACATCAGACAAAGGACTGATAACCAGAATATACAGGGAACTTAAAACACTAAATTCTCCCAAAACTAATGAACCAATAAAGAAATGGGCAAGTGAACTAAACAGAACTTTCTCAAAAGAAGAAATTCAAATGGCCAGAAAACACATGAAAAAATGCTCACCATCTCTAGCAATAAAGGAAATGAAAATTAAAACCACACTAAGATTCCACCTCACCCGTTAGAATAGCCATCATCAGCAACACCACCAACAACAGGTGTTGGCGAGAATGCGGGGAAAAAGGAACCCTCTTACACTGTTGGTGGGAATGTAGACTAGTACAACCACTCTGGAAAAAAATTTGGAGGCTACTTAAAAAGCTAGACATCGATCTACCATTTGATCCAGCAATACCACTCTTGGGGATATACCCAAAAGACTGTTACTCCAGAGGCACCTGCACACCCATGTTTATTGCGGCACTATTCACAATAGCCAAGTTATGGAAACAGCCAAGATGCCCACCACTGACGAATGGATTAAGAAAATGTGGTATCTATACACAATGGAATTCTATGCAGCCATGAAGAAGAACGAAATGTTATCATTTGCTGGTAAATGGATGGAATTGGAGAACATCATTCTGAGTGAGGTTAGCCTGGCCCAAAAGACCAATGTCTAATGTCCCTCATATGTGGACATTAGATCAAGGGTAAACACAACAAGGGGATTGGACTATGAGCACATGATAAAAGCGAGAGCACACAAGGGAGGGGTGAGGATAGGTAAGACACCTAAAAAACTAGCTAGCATTTGTTGCCCTTAACGCAGAGAAACTAAAGCAGATACCTTAAAGCAACTGAGGCCAATAGGAAAAGGGGACAGGAACTAGAGAAAAGGTTAGATCAAAAAGAATTAACCTAGAAGGCAACACCCACGCACAGGAAATCAATGTGAGTCAATGCCCTGTATAGCTATCCTTATCTCAACCAGCAAAAACCCTTGTTCCTTCCTATTATTGCTTATACTCTCTCTACAACAAAATTAGAGATAAGGGCAAAATAGTTTCTGCTGGGTATTGAGGGGGGGAGTGGGAGGGGGTGGAGTGGGTGGTAAGGGAGGGGGTGGGGGCAGGGGGGAGAAATGAACCAAGCCTTGTATGCACATATGAATAATAAAAAAAAAATCAAATGGTTTAGGGGCTGATAAAGTGGCTCAGGTGACAGAGAGCCTGCTTGTCAAGTGTGAGGCCCTGAGTTCAAACTCCACTACCACCAATATATATATATATATGTAACACACACACACACACACACACACACACACACACACGCATAAAGTAATCAAATGGTTTGGAAGGTCTGAACTTGGCGTTTTCAGTCCCAGCTGGAGGTAAAAACACACAGCCAGGAGGCAGGTCTTAGAGGCCAAGTACTATGCCAGTCAGAGGCTCGGTGCTTGGGGACCCTGAGGTGATGGGAATCACTCCTTGCAAGGGCGGAGAGTGAGGAGGGTCTGCCTGAGTTTTCTTCTGTTTAACCTTCTCAGCAAGACCCACAACCTCCTCTCATGGCTGTCTCCTACCCAGACACTCTACCAGGGTATCCTAACATTCCCAGATCATTGCTTGTTCCTTGTTTTCCAGTTCCCAGAGTGGCTCAGTCTCAATAGGCTCCCTCTCAAGATGGTGCCTTGCTATAGCTGTCTAAGATAAGGGGACTGACAAAACATCTCTTTTCACTGAGGCGAGCCTCCTTCTACACTGGAGCAGTCACAGTCTCTCCAAATCCCACACTGGGTTGAACGCTTGCAGAGAATGTGGGTTTACCTTGCAGCTAGAATTGCCAGTCTGTCCCTAGGGTCATCTGGCTTACCTTGTGACTCTATCTTTGCTACTGCCCCTGGCCACCCAGGAGCTGGAGATGGAGCTTGGGACTGTTTTGCTTTTCTCTTGTCTTTCTGTTTCTCTGTGGTTTTCACCTGTCCTCCTACCTCCTTCATTTCCACAATGCTTTTCCTCTTTCTCTCTTCAGAATATAGTTTCTCCTTTGTTACCTGTCTTATCTCATTCTCTGCTAATTAAACTAACAAAAGGACAGAAAAGTGTTAACAGGGCAGATACTGGTCTGGAATAAGCCAGTAGTTGTGAAGACAAAAAAAAGAGTAGGCAGGATGAGGCTTTATACATTGTAAGGAGACTGTGAGGCTGTGTAGATGTGAGGATGGTTATTATTAAATTTTGGTGAGTAAGGTAAACTTCCTGTATTTGTAGATTGATCAGTAAGTAGACCCCCCTGAAAGAGTAGAAGGCTCTTAACTGAGACAGATTCAGCTATGAGGAATCTCATGAGGACTCAAGGTCTAACTTAACACTGTCATACACAAAGAGCTCTTCAGTAAACCTCCCACAGCACTGGGTAACTGATAGAAGAACAGTATTGCACATTGCCATTGCCCATTCACCTTGTGCTACATACACAATTATTTCCTGTGTGTTTCCTAGCAGAGGATCTCACCTGAGAGAAGTCAGGATGGAGGTGTGAGAGGACAAAGGCGATGTGGTCAGTTTGTCATCACTTGTCAAGATTGCCTCTCCCTGCTGCAGTGATTCATGAAATCGGCGGATGTTCTGCACATGCTCTTCATGGCGGGATGCCTGGCTTCTTGAGGTACCACTTCTGTCAACAGAAAATGGGAGCAAAATAAATTCCCAATCAATGTGAAGATCCTAGTGTGACAAAACCAAATCACTCTACTGAAAACCTATCCCCACTACCACAGCTCTGGCTTTATCAATTCTTGCTTAAATTTACAAGTAATCTTGCTTTTCATCTTACCCACTTCACCTTCTCTTATTCTCCATATTATAGCCTGAGTGATTTTTCTAAAATATTTATCTGAAACAACAACAGCAACAACAATATATATAGAGCCTTTACTACTATACCAAGCCTTGTTGTAAACATTCAATGATATATCTAATTCATCACCATCATTACTTTAGAACACATCCAATTCTTGAGCATGGTATTCAAGAAATGTGACTCTAGAAATCTTTCTCTTAATATTATTAGGCAGGCCAATTTGCAATTGTGTGTGTGTGTGTGTGTTTGGGTGGGACTAGGGTTTGAATTTAAGGCCTTTTACTTGTTAGGCAGGAACTCTATCACTTGAGCCATGCTATCAGCTTCTTTTTCTTTATTGAGATATAATTCATATAGCATAAAATTAACCCATTTAAAGTACAAAATCTAATGACTTTTAGTTTATTTACAGAGTTGTATAACCACTACCACAATCATTTTTATCACTCCTAAAACAAAATCCATACCCATTTGCAATCATTTGTCTATTCTGGATATTTCATATAAATGGAATCATATGTGTTTTTTGTCTGTATGTGTTTGACTGCCTTCTTCCATTTAGCATTGTTCAGCCTCCTTTATGCTGCAGAATGTATCAGTAAATTGTAAAGAGCACTCGAGGCTGTGTAAATGTGAGATTGGTTATTATTAGGTTTTGGTGACCAAGGTAAACTTCCTGTATCTATAATGTGATCAGTAATAGAGCCTTATCTTTCTTATGATAGCTAGATGCAATTCCATTGTACAGATAGACCACGTAAGTTTACCTGCTTGTCAGTGAATATTTTTGCTTGTTAGGAATATGCTCCAACATATGAGCATAAGTTTTGTGTGGACATATGTTTTCATTTCTTTTGAGTTTACACCTAGGAGTGGAATTACTGGATTATATGGTTACTCTAGATTTAAACTTTTAAGAAGTTGCCAGAGTGTTTTCCAAAGCAATTGGATCATTTTACAATCTCACCAGCAATATTATGAGGGTTCACTCTCTCCATATTGCTCCTGACACTTGTGATATTTATCTTTTTGACTATACATGGTCACCCTCATGTATGTGAAGTGGTATCTCATTGCATCTTTTCATGTGCTTATTGGCCATTTGTATATCTTCTTTGGAGAACTGTTTACACTTCAAATACCTTGTTTTAGCCTGGCATGGTGGCTCACATCTGCAATCCCATCTACTCAGGAGGCAGACATTGGGAGAATGGCAGTTTGAGGCCAGCCTGGGCAAAAAGTTAGACACTCAATTTCAACAAATAATCCAGGTGTGGTGGTACACAGCTGTGACCCTAGCTACATGGAAAGCTGCAGGTACTAGGTGGGTGGTCTGAGGCCAGTCCTGGGAAAAAAATTGTAAGACCCTACCTGAAAAGTAACTAAAGCAAAAACAAACACAAAAAAGCAAAACCAAAAAAACTGGAGATGTGGCTTAAGTGGTAGAGTACCTGCCTATCAACCACAAGGTCCTGAGTTCAAACCCCAGTACTGCCACACACACACACACACACACACACACACACACACACACACACACACCCCTCCAAAACCAATACCCACTTTGTCCATTTTAAAATTGGATTGCCATTTTTTTTTTTTAAAGCGATAGGGATCAATCCCAGGTACTCACGCATACTAGGCATGTTCTTTACCACTGAGTCTCATTCCCAGCTGGGTTGTCTGCTTTATATTGTTGAGTTTCTTTATATATTTTAGATACAAATCCTTATCAGATCTATGATCTGCAAGTATCTACTCCCATTCTATGGTTTGTCTTTTCACTTTCCTGATATCATCTGCAGCATGAAAGTTTTTAATTTTGGTGAATTGCAGTTACTGTTTTTCTCCTGTTGCTTGTGCTTTTGTTGTCAAATCTAAGGAATCACTAATCCAAACTCACAAATATTCACTTCTATATTTTCTTTGAAGGGGTTTATAGTTTTAGCTCTTATGTTTAGATATAAGACCCGTTTGTAGTTAATTTTTGTGTTTGGTATAAGGAAGGGATACAACTTTTTTGGGGTTTTTTTTGATGGTAGGAGGGTTGAACTTAGGGCCTCAAGCTTGCTAGGAAGGCACTCTATCCACTCAGCCATTCCCCCAAGGCCAGGTCAATCTTTGGCACATGGATTTCAAACTGTTGCAGCACCATTTGTTGACAAGACTATTCTTTCCTCATTAAACAGCATTGGCTTCAATATAGGCAAACTTCCAATTTTGCACATACTATTTTCTTCCATTTAATATATCTCTCAGTAATTTATTATGTGCACCCTATTCATTTTACACTTACCTTCTTTGATTTATATCTGAGTGTTTCAGATTTTTGTGTTATTTTAAATGTCATTTTAATTTGTTCGTTCATTGCTAGTACATGAAATTTTTTTACATTTTCCTTCAATCCCATTATCTTCCTAAAGTCATTTATTATTCCCAATAGCTTGTTTGTTGTAGATTGTTTTGGATTTTGTATGTAGATAGTCATGTCTTCATCAAATTTAAGAATTTTGCTTTTTCCTCTTCAGTTCATTATTTCATTATATTTTCTTGCCTGAATAAACTACTTGCTATCCCCCTCCCTAGTCTGATGTTAAGTAGGAGCAATGATAGTGAATATTCTTTCCTTTTATCTAATGATAGGGGGAAAACATTCAGTCTTTTGTCTTTCACCATAAGTATGATGCTAGTTTAGGGGTGTGTGAGTGTGTGTGTATATGTGAGATCTGCTTTTGGTCAATTTTGTTTTTCATTTTTTTCCTAATGCTTTCCTTCATTCATCTGTTCATATGGTGAATTACATTGATGGATTTTCAGATGTTGAACAAACTTCATTTGCAAGATAAACTGCATTTGGACATGTGGATTTTTTACTGCTAGATTTTTTTTGCTGACGTATTTTGAGAATTTAGTCTGTATTTTCTTTTCCTGTAATATATTGGTCTGAGTTTTATTAATATAATTCTGGTCATTAAGAAAAAAAGTCTTAGCATTCTTGTTGAAATTTGGTTGACCACAGATACATGGGTTTACTTTTGGATTATCAAATCTATTTTATTTATCTATATTTCTATCCTTGTGCCTTGTCTTACTTACTGTAGCTTTGTGGTAAGCTTTGAAATTGAGAACTTTGTTCTTTCTCAGGGTTGTTTTTGCCTATTCTATATTTCTTGAATTTCCACATGACTTTTAGGATCAGTTTGTCCATTTCCAGAAAGAAGCAAGAGGGATTTTGATATGGATTTGTTGAATCTATAGCCAATCTACAGATTAATTTGGGAGTACTGCCATCTTAACAGCATTCAGTCTTTTAATTCGTGAAAGTGGGATATCTTTCCATTTAGTTACATCTTCTTTAATCTCTTTCAACAACATCTTTTTCAAGATGTTTAAAACATCTTTAATTTCTTTTTCTTGGACTTTTTTTTGTTATATTTATTCTTAGGTGTTTTATTCTATTTGATGCTGTTATAAATGGAATTGTTTCCTCAATTTCATTTGTTTTTTTGGGGGAATACCAGGGTTTGAACTCAGAGTCTCACACTAGCTAGGCAGGTGCTCTCTCACGTGAACCACTCTGCCAGCTCTTTTTTGTGTTTGGTATTTTTCAGATAGGGTCTCACAAACTATTTGCCTGGGCTGGCCTTGAACTGTGATCCTCCTGATCTCTGCCTCCTGACTAGCTAGGATGACAGATGTGAGCCACTGGCATCTGGCTTCAATTCTATTTTTGACTATTTAATTTGGTGTACAGAAATACAATTGATTATGTATGTTTTAAAATTTAAAATTCCAATATGGTAAAAATTGATAGATGTAACTCACATAAACAAACATCTTTGGGGTCATGAATAATTTTTAATAGTGTAAAAGAGCTCTGAAGTGGAAATGTTTGAGAACTACTGTTTTACTAAGATGTAACCGACATACAATAAATTTCATATGTTTAAAGTATACTATTTCATGAGTTTTGGTACACATTTAAAATCCAGGAAACCATTACTGTAAGAAAACAAATATATACACCACCTCAAAAAGTTTCTTCTTAACTTTTTGTAATTCCTTATTCATCCCACCTTGTCCCTAGGTAATAACTGATCTGCTTTCTGTCACTATAGGTTAGTATGAATTTTCTAGAACTTTACATAAATGGAATCACATACAGTGTATTCTTTTATTCTAGGTTCTCTCAGCATAATTGTTTTAAAATTCATTCTGTTCTAAACAATGCCTTGCTTTTAATTTTTGAGTAGTATTCCACTATATGAATATACCACAATTTGGTTACCTGTTCACCTATTTGTTGATGGACACCTGAGTTGTTTAACTAATTAGTGGTTGTTACAAATAAAGCACAAAGACAAAAAAGTTTAGAAAGTGCTGCTCCAGGCATTTCACATGTATTATTAGTAATAAAACCTCTCTCTTAAGACTAGTGTGAAAACCCAATCAGCTGATGTATACGAGTTATTTCCATTCTTAATTATTTTTACAACAACCCTTAAGGTAATATTATTTCCATTTAGCAGATAAGAAAAAAGAAATCTAAGCCTCAAAGAAATGATGTAACAAGGGCTGTAAGTGTGGCTTAAGTGGTAAAGCACTTGCCTAGTAAGCACAAGGCCTTGAGTTCAAACCCCAGTACTACAAAAAAGAGCTGAATTAGCCTAAGGTCACATATAACTATTAAGTGGTAAAGCCAGGACAGGACTCCAAATCCTTCTGACCACAACATACTTCATCACTCTGTCCCTAGAGCAAGGCAGGATCAGCAGGATTTGTTAGGTGAGGTGGTTAGAGAGGAAATTATATCTTACCCTTGAATGGAAGGCTGAATTAGAATATTACATTTTTGACATGGCCTTCTGAAGTGGTAATAGGGACATTTTTATATGATCAAAAAGTAAGCCACCAAATTTTTGCCTTTTAAAATTACTAAATAGTAGGCACTAGAGACACCCTCATCCCAGTCACATATCTTACTAATTGGCTGTGGTCAAAGCAACACTTATAGACAGTAAAGGAATTACCTAAACAGACACATAAGATTGTCAGACACATAGCTCCTTCTGTACAGCAGGCAGAGTATCTCTTCATGGTGACCAAGTAGAAAATTATATCGCACTGCAACAGGCCTTAGAATGGTATGCACTATGAGAGTGTCTATTTTGGAATAAAGGGTCAGTAATTACTGTTGTAGGTGTGGCTGTTGTGGGAGAAGGTTCCTTATCTCCTCCCTGATGTAGGGAGAAAGACATGGGAGAATCTCTGGTGGAGGGCACTAAGGCCTCAAAGAGACTGGGGTGGAAAAAAAGCAATCTTAGTCTTAGACCTTGTCCTCTGACAGGATGGAACATGCTCTAGCCCTGACATCCATATGCATGCCCACTGTTGGCTTAGTGAAAAGAATGTGTTTTGCAAAACAACCTGGCACATAGTTTTGGTAGGGAAAGATGACATATTTCTTGCAAGAAGTTAATGGGCTCTGAGGTTAAGAGAAGACTGTCCTTTGCTCCTTTAAACTGAAGTTATCTTTTGATAGCAGTAAAGATTCTAGTTTCTATTTTAATTTTTTGTCGGTACTGAGGTTTCATCAACTCATGGCCTTTTGCTTGCTAGACATAGGCACTCTAACCATTTGAGCCATGCCTCCAGCCCTTTTAGCTTTAGTTGTTTTTCAGGTAGGGTCTCACGATTTTTGCTTGGGGCTAGCCTCTGACTGTGATCTTCCTACCTCTGCCTCCCTTTAGCTGGGACCACAGATGTGTACTATCCCAGCTTTTTAAAATTGAGATAGGGTGTTGCTCTTTTTCCTAAGCTGGCCTCATACCCTGATCCTTCTATCACTGCCTCCCTAAGTAGCCGGGATAACAGGCATGTGCTCCTGTGTTCACCTTTAGTTCCTATCTTATAAAATTTTGTTTTCATAAATTTTGGGGTTCCTAGGGCTTGTGAGAATTCAAGAAAGCTCTTTCCAGTCTCCAATTTCTTCCTGTAATAAAGGAAAAGGAAAGGACAAGCCAGTTCACATACATCTACTCATTGACTCCATTTCTGCCCATCAAGAAATTACCTTACAGAAGAGAAGAAATCTAACTCCTTTGAAGAGATATGAGCAAGCTGGTCTTGGGTCTGTCTTGCAATAAGACTGGGAAATGCAGCACACATATTAGAAGTAGGAAAGGAAAAGGGGCGGTATATTGGGATCTGTAGAAGCAATGAGAAAAATGGTACATTGGTTAATTAATCTTTTTGGAACAAAGCAGTATATAAATAAATTTGTAAAATTTACTGAGAGCTTTCTATGTGTTAAACATTCTGCTGAGAAATTTACAAATATGTTCTCATTTACACTTTAGGTACTATTATGACCTCTATTTTATAGACTGTGCTGTCAGATTGATTTTTAGTTGTTTCCTCTATGTTTATGATCTTGTTCCTCCATCTAGCTGGTAAACTCTTGGCTGGACATGATCTTACACTTATTTTACATGTGAGGATAATCTGATTGTGATGCTTCTTGTTTTTGGATTACCTACCATGGTTGATCTAAGAAAAACACCTTGCTACACTCATTTCCTCATGTATCCACTCATTTGATATTTACTGATTCTCATGGTGTGCCAGACTCTGGACCAGGCATGCACGAAAGATGAATCAAAGTCTGCCTCAATAGAGCTCTCCTTATCTGGGGCAGCCTGGAAAATTCTCCTTTTATAGTTGAACTCCTTGAAAGAGTTGTCTATACTTACCATTGCCAATATCCCTCTTTTTATTCTTATTTCTTTAAAAATAAGAGAAATGATTTTTTTTTTGGTGGTGGTACTGGAATTTGAACTCAGGGCCTTGCTAGGCAGATACTCTATCACTTGAGTCATGCCTTCAGCTCTTTTTTGCTTTAGTTATTTTTCAAATAGGGTGTTTTGCTTGGACAGGCCTCAGTTCGTGACCCTGCTACTTATGTCTTCCAGTAGCTGGGATTACAGACATATAACAACACACCTGGTTTATTAATTGAGGAGGGGTCTTGGTAACTTTTTGCCCAGGTTGGCCTTAAACCATGATCCTTCTGATTCTGCTTTCCAAATACCTGAGATCACAGGCATGGGCCATCATGCCTGACTAAGCCAACGATTTTAATGTATCAGAATTAAAAAACAAAACGAAACAAAAAACCCAACTATTACATTTTCAGATTCTACACAGTAACTTTATTTTAAAACTAAGGTATGGACTGGTAGAGTGACTCAGATGGTAGAGTGCCTGCCTAGCAAGTGCAAGACCCTGAGTTCAAACCCCAGCAGTGCAAAAATAAAACAAAAAAACTTAAGGTATAATGGTTTTGCTCAGTAGAACCCTTATTAGTTAGGTGTGAATCAGGATACTTACCAGTGACCGTGGGGTCTCTACCCCACGTCTTGCTTGTCTTTCTTCTTTGAGGTGCATCAGACTTTCCAAAGGGGAGATAGCAACTTTTATCTGCCCCTGGCACTCTCCACTGAAGTCCGTGATGTTGTACCAGCCGCAGATAAACTGGAAGCCAGAGAGCAGTGGGGAAAGGTCCACTGAGGCGAAGCCAATTACTCTCTCCTCATCTGTGGGGGAAGAAAAGAGCTGGGCAGCATACCTGGGCGTGTCCTGCCACTGAGGTTTAAGGTTGCACAGAGCAGCTGACTCAGGTAACTGGGCGAGTTCAGTGATTCCAAAGCCATCACAGAAGACTGATAATCAGACTGAGACAGTTTGTAACCACAGCCTGTTATGGATTCCCTTTCTGTATGATAGGGAAAGGCTGGTAGGGCTGATCTTTGCCTGTGATAGCAGGCTACTAGAAAATATCCCTGACCTTAAACACTTGTTCTTTTACCTAAGTTATCATGCTTCAGTGGTTTTCCTCAGGATGATGGGTCTTCAAATTATGAAGAATTTCTATTTTCCTATTTACATTTGTCTGTATTTTTCAAATCTTCTAAGACATACATATGTATTGCATTTAATTAAGAAAAGCTGAAAGAAATTAACACAAGAAAGACAAATAATCCCCTGGAAAACCAGTACAGGGTGCTGCATTTGCCGTCCCCTGTGACTGCAGAACGCCTTGCCCTTTATCTCGCTGATATCCTGTCTGGGTTAAATGTCCCCTGACAGAGTAGCCTGTATTTGCTTAAACATACTCTATTGCAATTTCTTGTGACCTCCACTGGCTTTAAGCTCTGTAAGGAAAGGGACCATGTCTGTCTGATTTTACCTTCGTGTCCCTATCACTTAGCATAGTGATTGACACAGAGCAGGAAATCAAATATCTGTTGAACACAGCTTGGTCTGCTTTGAGTATTTTCTGTAAAATGTTTGCTGAGTCTGTGCAGAAAGGATGAAGTTAAGAGGAGACGTATGTACATACACTAGGAGATCGAATGAGATGAACATTGGTGTAGGTATTTTCCTTACTTCCATCTATATCCTGTTAGGAGAATTTTATAGGACCCTCTAGGGGTCCTGAATATAGGGAATATATTTATTCGTAGCTCTAGCATAGTATAGGCATAATAATAATAAAAATAACTCCATTTAGTAGGCAAAAGTTATGTGCAAAGTACTTTTAAATATTATTTATACACAAAACCCTGAAAGGCAAGTACTATTTTTCTAATTTTATAAATAAGAAAAAAAAAGGTAAGAGGAAAGAGGTAAAACGATCTTGAGGTCACAATTAGTAAATGGAAGAGCCACAATTTGAACTCAGGTTTGCATATGATTAGAGCTTACTGTTTTTCTCTTCATATTGAGTTGAGATGATCCCTGGTCTGCTTAACAATTTTTGTAGTACTTTAAACAGAAAGCAAGAGAGGAGTGCGGAGGCTAGCTAAACACAGCAGGAAGTCCTTGTGTTGATTTGGAGAACACTGATTTCTGATCAGTTCCTCTGCACAGATGAAGTTAGTAATGGTGTGGGACCTAAGTGTAGCAAAGTAGCAGCACTAAACTAATCACCTAATCCAGAGTCACAGCAGTCTCACAAACAGGAGTCCAGGCAGAAAGGCATGTTAACTTCCTTCACACCCTGACTACTCTCTGGTTGTGGTCAATAGTGAAACTTAGCAAACAAATACTGTGACCCTGTAGGTAACTCAAAGCAACTGAAGGTTTGGAAAACAGGTCCTAAGCAGGTATCTTCAAGTAGCATGATTTACAGGAATCACTTAACGAAACATAATTTATTAAGTTGTGAGCGGGTGAGACATCTTTATTACCTCACTGTTTTCTGCATCATCCAATCTTACCAACTTAGTGAATGAAGTAAAGCAATGAAATCTCTACGGTCAGTCAGAACTGGGTTCAAATCGTACTTCTATGAATTAATATTGATAAGACCTTAATCAAGCCACTAAAATTCCTTGAGCCTCAGTTTTTACAATTTTATAAATTAATCTAATCTTATAAAATTAGATTAATTAAATTTTTTATCTTGCAGGATTAGAAATGTTTGTCAAGCTCTTAGTACATTACAACTCACTAAATAAAAGCAACAAAAACTCACAGGGCATTTACTAAGTGTTGGGCTTTTATTTCTCTCAAAACCCTATGACAGTGCGAGGCCCTGAGTTCAAATCAGTACTGCAAAGCAAAACAAAACAACCTATGAGACAGGTACTATTAATTATCCCTATTTTACAGGTGTGCAAACTGAGCACTGAGAAGTTGTCATATACCCAAGATCACATTGCTACAGTAAGAGGTAGAACTAGAATTTGAATCCTGAGTCTAGCTTCAGAGTTGATGCCCTTAACATTGTTGGGTTATGCCTCCTAATAAGCGATAGCTGAGCTGGGTTAGGTGGCACATAGCTACAATCTCAACACTAGGGAGGTGGAGGCAAGAGGATCTCAAGTTTGAGGCTAGCATAGGCTATATAGCAAGTTTGAGGCCGGCCTGGCATATGTATTGAGTTAGAAGCCAGCGTGGGCTACATAGCAACATACTATTTCAAAACAGTCAGACAGACAGACAAATTAACAAACAAAATGATAGTTGAGTAAAACTGGGTTCAAGGATTATGGTATCAGTACCTCCATCCTGGGGAGGTTCTTAAAACAAGAAAAGATAAAATGATGGAACCTCTTGCAACTGCTTTAAGTGGGGTGGAGAGGGGGTCACATTAGGGGTGGTGGGAGGGGAGAGATGGTAGGGGCAATCAAAACCAATATACAATATAAGTCCATTTGGAATTGGCACAATGAATCCCCTATGTACCATAATATATGCTAATAAAAATGAAAAAACACAGTATACACAAAAACCCCAAGGAAGAATAAATTTTCGAATCCTGGTCTTGTATACAACCTGAAAATGCTAGGATCTTGCTTAATAAGCCCAGTCAGAAGAAGGCCTAACATCACACAAAGGGTGGAGAGACCACTGCATGTGGCATTATGGTTATTGGTAGATACATTTGGAAAGGTTCAAATGTACTTGGATTTCTGCACTAAGCAGGTGGTCAAACAACATGTGATTTCTAAGTATTAAATTGGATAGGAGAACACAGCCTTCTGTGAGTTCCCCTCTATCACATATCTGTGTTCCTGGCACCATCAGTACCATGGCTTAACTTGGCTAAGAAAAAGGATTGGGAAACTGTCAACAGAATATGAGCTTATTTTTATAACCAGATAGATATTCACAGAACAGAGCTCATACCTCCTTTATGCCAAACTTTGAAGACCAGAGTTTGCTGTGGATCCAGAAGAAGCTCTTTTGATAACCTATTAAGAAAAACAATCATTAGGGTTTGGGGGTGAGGGAGGGCATGGTTTAATGGTAGAGCATCTACCTAGCAACTATGAGGCCCTGAGTTCAACCCACAGTATTGAAAAAAAAGAATCACTGTGAGTTAACTGTAGCATAAAAGTTTGATGAGGAGATATCATTTCATTTTCATGGTCATCTTCTAGGATATATTTTTATTTTCATAGTCAAAATGAAGGGATGGAAACTCAGAGAGGTGAAATCTTGAATAAGCATGTTATTAATTGTACAAAGGGGTATTATTGTGTTATTTTCATATATGCATATAATGTACTTTGATCAAATTCACCCTGTTATTCTTTTTTTATTCCTCCTCTTCCCTTTTTAATATGGATTTCATTATTTTATTTTAATACCTGCATAGGAAGTACTTTGATCAGATGGGTGAAGTAACTTGCCAAGATTCTCCAGATGCAGTGCTTCCCTTTACCTCCAACTGTGCCTACCACATTTAAACTCAGTTTCTCTAAGACAGGGGAAGAAAACTTTTTCTACAGGTAATGACCAGTTTTGTTGATGTGGGTAAGGGTTCTTTTCATGCCTTAAATTGGGAGAATAGTGAGAAGGGAGGAGGGAAAAGAACATTCACTGAGTGCCTACCTTGGGCCAGGCATGGTGCCAAGGGTTTCATACACATTTGATTTGCACAAAAGCCTGACGCATAGTCATTATTATTCCTATTTCACATATGATGATGCTGGGCTTACACAAAGGTAATGTGATTTGCTGAAGGTCACATAAAAGTCAGTAAGTGGTAGGGCTGGGATCTGAATCCTGGCTTGCCTGAGCCCAATGTTATACATTATAGAAGGCAAGGTGACAAAATAAGCGAATGTCCAACTTTCACAGCAGCTGAAGAAATGGAATTCACTTTAATTCACTTTATATTAAGTAAATTACAGTTTTAAATTATAACCTAACTCTGAAAAGTTCTAAACCAGGTGCTACTGCTCGAGAGAAAACCAAGAGACTTAATTTCATTTCCCAGATAGCATTGGCAAACTGAAGAGAACCTACTTCAAGATCAAGGAGAAGTGCTATGCTATGTTTATTGCAGTGCTATTCACAATAGCCAAGTTATGGAAACAGCCAAGATGACCCACTACTGACGAATGGATCAAGAAAATGTGGTATCTATACACAATGGAATTTTACTCAGCCATGAAGAAGAATAAAATCTTATCATTTGCAAGTAAATGGATGGAACTGGAGAACATCACCCTGAGTGAGGTTAGCCAAGCTCAGAAGACCAAAAATCATATGTTCTCCCTCATATGCAGACTTTAGATCTAGGGCACATGCAGCAATGTTGTTGGACTTGGGTCACACGCTAAGGGGAGAGCATATACGGAAGATATGGGGATAGGTAGGAAATCCAAAACATGAAAGTGTTTGATGTCCCCACTGCAGAGGAGCTAATACAGTAACCTTAAAGCAACAGAGGTCAATATGGGAAGGTGATTGGGAACTAGTGAAAAGGTCAGGTAGAGATGAATCAATTCAGTTGTAATACACTTGTGCATGGAAGCAATGCTAGGAATCTCTCTGTATAGCTATCCTTATCTCAACTAGCAAAACCGCTTTGTCTTTCTTATGCTTAAGTCTTTCTTCAACAAAATTAGAGATAAGGGAAGAACAGGTTCTGCCTGGAAGTGAGGGGGTGGGGGGGCAGAGGGTGGGGGCCGGGGGCAGGGGGGATAAATGGCCCAATGTATGCAAATATGAATAAATTAATAAATTTAAAAAATTCAAAGAAAAAAAAAAGGAGTGCTATGCTAAAATGAAACAAATTCAGCCTCAGAATTCTAATTGTAGCAGGGGCTCAAAAGCCTCACCTTTCAATTTCAGTTCTATTATCAGCATGTGAGTGACTCTGGGCATGCACTTAACCTTTTTGTGTCCTGGTTCTCTCACCTGGTAAATGGGATAATAGTATCTATCTACAATGTGCTAGGTGGGTCAAAGGAAATAATTTTGTGGTAAAGGAACTGTAAATAGCACCACTATTCAATTTTCTTCTAATATTAACTTTGTTACCAACAAACTATGTAACTTCCCTGGGCTCAAGTCAACTGTAAAGTTTCAACTCTGAAGTTCAGAGATGAAATGAGGAAATCACTCATGTTCCTTCATCAAGTTTGTAGTTTTGTGTTAGGCTGTCAGGTTGTGAATGAACAAATCACCTTACTTAGAAGCTTGATACTCTGGTTTCTTGCTTTTTGGGGCATATCATCTAATATTTTATATAGAATACCTTAGCCACTAGGTCCAAGATTTCTATCATGTTCAGTAGTTTACCATAAATATTACTGAGTTTTCACTGTAGTTCCAGCTCCTGATTTAGGCCAGCCTTTCATCTTATAAAACATTGAACATATGAACAATGGCACAAACACTGTGAGAAAATAGCATATCAGGCTCTAGTATGGCTAGTGTTGGCGGGCAAGAATTAAACTTCATAAAAGGTGATGCCATGTAATATTAAGGGAAACAATAATTAGTATTAGAACTTGCACCTCCTTTTGTTTTTTAAGGTAGGATCATTAGGCTGGCCTCAAACTCAAGATCCTTCTGTCTCAGCCCCCCAGGTGCTGGGATTATAGGCGTATACCACCATACCTGGCCAAACCCCACACTTTCACCACGACTTGTAAAGGAAGGACAAGTACTGCAACCCTGTGACAGCTCATTACTTCTGAGTGGCACTGCAACATGATTGGCAGGACTCTACTTCCTATTTTTTGAGCCTTCCAAAGGAGAGCTAACATTTGTTGTATACATACCATGTACCATGAGGTAACTTTTCTACATGTCATCTAGTTTAGATCTTACAATGAACCTATAAAATTATTTCCACTTCACAGATGAAGAATAGGAGACTCAGGATATTATGCAACTTATTCACATAGCTAGTAGATGATAGAGATGAAGTTGGAGGCCGAATCGCTTGTTTCCAAAGACTAGGAACTTTCCACGGCACCAAAAGTCTTTCAAGGATGAATAATCCAGTCTTTCCTAAGTTTAATTTTCTCTGCCTGGAATACTCCTCCCACTTTCTTTGGCTGGACAACCTGCATACACTCTATTATTTAGCTGAGGGATTTTATTTATGAAGCCTATCCTGAACTTCCAGGTTGGCCTAAATAGTCTTTTCTCTCAGCTCCACCAGCATCGTTTTTACTTCTTTTATATCCTTTACTGCACTTGATTGCAATTTTTAATTTTCATTTGTATTTATTACCAGGTAGACCATGAACCCTTCAGTAACAGTGTGTTCATCAACTTCAATTCCCAGTATCTACAACAGAGCAGGCATATAGAAGGCTATGTCTCAATGAATAATTTTTGAGATATACCAACTAGTATTAAAAACACAGCAATAGCTACTTGGGAGGCAGAGATCAGGACTTTCATGGTTCAAGGTCAGTCTGGGTAAATAGTTCATGAGATCCCCATCTCCAAAATAACCACAGCAAAATGGACTGGAGGTATGGCTCCAGTAGTAAAGGGCTTGCTTTGCAAGTAGAAAGCCCCAAATTCAAACTTCAGTCTCACCACCACCGCCACCACCACCACCACCACCAAAAAGCCCCAAATCTTCCACTGCAACAAAACCTTTAAACCACTGCTAGCTATAAATTCATAAGCACTAGGATTAAATAATTAAATAAGAAAAACATTTTCTAGTTCTGTTCAAATATATTCTTAACTCTGAGTTTGTCTCTTGGAACAAAGAGCTGATTCTGGAAGGGTGACAAACATCAGAAAATGCAAACCTTGACTGTTGTTGAAAATTCCAGATGGGAGAATCTGTGTTTTCAACTACATTGGTGTATATTGGAGTTGGTTCATTTGCTGTTGCAAAGGATACACAGCAACTGGGTATGGATACTTTCCGCTCTGTCAAGGGACTCCCTGAAATAGAATATAGTGAAATGATTATATTTTAGAGTACCAAAAAAGACTGTGGTGGAAGAAGCCTCACATTATACAGGTATAAGCAGGACTATTCCTAGCCCTCTGTTACCTTTGGGTATTAGCTGGAGCTACTCCCTCTATCTTCTCTATCTGAAATGTTTCCAGTGACTGATCCTTCCTCCTCCATTCTTTTTTTTTTTTTAAAGATAGGGTCTCACTATGTAGCCCGGGTTGGCCTTGCACGTGAGATCCTCCTGCCTCAGCCTTCTGAGTGCTGGTACTACAGGCATGAAGCACCAAGCCCAGAACTCCAGTGACTTTTCTGTTACTGAACTCTGCCAATGGTTTAGTATGCCACTTCACTTTGGTTCCCTGGGCCTCATGTTTTTCCTCTGAAACATGTGCTTTCAAATCATGTCCTGACAATAAAATTCTAATTCTAGGTGTCTGCCAATATTGCTCAGTTCTTTTTCTCATACCACTGCCTCTCTACTTCGCATCCCCAGAATTTTATTTTCAAAATAAAGCTATTGTCTGCTAAAGGCCTAAATAAAACTATTATTTTGCCTTCAGAGGAAAATTGTTCAGGAGCATTTAGCCAAATAGGCAGGTGATAAATCAGCTTGTGAGAGTAGGTCTATTAGGTTTCCCTGGCTCTGCCCTTGTGGGTGGAAATTCATGTGGGCCTGTCTACACTTCTGGAAAAGGTCAAGGGCTGAAACACTTTTAGAGGTGGACCAGAAGAAAGTCACTATAATTCCCCACATATATAGACAGCACTTAAGAAGATCTGAGATGAAACAGCTTTACTATTTAAGGATTTTCTATATTTTACATAAATATGGAACGTAGTTTTATGCATTAAGAATGGCAGTTGTTTCAATGAGATAAAATAACTTCTTATATTTGGATAGCACTTTATAGCTTGTAAATTGTTTTCTTATACACTAAACTTGTGCTGGTAAAACCTCTGAAAACCACAAAAGATAGGTGTATCTCTCTCTGTTTTACAAATAAAGAAACCAAAGAACAGAGAAGCAATGTGGCTCCTTCATTACATATCCAGTTACCTAGTATTTGGAAAAATTAGCCAGGTTTTCTGACCCTCTTCCAGGGTTTTCCCATTATAATTATTCTAATTAACTCTATTTAGTTAATAGAAAAGCTTTCCCTCTGGTATAAAGCGAGCGGATGAAAATCTTCCTCTCAAGCAATGCCTGCTTTTGTATGTTATAAAAATTTAGCTCAGTTCTATGAAGCTAACGTTAACTGACACCTCCTCTGTGTCACACAGGCACAAAATGAGTCAGATTTGATTCTTGATCTGGAAGAAACAGACAAAATAAATAATTATAACTCAGAAGCTTCTAGACATCATCAATAGCTACAGCAAGGTAGCAGGATATAAAATCAACATAGAAAAATCATTAGCATTTCTATACACTAACAATGAGCAAACTGAAAAAGAATGTATGAAAACAATTTTATTTACAATAGCCTCAAAAAAAAAATCAAATACCTAGATGTAAACCTAACAAAAGATGTGAACGACCTCTACAAGGAAAACTATAAACTTCTGAAGAAAGAGATTGAGGAAGACTATAGAAAGTGGAGAGATCTCCCATGCTCATGGATTGGTAGAATCAACATAGTAAAAATGTTGATACTCCCAAAAGTAATCTACATGTTTAATGCAATTCCCATCAAAATTCCAATGACATTCATTAAAGAGATTGAAAAATCTACCGTGAAATTTATATGGAAACACAAGAGGCCACGAATAGCCAAGGCAATACTCAGTCAAAAGAACAATGCTGGAGATATCACGATACCCGACTTGAAACTATATTACAAAGCAATAATAATAAAAACAGCATGGTACTGGCACAAAAACAGACATGAAGACCAGTGGAACAGAACAGAGGACCCAGATATAAAGCCACACAACTACAACCAACTTGTCTTTGACAAAGGAGCTAAAAATATATGATGGAGAAATAGCAGCCTCTTCAACAAAAACTGCTGGGAAAACTGGTTAGCAGACTGCAAAAAACTGAAACTAGATCTATGTATATCACCCTATACCAATATTAACTCAAAATGGATCAAGGATCTTAATATCAGACCCCAAACTCTAAAGTTGATACAGGAAAGAGTAGGAAATACTCTGGAGTTAGTAGGTATAGGTAAGAACTTTCTCAACGAAACCCCAGCAGCACAGCAACTAAGAATAGCATAGATAAATGGGACCTCCTAAAACTAAAAAGCTTCTGTTCATCAAAAGAAATGGTCTCTAAACTGAAGAGAATACCCACAGAGTGGGAGAAAATATTTGCCAGCTACACATCAGACAAAGGACTGATAACCAGAATATACAGGGAACTTAAAACACTAAATTCTCCCAAAACTAATGAACCAATAAAGAAATGGGCAAGTGAACTAAACAGAACTTTCTCAAAAGAAGAAATTCAAATGGCCAAAAAACATGAAAAAATGCTCACCATCTCTAGCAATAAAGGAAATGCAAATTAAAACCACACTAAGATTCCACCTCACCCCTGTTAGAATAGCCATCATCAGCAACACCACAACAACAGGTGTTGGCGAGGATGCGGGGAAAAAGGAACCCTCTTACACTGTTGGTGGGAATGTAAACTAGTACAACCACTCTGGAAAAAAATTTGGAGGCTACTTAAAAAGCTAACATTGATCTACCATTTGATCCAGCAATACCACTCTTGGGGATATACCCAAAAGACTGTGACACAGGTTACTCCAGAGGCACCTGCACACCCATGTTTATTGTGGCACTATTCACAATAGCCAAGTTATGGAAACAGCCAAGATGCCCCACACTGACGAATGGATTAAGAAAATGTGGTATCTATACACATGGAATTTTATGCAGCCATGAAGAAGAACGAAATGTTATCATTGCTGGTAAATGGATGGAATTGGAGAACATCATTCTGAGTGAGGTTAGCCTGGCCCAAAAGACCAAAAATCGTATGTTCTCCCTCATATGTGGACATTAGATCAAGGGCAAACACAACAATGGGATTGGACTTTGAGCACATGAAAAAAGCGAAAGCACACAAAAGGTAAGACATCTAAAAAAATTAGCTAGCATTTGTTGCCCTTAATGCAGAGAAACTAAAGCAGATACCTTAAAAGCAACTGAGGCCAACAGGAAAAGGGGACCAGGAACTAGAGAAAAGGTTAGATAAAAAAAAATTAACCTAGAAGGTAACACACACGCATAGGAAATTAATGTGAGTCAACTCCCTGTATAGCTATCCTTATCTCAACCAGCAAAAACACTTGTTCCTTCCTATTATTGCTTATACTCTCTCTTCAAGAAAATTAGAGATAAAGGCAAAACAGTTTCTGCTGGGTACTGAGGGGGTGGGGGGGAGAGGGAAGGGGCGGAGTGGGTGGTAAGGGAGGGGGTGGGGGCAGGGGGGAGAAATGACCTAAGCCTTGTATGCACATATGAATAATAAAATAATAAATAAATAAATAAATAATTATAATACACTAAGATATGGATTATAACTTACGTTTCTTCAAATCACTTGACCTGTTGTTTTTCAGTTGTTTCATTTGTAAAATAAGGGTAGAGATACCGTTTTGTCTAACGTAAGAGCACAAATCTTTAGAGTATTAAAGCTGCTTAAAAAAATTTTTTTTTCTTTTAAGCCAAGGTGCTTACTATGTTGCCCAGGGTGATCCTGAACTCCTGGGTTCAAGCTATCCTCCTGCCTCAGTCTCCTGAATAGTTGAGACTAACAGGCATGCACAACTGCAAAAGCAGGAAGGTGATTCCTTTTTGGCATTTACCTGGGTTTGAATTCAGGGCCTTGTGTTTGCTTGCTAGGCAGGTGTCTACCACTTGAGCCAGGCCGGTTTTACTTAGTTTTTTTTTTTTAATAGGGTCTCACTTTTATGCCCAGACCAGCCTGGACCATGATCCTCCTACTTATGCCTCCTGCTGTAGACTGGATGACAGATGTGAACCACCGTGCCCAGCCACTGGTTGAGATGGGGTCTTGAAAACTTTCCCCCTTGCCTTGGGTTGGCCTTGAATTGTGATCCTCCCCATCACTGCCATACATGGGAAGAAAGGTGTGTGCCACCATGCCTGGCTATGAGTTGATTTTTTAATGAAGGCTTTTTCTAGTAAGAGTACCCAAGAGCTCTTTTATTTTCAGATCCAGAAGTATAGTGGAGATCACAGAAAGTTTTGAAGTTGCTTCAGGTTTACGCTTTGCTGAGGGAAAGGCTCTTCGTCTTGGGCTCTTTGTGAATCTTTAGCATGAAGGTTTGCACAGAGGAACTACTCATTTCCTTCCACAAGGAAGAGGCCTCTAAGGCCTGAAAGGGACAGGCACAGTGAGAACAGTTAAAGGCAGGAAGAAAGCCAATGTGGACACTAAGGAAGCATGGAAATGATTTTTGCAAAAGCTTTGTCACAGCTAACTAATGGAGAGCATATGTGGCTCATTTCAGAGAGATAAGAGGCAAATCTGCACTCCCAGGGACCAGCACAGTTCCTGTTGGACACGTACATGTTTGTGGGAGGAAGGACTACATGGACTGATCACTGCAAGGGTGGACTTTAGGGTACAAAAGAAATCCGTGAAAGCCAAGTGTCCACCCTGATGCTTGCCTTGATGTAGCTACACAGAAAGAAGCCAAATAACAAGTGATTTATTGGAGTGTAATGCATGCTAGAAATGTGAGAGGTTTTGGCACATACTGACAAACAGGAGGGTATATTTGCTTGGCTGCATCATGAGGATCAGGATGCAAGACACAGAGATAAACAACATACTGCCTCTGTCTGCAAAGAACAGAGACATGCTAATAGGTAATTTTAGTGTAGAATAGTAAGTGGTATATGTAAAAGAGGAAACCTTTGGGAAAAATTTGGGAACCCAGGCAGGTTTACTGCAAATAAGGGTGGCAGAATTGTCTTCAAAGTATTGGTGTCACTTATGTCTACTCTTGAAGGAGAAGAAGTTTGTCAAAGACGGGAAAAGGCATTTTAAGTAGAAGAAACAGCACAAAGCTTGATAGTCTGAGGCAGAATAGGGGACCTGGTACAACACAAGTTGTTGAATGTGAGTAAAACATGGTAAGAAATGAAGCTAGAAAGTCTAGTCAGGCCAGATAGGCAGCACTTAGTATGCTGTGCTACTAAGACTGCAAATGATATGAAACCAACAAGGTACACTTTAATCAGTGGAGAGACAAGGTCAGAATTGTTGAGCAGACATATAATCTTGGTGGCAGAATGGAAAAGATATTGGAAGCAACAACCAGTGAGAGGGCACAGGTTCATGTGTTGAAAGCTTAGTCCCCAGCGGGTGGTGCTATTTTTTGGAGGTTGTGGAAACTTTAGAAAGTGGTGGGACCTAGATAGAGGAAGTAGGTCACTGGGGGAGGGGGGGGTGCCCTTTGGGGCTCTATCTTCACCTGGGCTCCTCTCTTTCTTGCTGTTTCCTGTCCACCTAGAACAGCTTCCACCACACTCTCCCACTGACCTTATGTTCTGATGGAGAAGAGGTAATAGAAACTTTCCTTGTAAACTATCCACAAGCCATGGTGCTATGCCTTGTATCTAGATACAATGGATATTTAATAGGTATTTCTCAATCCCTGTGACTTAACCCCTATTAAAGTCTTCACAGGAAAAGTAGGAAATCAGAGAAGATATTAAGGAGAATGCATTTGAATTAGGTCTCAGCTTCACCTACTTCCTCATTTAACAAATATTTACTGCTTATTATATGTTAGGTGCAGTTCTAAGTATTGAGGATTTGGCAGTAAACAAAATAAACAAAAAAATCTCTAACTTGTATATTCTTCTAGGAAAGATAGAAAATGAACAAAATAAATGATTAAAAGCTATAGATAAAAAAAAAGCAGGAGGACTGGGGGGTGTAGTTTAGTGGTGGAGTGCTTGCCTAGAATGTGCAAGGCCTGCGGTTACATCTGCATCAACTCAAAACCAAACAAAACCAAACAACAACCATAAAAAAGCAGGTTAGATGGGTAGAAAATGTTGGGGAGTGGGTTGCAATTTTAGATGGGGTGACAAGGAAGCTTCACTGGGACAAGGTAACTTTAGTAAAGACATGTCAGAAGTGAAGATTATTCAAAATAGAAGGAAGATTAAATCCAAAGGCCTTAAGGCAAGACTCTGGCTACACATTCAAGAAAAAGCAAAGAGGCCCACATGTTAGATGTCATATCATTTACAGTCATTTTATTTTAAGGTAATAAAAAGGTTCAATAAACGGAAGGCACTATATTTACTTTACCACATAACTAAGGAAATTTAGGTAGATATGAGAGATATTGGTCCACAGTCTTATCAAGACAAAGGAAATTTAGGGCTGTATAAGGGAAAAGCAGTGATAATAAAGGCATATGGAGAACTGACATAAAAATAAGTCAGCAGGAAAAGTAAACTGTTACCTTTTTCATTTAAAGAGTAAGTAAGGATACCTTAAAGCAACTGAGGCCAATAGGAAAAGGGGAACAGGTACTAGAGAAAAGGTTAGATCAAAAAGAATTAACCTAGAAGGTAACACACACGCACAGGAAATTAATGTGAGTCAACTCCCTGTATAGCTATCCTTATCTCAACCAGCAGAAACCCTTGTTCCTTCCTATTATTGCTTATACTCTCTCTATAACAAAATTAGAAATAAGGGCAAAATAGTTTCTGCTGGGTATTGAGGGGGTGGGGGGGAGAAGGAGGGGGTGGAGTGGGTGGTAAGGGAGGGGGTGGGGGCAGGGGGGAGAAATGAACCAAGCCTTGTATGCCCATATGAATAATAAAAGAAAAAACAAAAGGTGAGAAATTCAAGACATAGACAACTTGTTCACAGTCTGAAACACACATACATCTATAATGAATTGTTTTGGGGCGAGGGTTGGATACAGCCCTACTGGCGTGTAAACTCCAAAAGGGCCTGACTCTTGCTTGTTCATTGCTTTATCCCTGCCACTAATGATGGTGCTTGGCAAATGCTACAGCTCATTTTGTGGCTAAACGAATGAATGCATGGTGAAAAAACACATGACAAGTCTTTGCTCTTGAGCAGCTCATATCTAGTGGAGAAGAAAACCATTGAAACAATTTCAGTACCATGTGACAGGTATACGATGAAAATGGAAAAGGTGCTAGGGAAGCAAACAGGAAGGGGCCTTTATGTAAGGGATGCCCTCTGGGATGTGGTGATGCTTGAGCTGAGTTTGGGAGAGGAGCTGGAATAAGGTTGCAAAAGAGAAGGATGATGGCAAAGGGAAAGTTTTAGGAGAGAGTGCAAGGCTGAATAATGATAGGGCAGTTCTCTGTCCCATGAAGTCCTTTGGTAACCTGGTGAAGTATATGGGCATCTTCTTTTAACAGTGTTTCTTTAAAATGTATAATGTGAAATATGTAAGATTATAAAGAAATCCAATTATATTGACATAAAGTTATCAAAACTTAAAAGAACTTTGTGATATAGGAATATATATGTTTTAACAAGATATAACTTAGGTTAAAAGTGCTATAATTTCAAAAAAACTAGGAGACATTAATGATATCTGTAACAACTATAATGTGATACGAAAATTCTTGTGATTTCTATGGTTATTGACATCACAGGAACTATTCCTATTACTGATACTAACAATTGGAGGAAATGTTAAATTTTAGTTAGAGGTTAATAAAAATCAAAATGTAATTTTCCTATCTAAGGTCACTAACCCGGAATTTTATCTTGGATCCCTTGGGGGCTTATGAAACTCTGGTCCTAAGTGTACAATGAGGACCTGAGTGGGTGGGAATAGAGAAGAAGGAAGAGATCTGTGAAAAATTTAAGAAATTTTAGAACAAGAGATGTGATGGTGGGTCCTTAAGGAAAAGAAGCATCTAGGTTGATACTTGGGTTTCTGGACTAGGGAATTTATGATAGCCAACATTAGGATAATTGACAAGGGCAGCATTTTTCTTTCTTTTTTTTTTTGTGGTACTGGAGTTTGAATTCAGGGCCTTATGCCTGCTAGGCAGGCATTCTACCACTTGAGTCATTCCATCAGCCTTTCAAGGTCAGCTTTAAGTTCAAAAAGGCTTTTGTATTACTTAAACCTTTCAGGTTGGAAAATATAACTGTTGATTAAGATAATTAACCATTTTTATAGATTTTGCCAGAACTTGAAAGATTGAGGAATCAGACATTTGCTCCTGGATACGTGTGCAGAACATACCTTTCAAGCTCAAGTGCATCGCTCTTTCTACCAGGATGCTGACTGCAAAAGTTCCATCTAACTCAGCAGGGTCCTTGTGTGCCAGGTGGACTTCAGCTGTTGTGCTGTTGCAGGGGATCTGGGTGGAGGCAGGAGACTTCTGGTGGCCACAGGGTGGAGAGAGTTGAATCTCCTTATTTCTGCTGGGGAGCTGCTCAGACTCACTGTGGCTACTGCAGTCCATGGAGTCCAGCTCATGAGTGGGCTCAGTGTGTGGAGAAAGAGGGGAAAGAACCACATGAACTCGCAAGGCAGCTCCGGAGAGATTGGAAGCATTTCGTCCAAACAGAGGATACACACCTATAACAGAATGAAGGGGAATAGGCCTAAATAAGCAGAAACCAAGAGTACTCTCAAATTTTGCAGAAATTATTCACTGAGGGGTTTATGTCCTCTTGTCTGTGACAGGCTCACAGGCTCCAAGAAACCAACTTACAAAAAAAAAAAAAATTGAGTTAATATACAACGTGAGAATTTTTGCCCTGCTCCTACTGTCTCCAATAATGCTTAGTGAGATTGATTTGAAACTCAGACTAAAAGACTATCAGGCAGAGCTGCAGTGGAAGAAATTTGTGAATTGGGAGCAACTATATAAGTCTAAGATTTGGTGAAATAAGGAGTGGCCTGTCTTTTCTTCCGCATGTTCGACAGGCTTCTGTTTTTAGATTTCTCCCTATCAGGAAGCCGTCTGAGTGTTCAATTTAGCCTTGTTTCACCAGTTAAATATGTTCTGGCAGTAATCCTGAAGATCTATTGAAAGGAAGGTTTAAGATGGCAGCAGGAGACAAGAAGGAAGAGTAAGGGAATTAATAGCTATTGAGGCCAGGCATGGTTGTACATGCCTGTAATCCCAGAGGGTGGAAGGCTGAGAGAGTAGGATCCTGAGTTAGAGGCCAGTCTGGGCTACACAGTGAATTCAAGGCTAGCCTCGGTAACATACCAGGACCCTGTCTTAAACAAAACAAAAAACAACCAAACCAAAACAACAACAACAACAAAAATAGTTGTTGAATCTTTTTTGTGTAACAGAATCTCAGAGGTGTTAAGTAATCTACCAGGATCACTCTTCCAATAAGTAGTAAATTTAAACGCAGGGATTTGAACTTTACTGGCTTGCTGGATTTTAAAATGAGATTTTACTTTAAAGCAGAGGATCCCAATAGTTTCTTCTAAATCCCAAAGTGTGCTTTGTTAGACTCATTTCAATTTAGGAAAACAGTAAACTGATTCACAGATGACAATAAGACAGAGCTTCTTTCGTCTTTTTTAGTTTCAGATAATCTATTTTCTTTTCTATGCAAAATGTATATTATTATGATGATCACAAACAAAAAATAAAGGCAATTCATTACAGGAGGGAAGACACCCAAAAGCAACAATAAGCTAAATCCTAATCTTCAAGAAACTTAACAGTATATGGAAGTAGGCTTTAAGTATGGGTGAACAGATTGACTGACTCATTTAGCAAACATATTAAATGCCATGTCTTGTATGAGGCTCTATACAAGTGAATAGAAGGTTTAGACTAGCGGGGTATGGAGAAGTATGAGATGTGGATGACCTGAAAAATTAAATAACGTCTTTGGAATCACTTAAGAAAAGGGGTATTTGTACGAGTTTTGACCTTTAGATCTATATTCAGTGTCCCAGATCTACTTTATTTAGCAGAATGAAGTTAAAATCTGACTTGACAGATGTTAGTTCCAGTGAGTTTGGCTTACTTCAAGGACTTTTTCTCTAGTTTCTCTGAAGTGACTCTAAGCCAGCTCCGGCAAAATAGGACATGTAGCATTTCATGAGGTACTCCATAGGGCCAGATTTACATCTGCCAGGTTCAGAGAGAACCAGAGAATTTGGACATCACCCAAATATACTCAGTTCTTGAGACTCAGCCTGAGCCATCTTTCCAACCAGAGGTAAGTGCAAAAACTTAATAGGACTAAAACAGGGCCATGATTCAGTTTCTTCAATTGTAGAGCAGGGAAAATAACTAACCTTACAAGCTGAATAAATATCACATTTACCAAAAAAAAAAAAAATCTAGTTTGGTTACTTTCAATTCATTCCATATTATAGTTGCTAGAATTATTTTTCTAGGATGCAAAGCTACGCCTCTCCATTGGTTCATTATAGTTTTCCATAGCTCTTGGAAAAAAGGCCAAACTCTTCAGCTTAGAAGAGAAGGTCTTCAACATAGTACTCTTGCCTATCTCTCCAGCTTTGTCTCCCATTGCATCCCTACCTATGTATCCTATTACACATTGTCCCAAATTACTTATAGCATCTAAAATATATCTAAGTGCTTCATGCCCCTGTGCTTTCACACATGCTCTTCCTCTTTAGAACTCCTTTCTTTACTTACTTGCTTGGTTTATGCCTTTTTTTCCTTTTCTTTCGCTTTTTTTTTTTTTTAAACAGGCACTTGCAAAGCAAGTGCTCTACCACTTGAGCCCATCTCTAGTCCATTTTGCTCTGATTACTTTAAGATGGGGTCTTGTGAACTATTTGCCCATGCTGGTCTTGAATCGTGATCGTCCCGATCTCAGTCTTCCAAGTTGCTAGGGTTATAGGTGCGAGCCATCGTGCCTGGCTCTTGGCTTATTCCTGAATCCTCTGAAACTAGGTCAAGTATTATTTCCACTGAGATGTGGTACTTCAACCAGAGATATCGTATTATCCCTGTGCTCACAGTGTACCACTGAGATTACTAATTTTTAGTTCTTATGCCTTACTGTAATTATTTGCTGGTGTACTCTCCCACTGGACTATAAACTCAGTGAGGCTAGGGACTATTTCTTGCTCATATTTGAATTTGGCAGGGCCAAGACCATGTATCAAGTACTAAACAAATGTTTGAAAGAAAAGTACCTAGCACATACACCACTTGTAAAATGTTACCTTTTTCATTTCTGCCTTGTGAACGAGTTTGTTACCATGTAGATTTTCTTTATGGTTCCAAGATGTGCTGGCCAGACAGGATGAATAGCCCTATCCCTTTCACCTTTCCCTTTCTTTTTAGTGTAATTAATAAACTATCACCCTAGATGATCATATTGGCTCTAATACATGTAAAGATAGTCTACTAAATTTACTCATTCTATACATATTAACTGAATGCTTATATATTCTAGGCACTGTGTTACGCACACCAATGTGAGCAATTCAGACGCAGAGCAGTTGTTTGAACCACAGGAGCTGAGTCTTGCTCCTCACTCACCACTGACAGTTAGTGTCCTTGCTGACCTCTCCCCAAGTCTGGCCAAGTCCACATAGGCTGAGCCAATCCAGCTGTCTGTCTGGTGGGGCCTCTCCACACTATCGTTGCCATAAGCTCGCCACACTTGGATCTCTAGCCTTTCTTCCCTGAAGTACCAAAGCAGTGATGGGCCCCGAGTGACTTCTGCTCTTTTGGATGCTTTGAAAGTAACCATAACCTGGTTTTTGTCAGCAGATTCCTTAGGCTTCCTGAGAGGGGTCCAAAAGGCTTCATGATCATACAACTTATAGCGAAGGTAGCAATATGTATTCTTATGAATGTGCTTGTGGCCAGCAAGCAGCACACAATGGTTGGGCAGCCAGAGTCTTGGGGTGGAGATGGTGACAGTAGCTGGTTCTTCTTGATCCATCTTGATGAGATCCTTCAGGCTATTCTCAAAGCTCCAGCCCAACAGCTCAGCAGCTTCCAATACCCGTTCTCTATCTCCGGGATGGGTGAAGGAAATTGAAAGCTCCAGACCACCTACAATCTTCTGCATAAACTCCAAGCTGTGAGGGAGGCCTTCATCTTCTGGTAAAATGACAGGATACCATCCTGTGATTCCTTATGGGAGAAAGATTTTTAAATTATTGTCTTACAAGTAACAAAATGTGCCCCTTTTCTAGCCCAGCTTCCCCAGAATCCTGGCCCAAGACAAAATAGAAAACATGTATCTACAGTAAGTTGGAGTCTTTTATCTGACCATTGCGAGGTAGGCAATGAGATTAGAAGGGAACGACAAAGGACAGGAGTTAGAAGACCTGAGTTCTCTCCTTGGCACAGCCCAAACCCAGTGGTTTATTCTAGATAAGCCATTAGTCTCCCTTAGCTTTGATTTCTGTACCTCACAAATGGGAAATTCACACAGATCTTATTTACCAAAGTTGTTATAATTGCTAAGTGAGACAATGGTTGAGGAAAAGCTTTGAAAGAGAAGTGCTATAAAAGATGTGTAATGTTATTATGGTACTGTGTTCCAGTACAACAGAAAAGTCATGGGACAAAAAGTCAAGAGATTTTGGATTCTACCCCATAAAATACTCAAACACATGGAAACCGAACAACACACTGCTAAAAAACGAATGGGTGAATGAAGTCATAAGGGAATAATTCAAAAAATTCAGAATCTGTGGGACGCAGCAAAGGCTGTGCTAAAGGGAAAAGTTTATAGCTATAAATGCCTACATTAAAAAAAAACCAGAGACCTCTCAAATAAACAGTCTAATGATGCACCTTAAGCTCCTAGAAAAACAAGAACAAACCAAACTCAAAACCGGCAGATAGAGAGAAATAACAAAGATAAGGGCCGAGATTAATGAAATTGAAACCAAAGAAACTATACAAAGAATCAATGACACAAAAAGTTGGTTCTTTGAAAAGATTAACAAGATTGACAAACTCTTAGCCAACATGACAAAATGGAGGAGGGAGAAAACCCAAACTAATAAAATCAGAGGTGAAAAAGGGGACATAACCACAAATACCAATGAAATCCAAAAAATAATTATTAGAGATTACTTTGAAAACTTATATTCAAGAAAGCTGGAAAACCCAGATGAAATGGATAAATTCCTAGACACATGCAAACAGCCAAAATTGAACCAAGAAGATATTAACCACCTAAATAGTCCTATTACATGCAATGAAATTGAAACAGTAATAAAGAGTCTCCCTACAAAGAAGAGCCCAGGACCTGATGGATTCATAGCTGAATTTTACCAAACCTTTAAAGAAGAACTAACACCAATTCCTCTCAAACTTTTCTAGGAAATAGAAAAGGAAGAAACACTACCAAACCCATTCTATGAAGCCAGCATTACACTCACTCTGAAACACAATAAAGACGTAACCAGAAAAGAGAATTATAGACCAATACCTTTAATAAATATAGATACAAAGATTCTTAACAAAATACTGGCAAACAGAATTCACTAACATATCTAAAAGATCATACACCATGACCAAATCAGTTTCATTCCAGGGATGCAAGGATGGTTCAAGATATGTAAATCCATAAACGTAATACAGTACATAAACAGATGCAAGGACATAAACATAATACAGTACATAAACAGATGCAAGGACAAAAACCACATGATCCTCTCAATAGACGTAGAAAAAGCCTTTGACAAACCCAACACCCTTTCATGATAAAGCTCTGAAGAAACTGAGCTTGCTTATGTTGAGGAACATAAGCAGGGCTATGTATGACAAACCTAGAGCCAACATCATACTAAATGGAGAACAACTGAAATTGTTCCCCTTAAAGTCAGGAATGAGACAGGGCTATCCGCTTTCTCCATTCCTATTCAACATAGTTTTGGAATTCCTAACCACAGCAATAAGACAAGAGAAAGAAATAAAAGGGATTCAAATGGGAAGGAAGAAGTCAAACTATCCCTATTTGCAGATGACATGATCCTATACCTAAGAGACCCCAAAAACTCTACCAAAAAACTACTAGAAATCATAAACTCTTTTGGCAAAGTAGTAGGATACAAAATTAACATACAGAAATCAGAAGCTTTTCTATATACCAACAACACACAGACCGAGAAGGAAATCAGGGAAATAATCCCATTTATAGTAGCCTCAAAAACAATAAAGTACATCGGAATAAATTTAACAAAAGAAACCAAAGGCCTTTTTAATGAAAACTATAAACCACTGAAGAGAGAAATCAAAGACTTCAGAAGATGGAAAGACCTTCCATGCTCATGGAATGGTAGAATCAACACTGTGAAAATGGCCATATTACCAAAAGCAATCTACATGTTCAACACAATCCCATCAAAATTCCAATGACATTCTGCAAAGAAATAAAAAAAGCAATCGTGAAGTACATATGGAAACACAAAAGACCTTGAATAGCCAAAGCATTCTGAGCAAAAAGTCCAATGGTGGAGGCATCACAATACCTGACCTCAAACTCTACTACAGAGCCATAACAATAAAAACAGCATGGAATTGGCATAAAAACAGACAGGAAAACAAATGGATCAGAATAGAAGATCCAGACATAAGACCATATGTAGCCAGCTGATCTTTGATGAAGGAGCCCAAAACACACGATGGAGAAAAGACAGCCTCTTCAACAAATGCTGTTGGGAAAACTGGATATCCACATGCAGAAGACTGAAACTAAATCCCCATCTTTCACCCTGTGCCAAAATCAATTCAAAGTGGATGAGAGACCTTAATATAAGGCCTGAAACTTTGAAACAACTCCAAAAGGCAGTAGGAAATACACTAGAACAGATAAGATATAAGGAACAACTTCCTAAACAGAACTTCAAAGACTCAGCATCTAAGAGAAACAATGAACAAATGGGACTGCATTAAACTAAAGAGCTTCTGCACAGCAAAAGAAACAATCACCAGACTCAAGAGACAGCTCACAGTATAGGAGAAAATCTTTGCCAGCTACTCATCTGACAAGGGTCTAATATCCAGAATCTACAGGGAACTCAAAAAACTCAGCCCCCAAAGAATCAACACCCCAGTGAAGAAATGGGCACATGAATCAAACAGAGAATTCTCAAAGGAAGAGGTACAAATGGCCAGTAAATACATGAAGAAGTGTTCAAATTCCCTGGTTATAAAAGAGATGCAAATCAAAACAACACTTAGATTTCATCTACCCCAGTTAGAATGGCTGGAATCAAGGGTAATAACAACAAATGCTTGGCAAGGATGTGGTGAAACAGGAACCCTTATACACTGCTGGTAGGAATGTGAATTTGTACAACCATTATGGAAAGCAGTATGGAGGTTCCTCAAAAAACTAGAGATAGGACTGCCATTTGATCCAGTGATACCACTCCTGGGCATCTACCCAAAAGAACATAAAACAGGATACAGTAGAGACACCTGTACACTGATGCTCATTGCAGCACTATTCAGCTCTGGAAACAACCCAGATGCTCTACAACTGATGAATGGGTTATGAAATCATGGTATATATACACAATGGAGTACTTATTACTCATCCACAAGGAATAATGACATTGGGTTTGAAGAGAAATGGATGCAACTGGAGGACATCATGTTAAGTGAAGTTAGCCAGGATCAGAAATACAAAATACACATGTATGTGTCATACATGGAAGATAGATCCAAAGATAAACATATACACAAAAACAAACATGATCACATACAAACACAGTTGTAGAACATGTTTGTAATAGTGGAACTACTCTATGGAACTCGGGGAAAGAGAGCTAGGAAAAGAGAATGATAGAGCAACAGTGATATTGCATACCACAAGATGTGAAGGTAGAGGATATAGAATGTGTATTGAAAGGTGTTGAAAAATGGGGGTTGGGAGGTAAAGGGGTAAGGAAGAGTATTCTCAGGGATTGAGCAGACCAAAGTAAAGCAACCCGCAGAAGGCATACATTGAGACACCCCTATGAACGTCAACTCAAATATTAATTATGAAAACCAGGACTGTAAAATTGGGACAGTGTGTGTGGGGGGCAGCTGTAATAGTGGGAGGGGGAGGTGAACTAAGGAGATTAAGGTGACAGTATATGGTAGATGAACTTCATATACTTTTATGAAATAGAACTAGAAAACCTCTTGTAACTGCTTTAAGTGGGGTGGGGAGGGGATTGAGGGGGAGAGATGATGGGGGCAATGTAACTAATGTATGACATAAGTCTAATTGGAATTGTCACTATGAAATCCTCCCTGTATCGTGAATATATCCTAATAAAAATTTATATAAAAAAAGAGATCAGATATTCCATCAAAAGAATTACCATGTAATGAACAAAAAGCAAGATTTCAAAATAATAACAGTTACTCTTCATTGTGTTTTTATTATATTTCAGAAATTCTGCTGGTGCTTTATATATAGTATTTCATTCAATTCCCCTATAACCCTGTGAAGTTTTGAAGATTAAATGGGATAATCCCTATTTTACAGATGACAAAATGGAAGCTCAGAGAGACCTGACCAAGTTACAAAGTTACCAATTGGCAGAATTAGGATTTAAAACCAGGCTACATGGCTCCAAAGTATATAATCTGCTAACTCTAGGTTCACACTATCTCATCTGAAATCCTTAGATTTGTTTCTGAATTTAGAATTTTTCAGAATTTAGAATGAACTGAATATTAGATAAGTCAGGGGTCATATAAGTGAGAGGTCGGCATAACTATTCTGTAAAAGGCCAGACAGTAAATATTATAGGTTTTGTGCTACATTTGGTGTTTGCTACAGTTATTCAACTATTCAGTTGTAGTGACAACATGGCCATAGAAATACAAAAATGAGTGGACATGGTATGTTCCAATAAAGCTTTCTATAAATAGATGGTTGCCTAAATCTCATGTCAGGTCAGGTTGGATTTGACTGCTTAATGAGATATTTAAAAGCTTTTAATGTCCAGAGCTTTTTGGGTTTCAGAATGGTATAAAACAGATTGTGGACTAATAGTAATATTCATATAAATTTTTTGAGAAAGGTTTGAATTATACTTACAAATGACAAGATTTGGGCTTATAAAGTTTTATGACTTTTGGAAAGGCATTTGATTTTTCTGGCCTTCCTATTTTTGTCTACAAAATGAGGATGAAAATGTTGATTTCTAAGGCTTTGTTCAGTTTGGACATATAAAAACCTTATGGTCTTGGCTTTAGTAAGTTTTTGGTCACAGACCCCTTTTGCTCTAATGAAAGGTATTAGCACTAGAAAAATGCACAAATGCATGTATACAAACAATTTCACATCTGAGTTTAAGAATTGCTTATATTATCTTAACTAAACTAGGGAGGCAGAGAATGGGAGGATTGCTGTCCAAGGCTAGCCCATGCAAAAACTTTGAGAAACCCTCATCTTAACCAATGGCTGGGTGCAGTGGCGAATGCCTGTCATCCCAGCTCTGCAGGGAAGCACAAGTAACAGGACTGTGGTCCAGGTCCGCCCAGGTGAAAAACGAGACCCTATCTCAAAAATAACCAATACAAAAAGGGCTGGTGGAGTGGCTCAAGTAGTAGAGCACCCGCCTAGCCATGAGTTCATACCTTGTAGTGCCAAAAAAAAAGTAAATAAAAAAAAAAAAAAAAAAGGAAGAAAAGAACTGCTTAGATTAGAGGATTCCCTTGTTCTGTGATTCTATAATTTAGATCACTGGTGGGAGGAAACAAAGCAGAATGTTCACTTTAGAAGAATCCTCAATATAAAGATGAACGATATAACCCTGATTGAAAAGGTTTATAGTGAAGAGATTTTAATTTGTACAGATGGGATTTACCAAATGGTACCTGCTTCCTGATAAACTCTAGAGTAAATTTTGGAAGGAGGCAAGCTCAGGTGTCCTACGTGCCCACCTAAGATCTTTTATGTGTATAATTTTGGCAAATGTTTCCATCCATAATCTTGTGAACTAAATCTTATTCCATTTTTGTAGATGAGGAAAGTATAGAGCCAAGAGATGAAATAGCTTGTTCTAGAGCACAAATAGTAAGTGACAAAAAGTAAGATGTGAATTATACATTAAGTTGTATAGACTTCTTTCTGGCAGGCACACAGGTCCTATTTAACAGGGTCATGTTCAAAGTTTAATTCGCAATTAAACTGGGAGATGTGTTAGGATTGTGGACACTAGATTATACATCCTTGGGAAGAAAATGAGTGAAAGAAGAAAAACATTTACAGGGTACCTAATATGTGTCATGTACATTATCTGGTTTCATTAATTCCGACCTTATAGACTTGTCAGGATTAACTGTTTCCATCCAGGAGCTAAGAAAACTGGGGCTCAGAGATGTCAAGTCACCTGGACAAGGTCATCCACCTCTGTCATAAGTGGACTAGGATCAGTATTTCCACACTACCTTGGTGATTGTGTCTATTCTTTTGAGCCTTTATCCCAAACCTCAGTGAGGGAGGACAGTACAACGAAAAATATGTGAATCTGGATTTGATTTTAAATTCTGCTACTCACTAGTTGTGCAATTTTGACAAATAACTGTTTTCTCATCTGTGAGCCTGTTTTCTCATCTGTCAAGCTGAAAATAAGACTTGTACCCTTGCCAGGTAGGGTTATCATGAGACTTAAACTAGATCAGAAAATATTTTATACATGCTATATTATGGGTATTGCCGTCTTCATCGTCATCACTATTATCTTTCCTACAGTAGGATGAGTATCATGACTGTAATATTTCAAGTTTCTTTGTTTTACAGAGGACCTTTAGAATGATTAGGAAAGGACTTACTATGTTTTTGAGAAACACTGTGAGGTACCTGGAAGAGTTAAAAAGCATGTGTTAAGGGGTCAGCCTCCTTTTGCATAATTTGCAAAGAAGCCGGATGAGATTACCTCTTGAAAGGAAGTGAATGGGTAATTCAGGATCCTTACCAGATCTCTTGACCAGCAGCTCTTTTGTTGGAACCTTTACTACTCCAAGCAGATAATCTTTACATGACTGGATACTGGCTATATCACTGACTGTTTAATTAAGCAAAAAAGAAAAGTTATTTGGTGGTCTCCCAACCAAGGGGCTTGTGTCTACAGTATATTCATATAACCCTTCACTTATATTCACTGAGTCTCAGTGATGAAAGATGCACTGGAGATTATCTTGCTTACAACCTAATTAAAGTCTGAATGCCCTTGAAATTTTTAAATCAAACATTTTATTTTAAAAAAATTGCAAGCATGCAGAAAAGTTGTAGGAAAATTATAATGAACTCCTATATAGCCTTCACACAGATTCACCACTAACATTTGGACATAATTGTTTTTTCTCTATACTGTCTCTATACACTTGCTCACATGGTCTTAATTTTTATTTTTTGCTATGCCCTTCAGAAGCAAGTCCCACAGATTATGGATGCTCACTTTTAAACATTTCAGCATATACTTCCTAGGAAGCACTATACCATTCAAAACAGAGCAGCTTTTAATTCTGATCATTTGGTGCTCACCTGACTTGGTATTTTCATGATAGATAGCAAAAATAATTTCTGCAAACTCCAACAGCTCTGCCAGGAAACAGGCCTCTCCACTACAGTGCTGAGTTACCAAGTTACAAGGGAACTCAATGTGATGGGAGAACTCAGGGCAGAAGGAACAGGCCACAGGACGGGTTCGGCGCTGCTCTCCCTTGGGCAGAAATGAAAGATGAGTGGTGACAGAGGCATTGACTCCAACTGTGGCATTAAACTGTAGAGCAGGCTCCTGCTCAGCCAAGGCCCTGTAGGAGAGAGGGGAGGGAATGAGAGGAAGAGATCATGGTAATATCAGAAATCAGCTTGACTGCTTAGAAAATGTCTCCATTACTTCCACGAGACCACTAAGAACACTAACCAATAAAACATTTTTTCTCTATGCTTTTGGTAGTGCCACACGTGCTTTCTTAGTAACCTAGGTACCACAGCATACTTGCATGCAGATGGGGGTGTCAATATTCATCTGTCTATCAGAGTGACACTCAGGACATTGTATTGTCAATGCCAGCCAAAGACCACAGGAACCAATTGCAGTTGAACAAGATAGGTTTACTGTTATTGCAATGAAGGAACACAAACATGCTGGGGAACTGTAGCACATCTCAGTAAAAAGGTACCAGAAAGTACTTGTAGTGCTGGGTTCATGTTAGCTGATTTGGGGGGAGGGCTTTGCTTTGCATTTTCCCTTCCCTTTCTTCACCTCCCTTCCTTCTTCCTGACAGGGTCTCGTGATGTAGCCCAGGCTGGTCTTGAACTCATGATCCTTCTTCCTTGAATGTGCTACCACACCTGACTTTTGTATTGATTTCCTCTTCCTTCCTTCCTTCCTTCCCTACCCTCCCCTTCCCCCTTCCTCCCTCCGTCTTTCCTTTTTTTAAATTTTTTTTATTTTTGTGGTACTGTGGATTGAACACAGGGCCTTACTCTACCACATAAACCATGCTCCCAGTCCTTTCTGGTTTTTTAAGTTTGTTTTTAAGATAGGGTTTTATGTTAACTTTGCCCACGCTGGCCTTCAACCACAACCTCCTGTCTGCTAACCCGAGTAGCTAGAATTACAGGGGTGGCCACCATACCCAGGTGCATTGGTTTTCTTTATTTTTTTCTTTTTTATTTATTTATTTATTTATTTATTTTTAAAATTATTTTTATATAAGGCTTGGTTCATTTCTCCCCCCTGCCCCCACCCCCTCCCTTACCACCCACTCCGCCCCCTTCCTCTCCCCTCCCAATACCCAGCAGAAACTATTTTGCCCTTATTTCTAATTTTGTTGAAGAGAGAGTATAAGCAATAATAGGAAGGGACAAGGGTTTTTGCTGGTTGAGATAAGGATAGCTATACAGGGCATTGACTCACATTGATTTCCTGTGCGTGTGTGTTACCTTCTAGGTTAATTCTTTTTTTTTTTTTTTTTTAAAGTTAACATTGACACAATACTATTATCTAACCTACAAATGTCATTCAAATGCTGCTTATTTCCCATACATATATATTTTTTTGGAGATACTGGGATTTGAACTCAGGGCCTCACACTTGCTAGGCAGGCGCTCTACCACTTGAGCCACTCCACCAGTCCGGTTAATTCTTTTTGATCTCACCTTTTCTCTAGTACCTGTTCCCCTTTTCCTATCATTGGTTTTCTTTTTTTTTTTTTTTTTTTCTTTTTCATTTTTCTTTTGGTTTTCTTTCTTTTTTTTTTTTTTTTGGTGGTTTTGGGATTTCGACTCAGGGCTTTGCACTTGCTAGGCAGGAGCTCTATCTCTTGAGCCAGGCCTCCAGTTCTGCACTGGTTTTCTTAATGAATCCTATCTAGGAGAGAATACTAAAGTTAACACTATCCTTAAAGCTGTAGTAATTACTTATTTTAGGCAGTTTAGGGGGATGTTAGATGTTTTTGTAGTTTGCAAAGTGAGCTTGTTTTGGTCTAACCTTAGATAAGATTATGGAGTATAATGTTGAGAATGGCCTGAAGGGGTATGAGATGGAAAAACACAAGTTGGTTCTCAGAGACTGAAATGTGTGAACATGGGTTTGCACAGGAGCTGCAGTGATTGGGCATGGCATGGTTTGGGTGTAGAACCAAAGTGCAATGATAGTAGCAAAAGTTTACAAGGAATTTACTGCAATTCTGAAATGCTTTTTTTTTTTTTTGCAGTAATGGGGTTTGAACTCAGTGCCCTTGTGTTTGGTAGGCAAGTTCTACCACTTAAGCCACAAAACAAGTCCTGACATGGTTTCTTAAAAGAAAAAGAGTTGTGGTCAGTGAAATGGAAATTGTACAGAAGAAAGTTATATATATCGGAGCATCAGTGAAAAAGATTTTAGCTTACTTGGCTGCTGCTTGCAGACCACAGGCTCTGATTATCTGGACTGAGATGGAGACAGCTCGAGCAGCAAGAATTCCCTCTGCTGTTCTTGGGCTATTCCAGTACCTTAGGCCCACATCCAGTAAACCTGAAGAATAAGGAAAATGATTAAAGGTTGGTTAGAAGAATCTCTCTTTTACCCAGCCATGGTCAGAATCACATTAAGGGTTAATAACCACATGCTACTTTTTTGTAACAGACTCTACCATCCTACTGCCTCATTTCATGGAAAGCTTTAAGGAAAAGCTGATCAGTGAGGGCAACGAAAAACAACAACTTAATTTTTTACCTATTACAAGATAAAACCTTTTGTTTTGGTAGGTAGTCTTTAGCAAGCATGTGTAATACTTTATTTAGGAAGCTAATCCTGATAAACTTGTAGGATAGATCATCCTTCTAGAACCATTGGACTGTAGTACCATCCCAAGTTCCAAATTCTTATTAATCTCTTCCAACTTAAATCCTCATCTTCTTCTCCCTTATAGTGAATTTTCATCTCTGGTTAACTATTCCACTAATCCCACACCTGTTTATACTGCTTTAGAATAATAATTCTCTTATTTGTACCTGTATAATGCTTAGAATTTATATTAGGAGGATTTATTAAATTCTTACTGAAGCTTAAGGTGAAATAGGACAAGCAACCTTTACACAACAGAGTCCAGAGAACTATGAGTTTTCTAGAATTACACGCAAAATTTGTAGTATTCTATACTCATTTTTCTGAGAGAGGGCATCTCATAGTTTCCATCAGATCCTCAAAAGGGTGAGAACTCCAAAGAGTGAAGAATCACAAATTTAGGGAGAAAAGGGATATTTATGTATACTGATTTTGAAAGGGAAAAACAAATTAGTCTCAAATTACCTGATGACTGGTTCCTCAATTCTTTCTTGTTCTCAAACCTGGAGGTTAAAGGGAGATTGAAGTTCTGCATTCCCACAACTTCACAGTGCTGCATGGTTACCATGGCAGAGATCCTTGATAATGGCAAGGTTCCTTTGGCGACCATCTGGTCTCTCACATTAGGATAATAGTACCTGTAAACCACAAAAGCACAAGCCACCAGTTGAAGAGTTAGTTAAATGAACAATTCAGTCTGCCTCAGAGATCAGTTTTCAGTAGCTCGTTATCTTTGGAGCCTGACTGCTTTGAATTGACGGTATATAGCTGTTGCTGTGTCTGGCTACATTTAGTGCCCACTACCTGGAGAAGAAAGCCTATAAGTTATACCATAAATTTAAGACAAAGTCTAGCTTCCCTCAGGCTGTTTGAAGTATCTGCATATGCCTTGGACTTCTGGGAATAGTTACTCATTAAAGTTTCTGTCCCACAGCAGTAAAGTTCTAGGTAGAGCAGTCCCAATCTCTTTCACAGCTCATCCTTGTCTTCTGGCACAGGCCCTTCTAATTTCAAGGAGTAATCAGGATCTGTCAGTGCTTACTCAAGTCAAAATAATCCACTCTTAAATCACAAAAACTATAAATCAAACCCAGGTGGTTTAAAAATTTGTTTTGCACTTAATTTGCAATTTAGGAAAAATTTCTGGTATGTGATGGTCATCTCCCCTGGTTCTGTTTCTGATGCTATTAACCCTTCTTTTATATTCTCTTAATCGCTTTAGTTGGCTTCTTGGAGGGAAGGATACAAAGGGGGAAAGTGAACACCTACATTTACACCAGTTATCTTTCTGGAACTCTTCTACCAATGTCTAAACACTGAGTGTATTTATATCTTCTGAAGGCTACTATTCTGCTGGGGGAAGAACAGATTACAAGAAATGAATTTAGAAGGGAGACCAGCTGGGAGGCTATCAATTGAGCATCATATGAGAAGAATCTGAAGTAAATCAGGCAGTAATAGAACACCAAAAGTGAATGATATGTTTAAGAGACTAGGAGTTAAGAGTGATAGGACTTCACATCCAAGGTAAGTAGTTGTTAGAAGTCTGAGATGCAATTGCTCCCTATATCCTAACAGATTTCAGTAAAAAATCATACATGAGTAATTGTCAAATACAAGGAATATAAAATAGGGCAAAAGGGTCTCCTTAGCTTTTACAATAATTCCTCCCAAGGATGGGGTGCTTCACGATTGTGTGCTTCCTTCCTAGGCCATACTGTACCTGCACCAGACTTCAAACTGGACTCCACCTCCAGGTATGAGCCCCTGTGAGAAGGCGCTTAGCAGGAACCTTTGCACTGGAACTTCAGATGGCAAGAGGAGAGAGTGATGGTGCTCACTGTTAAAGATGGGATCTGGAACACAGAGTGTGGTTGACGTTCTAAAGGGCTTCAGACTAATTCCTTTGGAAAAGAAAAGCAGTTAAAATATCCATCAATTTGTGTTTTATATGTAGTAGGACAGTACTTACATACATGTTATTTAATTTTATTCCCCCAATATCCTATGAGAACAAAGCAGGTATTTTTACTTCTACTTCACAGATGAGGATATAGACACCTTGAGGTACACAATTAAGCAAAAGTCTTAGAAAAATAGTATGTCACAGATCTGGAATAAAAACCACATCTTCTGACTATCATTTCTCTAGTGGCTATAGTTCCTCAAGGTCCCATGATAAAATAGAAGAGAGATCCTTTTGCTGGTGGACAATAAATAAGAGTTCAAATTTCTCTACATCTTTGCCAACACTTACTAGTTTCTTAAACTTTATAGCTATCTCAGTGGGTGTGAAGTGTATCTCATGGCAATTTTGATTTAAATTCCCCAAATGACTAATGATACTCACTATTTACTATTGTTAAGATGTGGTTTGTCCCCCAAAAGTTCATGTTATAGAGACCTGGTCCCTACTGTGAATATCAAGAGGTGAGGGAACCTTAAGAGGTCCAGTGAAAGGTGTTGTTTTAGGTCACTGTTGGTGCTGCCCTCAGGAGGGATTAATGCTGGTTTTGTGAAATAAATTAGTTCTTGCAAGAAGGGACTGTTACAAAGTGAAGTCATTCCATGTGCAGTCATTTCCCCTTCTGCTTCTCCATCATGTTGTGACGTGGTTGGTGTGTGTGTGGGGTTCTCACTAGAGGCCAAACCAACAGGGCCATTTGAACTTGGAGATTAAGACTCTAAAACTGGGAGGAGGTGGAGATGGGAAGACTGTAATTGGAGGCCAGCCCCAGGGTGTGTGTGTGTATGTGTGTGTGTAGAATTATTAAGATCCTGTCTTAATGAATAAGGTGGGTATTGTAGTGCAAGTAACCCCAGCTACATGGGAGGTAGAGGTAGGAAGATGGTGGTCCAAGGCTGGCACCAGGCAAGAGCAAGACCCTATCTGAAACACAAACTAAAGCAAAAAGGGCTGGGGATGTGGCTCAAGTGGCAGAGCACTTGCCTAGCAGGAGTCCTGAGTTCAAACCCTAGCAACCCCCCAGCCCCACACGCAAAATAAACCTCTTCTCTTTATAAAGTACCCAGCCTCAAGTATTTTGTCATATCAATAGAAATTGGACTAATACAGTGTCTTCCCATGTGCTTACTAGATATTTATATATTTTTGGAGAAATGTCTATTCAGATCCTTCACCTATTTTTTTTTTTTTTTTTTGTGGTACTAGGGATTGAACTGGTCATGCTCATGCCCAGTCAGCATCCTACCACTGAATTACATCCCCAGCCTTCTTATTTATTTTATTTTAATTTTTGGCAGCACTGGGGTTTAAACTCAGATAAATTTTGTTCTTTTTCTTTGTGGTACCAGGGCTTGAACTCATGGCCTCATGCTTGCTTAGGCAGGTGCTCTACCACTAGAGTCACTTCACCAGCCCCCAGTTTTTTTATTTTGAGACAGTCTCACTCAGTTTCCCAGACAGGCCTTGAACTGTCTCAGTCTCCTGAATAGCTGGACTTTGTCCCCTTTAAAATTTTTTATTGATTTCTACAAGTTTTTAATATATTCTTATATATGTTTCTTCTGTGAACCAAAAAATCAATACTGGCAGTAGCTGGTGTCATTCATGGTCATGTGCAGGATGGTGAGACATTTGAGTTGTCAAATTTGCTCACTTCCAGCTGAAAAGATCAAACAAGCTGAGACTCGGCCTTCTTTTTCTTCTTCTTTTTTTTTGGGAATGGGGTTTGAATGGGCTTCATGCTTGCAAGGCAGGCGCTCTCCTGCTTGAGCCACACCTCTAGTCCAAGACTCTGCCTTCTTGTTTTAGCTCTCGGAGATGATCAGAAAATAGAGATGGCAGAGATAGCACAATGCATGTAAGAAACTCTGGCTCTGGGTCCAGTGGAACAGGGTGTGAATTTAAACTTAGCTGAGGTGGCCCTAGGTAAGACACTAACACTTCTGAACTTCATTTTCTCTTTTATAAAAAACAGAAGGTAGAATCTACCTGAATAAATTGTTTGTAGGATTATAGATTATGGTCTATGTATTATATGTATATGTACCTACTTCCCTTAGGAGCAATGGCTCAGAATCCCCTAATTCCCTGAAGTGTTCATAGTGACTTTACAGAGCTTAATGGCGCAAATAATCAGAATTAACTATATGTGTACAGAAGATAAGAAAGAGTAGGCATGTAAATAATATAAGGGGTCAAATATAAATAACTGGTATATCCAGGCAAATGATATACAGAAATTACTTGTACTATTCTCATATCTATAAATTTGAAATAATATCAAAACAACAAGTTACAAAAACACTTTGAAAAAAAGAAAGATCAAAATTTAATCCATCTCATGTTTTACTCCCTAGATAAGACTAGAAACATTTGGCAACATAATATCCACACAGAAAAAAAAAATTCCTAAGTGTGCCTAATGAAAGAACCACATGCAAATGAGAAGGCCTAATCTCCCAAATTTACCATTTTCAAGGCAGTCAGATCCTTTGAGCACACTGGATTGCGATTCTTGAAATGGAAAGTAGTACTGGACAAAACAATCTGCTTCTCCCCAGACTGTTGCCTGAAGAGGGGTTAGCCCTTTAACCATCACTACATGGAACTCAAAGTGGTGCTCCATCAGTCTATCTCCTTGGTCCTTCACCTATCAAATAAACCAGAAGCACTGGTAAGTTTTAAAGCGTAACTTGTTTAGAATATTCTTGCTTCTCTATGAAGCCCAAGTATAAATGAAGAAAGTGAACTGGCTGATACTTAAAACAGAAACTTAATTTTCCTTGTATGTAACTCTCACAACTGTGGTCAGACCAAACAGGATTGACGATAGCCATGAGACCAAGTCAACATTAGGCCATCCATAAATGTACTCCAGTGCATTAATGGAACAAAGAAAAAAAATTCAATCTCAATAAATTCAATCCTTCTAAAAAGGAATGTGGTAAAACTCAACATTTGTTGCTGATAAATGTTCTTATGATACTGAGAACAGAAGGCTATTTCTTTAGTAGGAAAAAGAACATGTATTTGAAACAAATAGGTATTAATGACTATTTCTAAAGAAGTTGGGGATAACACTGGGACTGTCCAATATTGGCAAGGGTTACTTGGGGAAGTAATGAATACACTGTTACTAAAGGTATTATTACTGCTAAGAATTAGTCATATTTACCGAGCATTTATTATGAGCCAGGAACTATACTGAACACTTCACTTGTAGCTAATTTAACATGCAGGAGCCAGGGTTTAGACTCAAACGGTCTGCCTCGGGGGGCCTGTGTTCTTCACCTTTACCTTATACAATCCCAGCAGACATTAGACAACTGGTTATGAGGAACATTCACAGGAACAATTCAGGATTCAGGTAAGAGTGGGACTTCTATGCTTTAAATGTCTTTTACATTTTAACTACTAACTGAATAAATCCCAAACAGAGACTGCATTAGGTTTTTGCCTTAAAATCCCTTAGAGAAACAGACAGCTTTTGATTTCCTGGAGCAAAAAAATTGGTGACAAAAAATTTCTCAAGAGTCACAATATATGCTTGATTGGGCCATATAGTATTACAGTAACTTCATAACGGCCACATACCACCAAAATAGAGTTGGGAACATTATAGGCACTTTTTAAATTTGAGCTCTTATGTAATTTTCAATTAGAAAAACACTGTTTTTGAGTCTCACTATGTAACTCAGGCTTGAACGTGACTATGTAGCTTAGGCTGAGCTTGAACTCATGATCCTCCTCCTGTCTCTGCCTTCCAAGTGTTAGAATTGGAAAAACAGAAACTTAATTTTCCTTTTCTGCTGGCAGAAAAACATCATTTAACCTGTTTACAGACACTAATATCTAACAAACAGCAAAGAAAAGTTTAGAGTTAACAACACAAATTTTTTCCTAATAATTCTTTCCCTCCTAGAGACATTTGTCTTTCCGATTCAGATTTAAAAACATAAAATACTTAAATGGTGTGGAGACCATGGTTTGACTTTACTAATAGAGACAACAAATACAGTGGAATGAATACTGAACTTGGAGTCAGAGACCCTGTGTCTGAACCTTAATTCTCCTGTTCTCAGTTATGTGTCCCTGGACAAGTAACATAACATAACTTTTCTGTTTCATCACCTATAAGAGTATAATAATGACCCATCTCATGCAGTCGTTACAGAAGTATACATGAACAAGTGTGTCAATGCTTTCTCAATTATACAGCTCGGTATTAAAATAAGTTACTTTTCAGTTGCTAGTAGAAAAGCAAGGTACTTCACTGTAACTTTGCAACATGGACTTATCCATCAGATTTTCTGGCTAATATTTGGGATCACTCCCCTTTCCTGATTTTTTTAAAGGCAATTAAGTTGGTACATTGGATAATTAATATCTGGTTGCCCAAATAGATTTTCTTTTTTGTGTTGTAAGGAATTGAATCCAGGGCCCAGAATATGCTAGGCAATTTCTCTACCACTGAGTTATATCCCCAGCCCTAGATTTTCTTTATAAACTTAAGAATATCAGAGGAAGCCAGGTGCCAGTGGCTTACACCTGTAATCCTAGCTACTCAGGAGGCAGAGATCAGGAGGATCATGGTTTGAGGACAGTCCAGGCAAAAAAAATGATCCTATCTCAAAAACACCCAACCCACAAAAGGGTTGGTGGAGTGGTTTAAGTGGTAAAGCGCTTGCCTAGCAAATGTGAGGCCCTGAGTTCAAAACCACAGTGCTGCCAAAAAAAGAAAAATCTAAGAGGGAAACAAAGAAAAATACCAATGATTCCTCTGGAGTGTAATGCAAGCACTGGAGCATAACTAATCTATTTTCATGTGACTTTCTTTACTGAAATAAGAATTTGGGGACAATGGTTTCACTAAAATGTGCAAGAGAAAATGAGATCATAGTTTTCTGTGAACCAGGGTTGAGTCACTACCATAGCAACAGATGCTACAGATGGCTGGTCCAGGAAATGGGATGGCCTAGGGCTGAAGGGAGGGAGTGTTCCTTCTTCATTCTTTAATCTTTGCAGTGCCATTATCTGATCTGAAGAACCCATGGCTAAAAAGACTCGAAGACTCCCATTTTGGTGGCCTGAAAACACATCAATCACAGGCATGTAGCTGTCGACAGCAACAACTGGGTAGTTGGCATCAAGCAGCAGGCGAGAAATCTTGGGATCTCTAGGGGGAAGAAATTGTAAATGAGCAAATAATAATCATCAATCATGTCAGGTGCTTCATTTTTTACTTGGCCCATTTTCTCAGTTTTTTAAAAATGGATCTACAACTAGAAAATAGTGACTTTAAAACAGTATGTGATTCTGTCAGTAATCAATCAAAATAAAATTACAGGCAGCCCTGAATGCAGCAATTTCAGGGCTGGGAATGTGTCTGATGTATCCTCGGTGGCCTGAAGCCTAGTCTCTGCAGTGGAACACTGAGGCTTGCTGAATTGCATTATTTTACATGGAGGCAGTATGGTCAACTAGGAAGAGTGTGGACTTCACAGGTAAGACTTGGATAATATTACCAATGATGCCTGTCATCTACTGACCATGTGGTAGGTACTTTTAAAGTCTTCCTTCCTCCCTCCCTCCCTCCTTCTTTTCCTTCTTCCCTCCCTTCCTTTTTTTTTTTTTTTTTTGATCCAGGGTCTCACTATGTAGCCTAGGCTATCCTGGAACTCACTATGTAGCTGTGAATTTGGGATCCTCCTGAGTGCTGGGATTACTGTGTGTACCATCACACCTGGTGTATAGTGTTTCTAATTCATTTGGCAATGCAAAGATTGATATTATCTACTATTAACAGATAAGAAAAGCTAAGTTAAAAAAAGTTAAGTAACTTAACTAAGAAGATGCAGCTAGTTGGAGGATGAATTAGGACTCAAGCTTTGGACTGTTCTTGTTTTTTTTGTGATTCTGGGGATCGAGGGTCTCACACATGCTAGTCAAATGCTCTAACACTGAGCTATAATACCTTCATCTCTTAACCATTTGATTTTAAAGCTCAAATGCTCTTCACTATATCTTAGTGGTGCCACTTACTGGCTGTGTGACTTAAGTAATCAACTTAACTTTTCTGATCCTTACTCCTTATTTGTGAGATATAGGTAATTAAACTCCCACCACAGGACTGTTGTCAGAACTGTAACAAATATAAAATAACAATTATGATGCTTGGTATATGGTAAAGTCTCACAGCAAAGGCTAATATCACAACTACAAAAAAAAAAAGATGGATGGAACTGGAGACCATCACGTTAAGGAAGATAAGTGAAGTTCAGAAAGACAAATATTGCATGTTTTCACTCATAGTGGAATCTAGACCTAAAATAATAATAATAATAATAAAATGACATGACTGTAAAAGAAGACTGTTTGGGGAGGAACCAATGGGAGGAGGAAGAGGGAAAGGGGTGAATGATTGAAATATATTTATATATATATATATATATATATATATATATATATATATATGAAGATAGCACAATGGAACCCACTCTGTTAAATAGGAGGGGGTTAAGAAAGATTAATATAGACAGGGTGAATTTGATAACGTACATTATATGTGTATGTAAATACGACAATGAAAATCCTATGCATAATTAATTTATATGGATAAACTTTTTTTTAAATGTGGGGGAAAAGGGGACAAAAGTCTACAGTAGATAATGGCATCCATGATTTCAGCAGTTATCCTCAACCTGGCCATGTTTTACAATGTTAGCATCAGAAGCACTTAACTGTCCACAGAAGGCAAACCCATATTTCCTAAGTGAGATAGGGGATTATCATCATCTTCTTTTTACAGATGAAGAAAAGAAGGCCAGAAAGGTCAAGTGACTTCTCTAAGTTAAAGGATAAATTTCCTCATTTATAATATAAGGAGAATGATAACACTTCATGAGGTTATAGTAAGGCACTCATGAGGTTATAGTAAGGTTATAGTAAGGCTCTTTGTAAGATGGAAATAGTCTTCAGGTTAATCAGTATTCTATATAACTGTTAAAGGGAGGTACTCATCAAATCTGAAGGTCTAAAACACAATATTCATTACAGAAGTCTTGATATGAACCATTCTGATACTTCGTGACAGAGAGTAAACCACTAGGTTTGTGAGGCAGAGCTTTGGGTAAAGAGTAAATTTTGGCAGTGGAGATATCGGTAAATAGAGTGAATTGCAAAGGTGGGGACAGAGGGTAAAGAGTAATAGAGGGGGTGAATTTAATCAAAGTACATTATATGCATGTGTGGAAATATCAAAATAAAATAAAACCCCTTTGTACAACTATATACCTTAATGAAAGAGAAGAGAAAGATGAGAGAGAAGGAGGGTAGGGGAGGAAGAGAAGGAGAACTTCAGAGCCAGGTTATCTGAGTTCTAACCCTAAATACACTCTTATGACATTTGTGGCAAGTAATTTAACTTCTTTGCATCTCTGTTAACTCATCTGTACAACAGGAGAAATAAAAGTACCTACCTCAGAGGTTGTTACAAGATTAAATGACTTGATGTACGTAAGGCTCTCAGAACAGTGACTAACACTTGGGAAGCAATATTTGCATGGCTGAGTCATAACAGAATAAGGGAGCAGCAAGTGTGGTGAAACTGAGAAAGGTCCTTCAAGGGACTATTGAGCTATATGTGTTTACAAACCCAAAGAATTCCTCTTCAGTTCATACAAAGTTAAAGGCAAAAAATGAAGAATACTCCAAAAGAGCCTATTTACTTGAATGACATGTAAAACTGATGGAGAGGGAGTTTCACCAGCCCGAGCAGCTTGTCCTGTCCTGGGCTCCGCACCTTGTTCCAAGTTTCAATTACCATCACATTGTTCTTAAGCCTTTCCAGGTATTTGGAAGAGAGAGAGACAGGAATCACCTGGGGAGGGAGGGGTGAGAACAATTAAAAAAAAAAAAGTCCACACCTCAGACAAACAATTAATTTATGCTTTTATTCAACAAGCATTTATTGAAAACCTAATGTGTAAATGCACAGTATTAGGAGCTGAAGACATTAAAATAAAGCCTACTCTATATCTTTAATAGAAGTGGCAGTCTGCTGTTCAAGACTAACATATAAATGCCAGATGCAAACCAGCATGGGTTCTCTGATGATAAGGCTCATATAGATGGGACACAGAGAAGGTTGTCAGATATGTCAAACATATCTGAAGAGGGCCTCCAAGAGTGATGAATGGAAGCAGTAACAGTTAAGGGTTAAGAGAAGGGGAGAAATGCTGGGGTTTCCATTCTTTTCCTGGTTTTCTCTTGGCCCAAAGGCTGAAAAAGACTAGCTGTTGAGTCAGGAAGAAAATAAGAGTAGAGTTGCAAAAATCAAGAAAACAAACCCAGGGCTGGAGGTGTGGTTCAAGTGCTAGAGAGCCTGCCTAGGACGTGTGAAGCCCTGAATTCAAATACTAGTACCAACAAAAATAAAAAAATACATTTTAAGCAACAGTTCTAAATTCTACAGAGAAATCAAGAATAAATTGAAATAAATGGAGGAATAAATGAGTCAGGAAAAACATATAAATAAAAAAATAAAGAGAGACTGGAGATTAAGAAAGTTTGGGGAAGTTTAACCGGTCAAAGTCTAAAGGAAGCAGAAAGGAGTAAGACCCAGACTCAGGCAAAAGAAATAGTGGGAAACCACGTGAAATGAGAAACAACAGAAAGAGAGACAAAAAGTTTTAAAATATTGACAGTGTCTTTTCCTCTTTCCATCCAATAAAGCATCCCAGATAATTACAAAGGTCCCTTCCAGTATGAACATACTCAATTTCTTTTAAGATGGCATTATGATTTGGGAAATATTTGTTCTCCCACCTCCAAATACCTGTATAGATATGAAATATACAAAATTACCTGAGAGAAGTTAAAGACTGGTTGTGTTGTACCCCATGCTATGATAGATCTGGAGACTTCCTCTGTGCTGAAGAGTTTACAATTTAAATAAACATTACATGATGGTTGTTTCTCGGATTTTCCAGTAATGAAGTCTTTCCCATCTGGCACCATCAACAGCACATGCAACAGCAAGGCATTTTCTTTTGTTGACTCATTTGTCTGATTTACTAAATTATGGGAAGCTGGCACAGCCATGAAGGTTGAAGAATTTGTTGCTACAGGGCTTGGTGACTTTGCGTTGGAGAGCACCAATTTTTGTGTTTTCTTTGTAGTTTCCTCTTGCATTTGATTTAGGTTCTGTGGATTTTTGGTACAAGTAGTATCTTGACTGGGTTCTAATAGTGTCTTATCTGGACTTGCAGCAACACAAAGTGGGGTACGCTGGGTACTGTTACTTAACTCAGTATTGACACCAGTGAAATCCTTGTTATCTGTAACAAGCTCCATGGTTACCTGTAAAACACAAAAAAAATAATCAGAAAGAATGTCCTATAGAACTGGAATCACAATTTTGAAACTGGAGATGATGTCAGATTATTAAGAAATGATTTAACTCACCATCAAATAACAAAATAGGAAGAACACTAACACTGTATATACATTAACTATTCAAAATAAGAAAAAGCTAGGTAGATTATTCATTAATGATACAAGATGATCCTGGAACATCAACTTGTACAAGAAAATAAGTAAATGCTCAGAAAAGGATGGGAATTCTGGACACAGAATCCAGTTGATGAGGCTCCTACTGGCTAAATCTAGGATAATTTGAGCAACAAAATGAATAGCAGTAATGGATTCTGACCTACTGAATGATATAAAAATCTGTGAGCATATATTAATATAAAATTAGTATGAGAAAAAGGACAACTATTCTGTATTAATATACAGAAGAACAGCAATAAATGCTCAGAGAGGGCTAAGGATATAGATTAGTGGTAGAGCACTTGCCTAGCATGCATAAGGCCCTGAGGTCCTAGGTTCAATCCCCAGCACTGCAAAAAACAAAAACAAGCAAAAACAAGACAAAAATAAACCACAGGGAATAGCGAAATCACCATTTTATAAGTATCATAATGATATGTGATTCAGGTAAGCCAGAAGGACATTCTACAAAGTAAATCTTTTACTTTTAAAAATTATTAATGTACTGGAAAAAATAAAGAAGGCTATAGAACTGTTTTAGACTAAAAGAGATTATAAGGAAATGACAGTTAAGTGCAAATGATAACCCTGGACTAGAAAAAATTGCTATAAAGGAAGAAAGTATTGGTATAGTTGGTGAAATGTGAGTATGCGTTGTAGATGGAATACATTATCAACATTAAATTGATTTTTATAACTATGGCATTATGCATGATATGTATTTGTTCTTAGGAAATACTTCTAAAGAATTAAAGGGGAAATAGGCAAGATGTCTGTAACTTATTCTCAAATAATTTGGAAAAAAGTATGTGTATATGTATGTACATATGTATTATATATGGAGGGAGGAGATGAAGCAGAGGAGAGAGAGCTACATAGGGAGAATTCAATAAATAAATATAAAGCAAATGTGACAATAAGAATTGATGAGTATGGGTAAAAGGTATGGAAGCTCTTTATACTACTTTTGTAATACTTCTCAAAGTTTGAAGTTAATCAAAAATAAAGTTAAAACTGTTAAAAAGTTAAATAAAAGAAGGTAGGATAAATGATGAATCTGAAGGTCAGGGTAGTCACTAGATGACAGAAGAATGAATTACTAGGGACAAAGGATTTTTACTGCTCCTTTTATCTGAAACCCAGAGGTGTTACACGGCAAAGTTCTTTTGCTCTATCAAATACTGGGAGCAACCAATCCAGTATAGTACTTCTCTCAACAAAGCCAGGATAGTAAAATTTCTATTCCCTCAATCCTACTAATACCCTGTTCAGATTTTAAACCTTGAGGTCTAGAATTAACCAAGCAGGCAAAAAATAAAACTTAGAAGGAGAGTAAGGTGGTGTTCAATTTTTTCAAAAATGAGTCTTTAAAAGCTAGGTGGTACTTACTTAGTAGGAAGACCAGGAAGAAGAGAGAGGACTTTCAGGAAGAGGAAGCAGCATGAAAATTAAACAAACAAAACATGGAGGCATGAAGCCAGAATGGTGTCTCAGGGATTCTTTATAGTTTGAAATGTCTATTGGTAGAGAAGGCTAAAGTGGTAGGCAGGGCTCATATAGTGAGCCTTGTATTTTATTCTTCAGATTACTGGGAGATGTTTTAGGCATGATTGTGAAGATGTTAAAAACTCACCAGGACACCAAGTAAAGCTGTACTGAAGCCACACATTCAAATTCTGCCACCTAAGAAGTCCTGATGCTGCTGAATGCAAGGAAAGAACCCTTTCTTCAATGAATTAGACATCAGAACTTACTCCATCAGGCACATATTTACTTCTGTCCTTGTTTACTGTCACACGCCTAGTCTAAGCCACCACCAATCACCTCATTTTGGGACTAATGCTATAGCCTCTGCATTTTCTTTCTTAGCCCCTACAGTCTATTGTCCACACAGAAATAATTTTGAAATGTAAATCAGATGATGTCACTCCCATGCTTCAATGTCCTTTCCTTGGCTTTTAAGCTAAAATCTAAACTCCTTGCCTTGACCTGCAACGCTCTGAATGAAATGGTCCTTATCTGCCTGTACAACCCTAATGTCTATCACTCCCTCATATTTACTATACTATGGTTACATTCTGACCCTTGACCACAAAGGTCATTCTTACTTTAGGACCTTTGCATATACTTTTAACTTTCTTGTCTTATTCTTCAAATTTTACCTTAAATGCTGCCTCTTTAGAGAAATCTTGCCTTACCACCATCTCCTATTTCCTCCTAGGCACTCATTAGCACACCATATTATTTCCTTCAAAGCACTCCTGTTGCCCAATTTCAATCAAGTCCCACAATAGCACAGACCTTGCTTTTCTTGCTCACTGCTATATTCTTAGCAGCAGTCAACAATATATGTTCAGGAAATACTTCTGACTTCCTGAATGTATATCTGTGTACCTTCAGAGGGCCAAATGGAGTCTGACCATTTTCCTGTTGCACTGGAAGTTGGTTGCTGAAAGACAGCAGCTCTGATTGAATGACAGCTCGCAAAGGAAGTAATGCAGCTCCAATGACTTCTGGCTGAAGAAATAAGGAAAGCAGCAGCTTAGGTTCGAGAGCAACCACACAGGATTTTAACTGAAGTGACAACCTATGATGGCTTATAAAAGAACCTGTGCTTTATGAAGTACAAAGGTTAATTATGTGACTGAGTGCAGGCTCATATTTTGTCACATTTTGGTCTCCTTTCTGGGTTTCACTATTTTCCACTAGAAAATTATAGAGGATTTTATAAATCACAAAGAGGTTGAAGATTATCTTTTTCTATTATTAAGAGTTAATTCTTTACTTAAAATGTTCAACTTTATTAAAAATTAAAAATGAAATTTAGCTGATAGAAACCTTTGCCATTAAAACTAGGAAAATTACAGTACTTAATATACTTGATGTTGTAAAGGATACAGAGAAACAAAAGGCTGTCATATATAAATGAAGCTGGAAATATAAACTGACAGTATACTTCTGGGAAGCAAATTTGGCAGTCAATATAAAAAGCTTTAAATATTCTTATTCTTTGGCCCAATAATGCTATTTCTGAGAATTTACAATAAAGAAATAATGGACAGTACATAAAACACAAATAAGTTCATGTTAAAAGTAGTTAACAATTAGAAGTAAATAGATGTCCAAAAACCAAAAAATTTTAAGCTGATTATCATCCATACAATGGTATGATAGGCAGCCATTAAAATGATATTCACTAAAAGTTTATAATAATATGAACATTTGTTATAATATTTGATAAATTAGATAAATAGTAAGCCTTCAACTATTTATACTATTTATAAAATTATTTGGGAAAACATTAAGTACATTTCTTTCTTTCTTTTTTTTTTGGTGCTGGAATTTGAACTCAGGGCCTACACCTTGAGCCACTCCACCAGCCCATTTTTGTGATGGGTTTTTTGAGATATGGTTTCGTGGAATGATTTTGCCAGGCTGGCTTCAAACTATGATCCTCCTGATCTCTGCTTCCTGAGTCGCTAGGATTATAGACATGAGCCACTGGGGCCTGGCTCCATCTCTTTTCTTTTGGAGACAAGGTTGCACTACTTAGCCAAGTGCTGGGATTATAGTTACAAGCCACCATGCTTGGCCTTAAGTGCTTTCTTTTTTTGGTATTGGGAATTGAACCCAGGGCCTTGTGCTTGCTAGGCAAGCACTCTATCACTTCAGCCCTTTTTTTGCCTAGGCTGGCTTTGAACCAGGATCCTTCTGAGCTCTGCCTTCTGAGTAGCTAGGATTTTAGGTGTGAGCCACTGGCACCCAGCTTTATTTTTATTTTTGAGATAGGGTCTCATTAACTTTGCCCAGCCTGGCTGCAACTCACGATCTTCTGCCTCTACTTCCTGAGTGGGTGGCATCACAGGTGTGTGCCACCATGCCTGGCCAAGTATGTGTTTTTTCAAGAAAAATTACACTATCAAGGCAATGTTAAATGAAAAAAAAAAAAAAGGCAGGATAAATAAATGCCTCATACAAAATTATATAATATACTGCATCCATTTGAAAAAAATAGGAAATACACATACATGTTAAAATGTTTTATCTTAGTGATGGGATTATAGGCAATTTTTAAAAAAAAAAATTTTAAAAGTTTTCTTTAAAAGTATAACTCTTTTATAAAAGCCATGAACTAGGCACAGAAAAGTGATTTTGTGCAAATATAATGAAATGTTAACAGAGGTTATCTTGAGGTTGTTTTAAGGTGATCCCTGTCCCCTTCCTGCTTTTTCCAAAAAGAGCTTGTATCATTTAGATAAAACAACCAAAAGAAAGCAAGTTGTATTCTTCATGCTATCCACACTAAAGATGAGGTGAAAAGATTATGTAGGATTATGAAGGAAGTAAATATTGCTCGTGTCATAGTTTATTGATTTAAATTATGCTAGTTGTAAGTGGATTTTATAAACTTGGAATCAGCTGATCAATTGCTATCTACAATTATATCATTTTGGACATGAGCTGGATACTTTAGGTATTATACTGTAACTAGGAAGTAGAATCTCAGAGTAAGGCTAATATAACCTATATTAATACAGTCATCTCCCTGTAACAAGGGAGCACAGTGAAGAGGTTAAGAACTTAGTATCTAAAAACAGAAGACTTGGGATGGAGTTCTGGCTCTAGGTAACCTCAGACATGTTACTTAACTTCATGAAATCTCAGTTTCTTCATCCATTTACTAAATATAATACTGTACTTAATTCTGGCCTATAACAGCAGAGAGTAGCAAACATAATACTCACAATAATAATAATAATAATAATAATAATAATAATAATAGCAGAAGTGTTGCTTGAGCCTAGTGAAATTCCTAGTTTAGGTAGGAATATAATTTTAAGTATGTTCCAAATCTCTGGTGTGAATGGTGAGGCAGAAGCCAAAATCATGTAAATACCTTTTTCTGTGGCGTTTTCTTTGCATAAATTTGGAAAGTGAGGTTAGAATTCCACCAGTGCTCTACCATTGGGCCACCAAACTGCACTGGAAACACAAATCGCTGCTGGAATTTCACCACTGTAAAGAGAACCAGATACATATGTACATGTCACAGAATCCAATCAGAGCTGTCACAATCAGTGCCTTGACACTACCCACCTCCTTTTCAAATGTAAAATCTCTTCCGGGAATCTAGCCAGTGAGATTTGACAGTATTAAGAGTTGTAGTGTTAAAGGAAGAGACAAAGAAAACAACAACAAAAAAATCCCCAAAAAAGCCTTGGGTAAGAAGAAGATAAACAATGCTATTTTGCTCTGCTTTGCTATGAAAAATGAATGCCAAGCACGAGCACAGACCATGTAAGGAAACACTCATACACTTCACTGCATTTAAGGTAATATGACTTTGTGTGTGTGTGGGGGGGGGGTACTGGAATTTGAACTCAGGGCTTTGCCAGGTGCTCTACAGCTTGAACCATGCTTTCAGCCCTAATATGACTGTTTTTAAAAGATAAGTTGGCATATAGCATAACAACATCAAAAAAGGGGTGGTGAGATGGCTGGAGGTTGGACAATGAGTGATAATAAACAGAAGGACTGAACTCCTACTGCTAACACTCAGACAAGGTACCAGGCACTGATATTAGGTAGCCACGTTAGGAGGAGTACAGTCTGTCTCTCTCTTTGATGGAAAGAAAGGGATGTCTGCTGTAAATAGTGATGGTGCTATTTGAGTTTGTGTCCAAAGTTATGGAGCTTTAATTTAGGAGATAAAAGGAATTTGAGCCAGGCGCCAATGGCTCACAGCTGTAATCCCAGCTACTCAGGAGGCAGAGTGCAGGAGGAACATGATTCGAAGTCAGCCTGGGCCAACAGTTCCACAAGACCCTATCTCAAAAAACCCTTCACAAAAAAATAGGGCCAGTGGAGTGGCTCAAGGTGAAAGTTCTGAGTTCAAACTCCAGTACCACAAAAAAAAAAAAAAAAAAGAGAATTTGAGAGTAAAATCAAAGGAGATGAGTTCAAGCTCCAGTTCTATTACTAGTGTCCACCTCAGCAATAATTTATCACCTGAAAACTGATCTTCCTGTTCACTCATTTCTAAGACCCTTAAAATGGAACTGAAGAACCTCTCTGAAGAAAGAATTTGGCATTCATTCAAATTGCTCATGTTGCTCTAGCAATCTCTATTCATCTCCGGCTATCTTAACTCTTGACTCTGTACGTCTACTGGCACACTTGGGCAGGATCTGGGTCTTGCTATCTGGACTCACACCCAGAAACTACTCATGAAACAAAATGCCAGGGCTCAGGAAGTCAACATCTACTAGATAAATTTCTCTGGTTGCTCTACCAAGGGAAGCAGGACACTGTGCTGGTGTGCTGGGAAGATCAGCTAAGGTAATAAATGAAAAAGCACACTGTAAAAATTCTTACAAACAGAATTCTATTTTTATTTGGTATACTAAGATTTCTCCTTACTACTTAGCCATATTTTTATACTTGTACTGAATTATTCATACAATTCTGTTTCTTTTTTTTTTTTTTTTTGGTGGTGGTACTGGATTTTGAACACAGGGCCTCAAGCTTGCTAGGCAGGTGGTCTACCACTTAAGCCATTCCACTAGCCTTTTTTTGTGTTGTATATTTTCAAGATAGGGGCTCCTGAACTACTTGCCAGGGCTGGTCTCAAACCATGATACTCTGCCTCCTGAGTAGCTAGGATTACAGGTGTGAGCCACAGGCACCCAGCCCAATTCTGTGTGTTAAGTTCATTGTTATTATTACTATTATTATAACTTTTACTACTAAGGAGTTAAGGTGATAATAGAAGAAGAAATTCATATAAATAAATTGCTAACAATGTCTCAGAGAAGATTTTTTTCAGAGTTGGAAGAGATCCTGAAATTCCTAGTCTAATCTATATTATTAAAAGAGGTTCAAATTTTGGTGGTACAGAGGTTTGAACTCATGGCTTGAGCTTGTTAGGCAAATGTTCTCTTTTGAACATGTTTTGAGACATGCTCCCAGCTCCCCCTGCCCGTTTTTTTTTTTTTTCTCTTTTTGATTAATTTTGAGATAGGTTCTTATTTTATGCCCAGGCTGGCCTGAACTGAAATCCTCCTATTTATGATTCCCATGTAGTTGAGATCACAGGTGTACACCACCAAGCCCAGCTTTTAATTGGTTGAGATGGGGTCTTGTGAACTTTTTTTGCTCAGGCTGGCCTTGAACCACAATCCTCCTAATCTCTGCCTCACTAGTAGCTAGGATTATAGTTTTAAGCCACCACATTCAGCTATTTTTTAAATCTAAGGATTAAGTGGTTCATGAAGTTAAACACTGAGTAGAGATCTTATCACATAGTTTAGTGCCCAATAAGTCTGAGCTATTTACTAGTTCCCTAAACTCTACTATTTTAGAGCTTAATGCTTGTGCATTGATTCCTTGTATATTTCAGGCAACCCTTGCTCTGCACGTATATTAATTAACTATGCAGAACTATGTCCTTGCTGTGCATAGTTCCATAGCAATGACAACTCAATTCCAATTAGCAAGAATTTCAATTAACACTATACGGGCAAAATGAGGACTATAGTTTTTCAGTCTTACAGATGTTTTAATAAACTTATCAAATGATTAGGTAGCAGGAAAAGACCTGAGAAAAAGATCCAAAATTTTTCTTCATATAATGGATTTGATAAAAGCATTTTAACCAACAGGGCATGGTAGCACATTCCTGTAATCCCAGCACTCGGGAGATTGAGACAGAAGGGTCAAGAGTTTGATGTCACATGGGCAACATAGCAAGACTTTGTCTCAAAAATAAATTTAAAAAACCCAGTTTAATCACATTAAGAAGTCTCTCAATATGCTTACTTTCATCCAACATGATTATTTACATCTCCTTGAATGCTTTGGACAAGCCTCCAGGCAGCTTCTGCTACTGTTGATAATGTAAGCGTATAGCCCCGAAGTAAACATAAGATAAATTTTAAATGTCCCAATTCTTCCTTAAAGTGATGGGGAGAGTGAACTAATATGGACTACTAAAAGAGTATTATTACATTACTTTAGATGCTGTTTTTAAGGATAAATAAGTGTTTATGTTTAATACATGTGCTAGATATACTCATCCCAAGTTAGATATCACCCACATACGAGAATATTTGTTGAAGTATTGTTTTTAATAGCAAAAGCTGAAACAATAAAATATTGTCAAAAGGGAGGTGTTTAAATTATGGCCTAACATCACAATAGACTAGTATGTAGTCATAAAAGAATGATAGAGCTCTTTAAATCTTCGTATGGAAAAATTTCTTAAGTATAGTGTCAAAGGCAAGGTGCAGAACAGTGTAAATGGTAGTCTAACACATGCACAAAAATGGGAGTAGGGAACAAACACATTTGCTGACATACACACAGAACAGCACAGGAAGGATGTAAAAGTGACATTGCTTACCTACAGAGATGGAACGTGGAAACTATGTGAATAGATTATCTAGTTCAAAAGGCATATAAACAAAACAATAAAGCAAAATAGAAATGTAAAAATCCAAGGTTACTGTGCTGTACAGGAAGTTACTTGGATATGTAGGAGAGTTAGACCCATGTATTTTACTTCTCAAACTACTTCTCAGAGAAGAAATTTAACACAGATGAACTCTTCATGGATCAAATCAAAGAACCAAGGCAAAGATGTTCTCACAGTATGTTAGAAAAGCAGCTATAATACTGGATTTGTAGGAATATAAATGTTTATTATATTATTCTTTTACTTTTCCGTATTAGAAATATTTAAACCAAAATAGAAGATACTACCAAAAGCACAAACAACAGAAGAAAAAAATAAATTAGACAACATAAAAATTAAAAACTTTTGTGCTATAATGGTACCATCTAGACAGTGAAAGGACAACCCATAGAACAAAAGAAAACATTTGTAAATCATGGATCTGATATGGGACTCGTATCGAGAACATATAAAGAGATCTTAATAATAAAAAAGCAGGACTGGACATGGTGGTGTATGCCTGCAATTCCAGATACTACGTAGGCAGAGAAATGAAGATTGTGGTTCAAGTCTAGCCCAGGCAAAAGCTAAGGAGACCCTATCTCAAAAATGAACTAGGCATGGTAGCACATGCCTGTGTTCCCAGTTATGTGGGAGGTGGAGCTAGGAAGATTATAGTCTTGAGGTCAGACTGAGCAACACTGAGAGAACCTCTCTGAAAAATAAACTTAAAGCAAAAAAGGACTGGGGATGTGGCTCAAGTGGTAGAGCACTTGCCTAGCAAGTGTGAGGCCCTCAATTCAATCCCATTACTGTCTCCTCTTTCTCTTCCTCCTCCTGTTACTACTACTACTACTAAGGACAATAACACAGGCCAGTTAAAAAATGGACAAAGGATATGAACAGATATTTTTCAAAGAAGATATACAAACAGCCAGTAAACACATGAAAAGATGTTCAACTTCATTAGGCATCAGGGAAATGCAAATTGCAATCATAAAGAGATACCACTTCACACCCACTAGGATGCCTAGAAAAAAACCCAAAACAAAACAAACCAATAAAAGGACTGGAGGTGTGGCTTAAGCGCTAAGACTATGTGCTTAGCAAGTATGAAGCTCAGGCCCACAAAAAAAAAAAAACACAAACAAAACCACCCAAAACACTAGGATAACTAGAATAAAATAATAATGGGAAGTAACAGGTGCTGGTGAGGATGTTGGAAACTGGAACCCTCACCAACACTGCTGGTGGGAATGTGAAATGCAGCCATGGTTGAAAACACTGGCAGTTCTTGAAAAGGTTGAAACATTGAATTACTATCTGGCATTTATATTGTTAAATATACACCAAAAGGAAATAAAAACATACATTTGTAGAAAGTCACATACACAAATGCTCAGAGAGGAAAGCTGAAGCAGGTAGCTCCTCTTTATCTCCTTATTTTTGTAACTTAGCATATAAAAGATGGGAGGGGCCAGCTGCTCTCATACTCATTTTTCCAATGTCAGAGTCTGGCTCTTTAAATATTGATTAAAATATTATTTCCCATCTCCTCATCTATGTGTCCTGCCTCAGAACTACACAACAGTGAGAGGCTTAAGACAACATTCATTTTGGCTTCAGATCAAATAAAGCAACCTTGACAAAGCAAGTCACTATTTATTTTTTGGTGGTACAGGGGTTTAAACTCAGGGCCTTGAGCTTGTCAGGTAGGTGCTCTACCACTTGAACCACACCTTCAGCCCTAAGTCAGTATTCAAAATAATTTTGAGAAAGGAAACAATTTAACCCCTTTTCCAAAGATAAGAGCATACAGTGGTAGCTTCTACTTTAATTAATAAACTGTGTTTTTAAAAAAAACAAAACAAAACAAAAAAACTGCCCCAACAGTGGCAACAACCCAAACGTCTCTAAACTGATGAACAGACAAATGGAGTCATAAAGAGAATGAAGTACTGATACATACTATTATAAAATGGACAAAACTTAAAATATTACACTAAGTCAAAGAAGCTAGTCACAAAAACCACATGCTGCACAATATATAAAATATCCAGAATAGACAAGTTGATAAGAGACAGAAAGCAGACTAGTGTTTGCTTAGGGTTGGGGGTGAGGAGGAGAGGAAAATGGGTAGTGAATGGTGGTAAGCATGAGTGTTTCTTTTAGAGGAGGTGAAAATGTTCTAAAAACATTAAACTATGTTAAATGTGTAAACTGTACAGCATATGAGTTATCCCTTGATTAAAAAAAAAAAAGAAAGGAAAAAGGACAATAGCTGAAAGAACATGACGTAAGAATCAGATGTTCTGAGTGCTAGTGTCAGTCATATTACTGACCTGCTACCTTACCTCAGGATAGTCACTGTACTACTGGGCCAGTTTCCTCATGTATAAAATAAAGGAATGAGAGTAGAAGCACTTCAAAATTTTTTCTAGCTCTAAGATTCTGTACTAGAAAAGTCAGATAAATAATTTGGGGTTCAAAAATTCCTCCTAAGTCAAGATAGCTAAGGAGCAGCAAAACCAGTCTGTCTCTTACTTCCATCTGTAACTTTACTGGAGGCAAGTCGAACAACTTCGGTGATCAAAGATGACTTTTCTGATCTACTTTTGGAAAAGCCCACAGGAAAGTGATATTCCACAAAGAAAGTGCTAAAAAAAAAAAAAAAAAGAAAAAAATGATTAAAAAGACAAACCAAATAAACCTATTTTCTATCTATAAGTCCCACATAATTTTGAAGGTGGGTCCCATTTTGAAGGTCCCATTTTCAGAGCTGGTATCTTCAGCTCTGAAAAAAAAAGCTGCACCTTTTCTTCCAAGCTGTCAGATGGAATGAAAGGCTCACTTCTGTGAGCTTCCATAGCATTCCTAATATTAAGCACCTAGTAAAGCCCTATTTTATAGACAGGCATTTAAATGTTTCAGTCTTGATAACTGTGAGGTCTATGGAGCAGAATTTGAACCTTAATTTTCCTTATTGTTGCAATTACCTAGCAGAGTTCTTGGGAACTAGAGAAGATCCATGTTTACTGATTGAATGATACACATGAAAACACATTACAAATTGTGAAGTTATACTCTTATTATCAGTCACACCTTCCCAAAACGTCAAATTTAGCTTTCTCATATTAGAGACATACCGCTTTTTTGCTGTTGTCAGCTTAGGTGGTCTTCCAGGAAAGCTTTTCTTAGGAGTCATCGGAGGACTATCTGGAGGAATTCCCATGGTTTCGATGATGATTCTGACTGAATGTGTCCTACCCAGAAGGGCCAGTCTATCTACATTGAGTGTCATCACTTGGGCATTTTCTGGAGCTTTTGGGAACACATGTTGTCCAATCAAATTTCTGCAAGGAGTTCACATAGATAGGCAGGTAGATAGAGGCCCAACATGGAACACTCCAGTTTGACAGGCAAGAGGAGGAAAGAGGTAGGGCAGCAAGTGGAAATGTTTTTAATTACCAGAATTCTGGTCCTAATCTACAATGACAGAAATCGCAAAAAAATATAAAAACATTCTTTTAATCTAAAGGTTTATATTCACACAAGAATAAAAACTGATGTTTTTCTAGAATGGACACAGAGTTTATTCCAGTTACCTACTACCTTAATATAACTACTCTTGTCATTTTGTGTGTTCCCTTCACTTGCTTTCCTTATGTATATTTCCTACGTAGGTGTAATCATAGTGCACATACTTAGTATGCTGCTTTTTCCCTTCAACTTTGTTGTGTGTGTGTGTGTGTGTGTGTGTGTGTGTGTAACTGGGGATTGAACCCAGTCTCACATATGTTGGCAAGTACTCTACAACTTGAACTATATCCCCAGCCCTTTTGTGTTTATTTTGTTTTCAAAATAGGGTCTCACTAACTTTGCCTAGGCTGGCCTTTGGTCTCACCATCCTCCTGTCTCTGCCTCCCTTTTAATTGGGATTACAGGTATACACCACAATGCCTGGCCTCCCTTAACTATTTTAAAAGTCACCATCTTTTCATGTTACAATATTTTAAAGGACTGCAATCCTTTACTGAGTTACTGTAATTTAATCACTCTGGTAGTTGTTGGGCAAACACAGGTTATTTTACTTGGGGAGATCTTATGAAAATCATCTTCCTTTATTTTTGCCTGTGATCAAGGATTCATACAGGCTTACCTATTTTTCTTGTTTTCTGCCCTCTTTTTCAGCTTTTGACCACTTGAATCCATAACCTTAGAAGATTTAACAAGAGATCTTGACTGGTTCATTTTTTTAGAAGGGATCACATCATCATCTTCACTGAGAAAATCACTGATGCTGGCATCAGATTTCTATGGGGAGAAGAAACAAAAAGTGAGACACTAAAAGATAATTGGGGGAGAGCAGTTATGAAGCATTTCTCTAAAAGTAAGCAATTCTTTGCACGTACATCATTGTCTTAAAGAGATAACTGACTAACACCTGGGACATAATCCCATATTTCTCCTGGTCATACAAAAATAATCTGGTTGAGTTTTTTTTTTTTTTTTCCCTGCTTTCTTTGTTTTTGGTGGTACTGGGGTTTGAACTCAGGTACTTGGGCTTGCTAGGCAAGTGCTCTACCACTTGAGCCATGCATTCAGCTAACATTCTCAACAATGTTAGATCACAAGTTATTGATTTCTTACCATGTTTAGTATTTTGCTAAATGAATATATTTCTAGCATTCATCACATTCCTACAAGGTCCTCTTATCCCAATTTTTACAAATGAAAAAAGTCAAGCAGTTTGTTTTTGATCCATAGCTGTAAGCAGCAAAGACAGATTGTGGTAGCATGAATTTCAAAACCTGTATTTCTATACACCATGAGGCCAAGTGACTGGTACAATGTCACTTAGCTGTTTGGATACAAAGACCACTTTTTTTTACTACCCATACTACAAATTATTAATTCTGTTAAGATAAACTATTTCCTGTACTTCACAAACTTCTTAATAGGGGAGCCAGTGGCTAAATCTCTGTAATTCATTTTTGAGAAAGGGCATCTACCACAATTGACTTATTTGTCCCTTATAGTATGCAAAATAGAGAAGATAGCACGATAGTTATTTGGATTCAAATTTTTAAAAAATTATAAGGATTGTTAATATAAATTCAGGAGACCAATTCAAAGTCATTTTAAATCTATCATCATCTTCTACTTCTTAGCATCTCAGGATATATAATTGTTGGTCTGTGAGAAGAGGGATGCATAAGCATGATAAGAATGTCCTTCTAGGAAGAAACACAACCTTTTTTTTTTTTTTTTTTCAAGATGAAATTACAAAATCTGCTTGCTCTTTGGTTTTTCTTCAATGACATCTTTTAAAAGTGGTTATTGGCAAGATTATCAATATCTAGATGGGTTCTCAGGCTAAAATAAGTTCAAAAGCTAAGAATTTCAGGAATTTCTAAGCTGTGGATATTATTGAATATTAAGAACATCAACCAATCACCAGCAATGCAACAAAACAAAAAAGCATCAAACACTGACAATGGGAAAAACACAAGCATTCTAAATCTATGGTCTTCATATTGCCTCATGGTCAGTTGGTTCACTAGTTCTTTCAGTCAACAAACATCTTCTAAAATTACTTATTTCAAATATCATAGGATATTATTTAATGCCATTCATACATATATTCTTTCATTCATTCAGTGAGAACTCAGTATCTGTCTAGCCTTTGCTGTACTGGTGATAAAAAGATAATGAAGATGTGTTCCTGTTTATGAGGAACTAATAAACAGTTAAGATCTAATATAACAGAAGTACATTAAGATATTGTGAGCACTCAGGCAACAAATTCTGCTTGGGCAGTGTGAATGGTTTCTTCATAGAGGTGATGAGTTGATCTAAAAAAAATGAATTTTGCCAGATGGATAAGAGCATTTCAACATTTGCAGTAGAATGATCAATACCAGCAAGAAGTAAAGAGATACAAGAAAATCTAGAATATTGGAGGAGTGGGATAAGACTCGGGCATGGCTGACAACTCAATGGGTAAAGAGTAAAAGTCGGAGATGAAATCAGGAAGGTAAGTCAGGTCAGAGTCTAGTGTTATGCTTAAGTCTGATGAGATGGTGTGCTGTAGCAATAAATAAACAAATAAACAAACAAATAAATAAACAAAGGCTTTGTGCCAGAAAGACTAGAGTAAGAATTCCAGTTCTGCCACGTAATGATTTGTATTTAGCTTCTCTGAGCTTTAGTTTCATGATATATAAGACAGATTATCCCATCTCCTGGGGTTAGTAAAAGAATTAAATGAAAAATAAATAAATGAAATAGTGAATTAAAAATATTTGGGATAATCTTCAACAAAAGGCAGATAACATGTAAAGACCCTGACACAGAGAAAATAGGTAATAATATGTAATAACCAGACCCCTTCCTCTCTATTCTACAGGTAACTTAATATCAGTGATTGTTGTTAAGGTAGAAAAAGTCATGAAATCTTAACAATTCATGTCTTTCCAATCCATCTCCTCCTTCCCAATTTTATTGCTGACACTCTTAGTCTGGCTCTATCTTGCCCCTTCAATAAATCAATGCTTCCTGTTTCTTGTTATTTTCCCCTTAATATATTCCATATGTGGTTGCTAGATCAAGATTCTTAAAACCCTATTTTGCTATGTCATTTCCTCCTTACCTGACATTAAAAGCTTTTCTCTACTGGGTACTGGTTGTGCATGCCTGTAATCCTAGCTACTTGGGAAGCTGAGATCAGGAGGATAGCAGTTTGAGGCCAGCTTGGGCAGATAGTTTGCAAGGCCTCATCTCCAAAGTAACCACAGCACTTGCCTAGCATGCTGGGTTTGAGCCCCAGCACTGGCTAAAAAAAAAAAAAAAAAAAAAAAATAGAAGAAGAAGAAGAAGAAAGGAGTTGATAAGGCAAACTAGCATCCGGTTGGTGAAAGGCTTTTTTTTTTTGGTAGGACTGGGGTTTGAACTCAGGGTTTTGTGCTTACAAAGCAGTCACTCTACCACTTGAGCACAAATGTGCTTTTTCTACATAGGCCACTCTCCAAAGTAACCACAGCAAAAGGGACTAAAGGGGTGGCTCAAGTGGCTTCCTGCTTGGTGATGTGGACTTTTTCCCTTGCACATGCTCCTGCCACTGTCAAGTGACACGAGATGATGTAACCCAGGGGAACCTCAGGAGAACCTGCACCAGGCTGCTTGGGCATTCAACCTATAAAACTATGAGCTAAATAAGCTTCTTTTCTCTCCTTTCATTTTTCTTTTTGACAGTACTGGGGTTTGAACTCAGGAACTTGTGCTTGGTAGACAAATGTTTTACTAGTTGAGCCACATCCATAGTCTAAAACCTCTCTTCTTTACAAAGTTAGCCTGCCTCAGCTATTTTGTTATAGTAACAAAATTAGACAAATACAAGGAGTATCACAGCCAGTCTTCACACATATGATGACTATTTGTAGAACGTGGATCAGACTTACTATGTACAGAGTCTAGAAGATGCTAAACTAATGAATAAAATATGTAGTGTATTAGAAGAAAGAACTCTGAAAAAAGTAGAAATGCCTTAAAAGAGAATGTACTATCTTAAGGGTCAAAAGAGGTATTTGCCACATATGAGTAGAGGTGTTTCTGAAATATTCTGAACAGATACCAGTCAAGAAAGGTTCTGAGGTAGACCTACATTAGTTGTTTTTTAGAAGAGCTCTAAGCAAACATATAACATTTTAAATAAGACCACAGGTTTTGGACTAAGGCAAATTTGAATTTGAATTTTGGCTCTAACACTTGCTATATATATGTCCTTGGACAAAATAATCTTACTAGACCTGTCTCCTATTCTGTAAAATGGAGAGAATACTTTCTTTCTTTCTTCAAGTTATTATTATTATTATTATTTTTTTGGTGCTGGGAATTTAGCCCAGGGTCTCATACATGCTAGGCAGTCACTTGGTCACTGAGCTATATCCCTGCCCCAAAAATAAGGTATGTGGTATTCTTTTGTCTGGCAAGTGGTATTACGGTTGCAGCTAAATACTTTAGTACCTAAAGCTTCAGAAGCAATGACTTACAGGTGCTGTGTAAAATAAGTTCTCCAGGAGACTCTGGTCATATTGAGGGTCATTCAGCTCACTGCTGCAATATACATCACTCCCAGGACATGGGGAATCTGGAGGAGAGCCTAATCCATTCCAGAAATGACCTTGGGATAATTCAGCACTGCAGAGATGAGAAAAAACATACCAGAAGGACTTTAACAGAAGTTTCAATGGGACCATTTTTATCTTTAGTAAAACTTTCTAAAGTTTAGCAGAAAAAGATCTGTTAAACCAAAGACTTACAATAAACAGAAGACTACAGGATAAATATTATCCAATCATATTGCCCCTCTTCTGGGATGAAAACTAGTACTCAAAACTCACTACAGCCCACTGATTGTGATCTCACTCATCTATTCAACAAACATTTGTTGGTCATCTGTTATGTCCTAGGTCCTGGATGATACAGAGATTGCTAACACAATCTATATTTTTGTGGTGTCTATGCTCTACTAGGGAGAAAAAAAGGCAACTATAATTTAATAAATTAGTTGTTGTATGTTGTTTTTGTGAAAAAAGGACTAATTTGTAAATATGACCTCTTCCATTAAGCAAACAAGTGTATTTAGGATTAATTATGGTATGATTTGAATAAAACACTCTACTTACAAGGAGTTTGTAAATAGGAAGATAAGCATTTAAATAACTATAAACTAAAAATATTTTAAGGAATAATTCCTCTGTTCAAAAATTTCCTTAACACTGTGATACCATTTTAGAGAGCATTTTTATTTTCTACCTTTTCTTTTGGGTCCTTATATAAATTCTATATTGCTCCTTAAAGTATAAGCCCCTTGAAGGGCAAGCACATGTATTGTTTTGTTTTCTTTCTCTTATAATAACTACCATTTAATAACATGTTATTGAACTTAATGAATTTTTATTGAACAGCTAATGTTAATAAATAAAAGGAACAATATTTATTGAGTACTATGTACTGGAATTCCTAGCCAGAGCAATTAGGCAAGAAGAAGGAATAAAAGGAATACAAATAGGTAAAGAAACTGTCAAAATATCCCTATTTGCAGATTGACATGATCCTATACTTAAGACCCAAAAAACTCTACTCAGAAGCTTCTGAGAACATCAATCAATAGCTATAGCAATGGTAGCAGGATATAAAACAATCATAGAAAAATCCATTAGCATTCTATAACACTAACCAATGAGCAAAAACGGAAAAAAAGAAGTATGAAAACAATTCATTTACCAATAGCCTCAGAAAAAATCAAATACCTAGGTTGTAAAACCTAAACAAAAGTGTGAAGACCTCTACAGGAAAACTTACACTTTAAGAAAGAAGATTGAGGAAACTATAGAAAGTGGAGAGATCTCCCATGTCATGGATTAGTAGAATCAAACAAGTAAAAAATGTCGATACTCCAAAGGTAATCTACATGTTTAATGCAATTTCCATCAAAATTCCAAATGACATTCATTATAAGAGATCGAGTAGTACAACCTCGGAAAAAAATTTGAGGCTACTTAAAAAGCTGGACATCGAATCTACCAATTTGATCCAGCAAATACCAACTCTTGTTTTGATATACCAAAGACTGTACTCCAGAGGCACCTGCACATCCATGTTTATTGCGGGCACTATTCACATAGCCAAGTTATGGAAACAGCCAAGATGCCCCACACTGACGAATGGATTAAGAAAATGTGGTATCTATACACAATGGAATTTTATGCAGCCATGAAGAAGAACGAAATGTTATCATTCCTGGTAAATGGATGGAATTGGAGAACATCATTCTGAGTGAGGTTAGCCTGCTCAAAAGACCAAAAATCGTATGTTCTCCCATATGTGGACATTAGATCAAGGGCAAACACAACAAGGGATTGAACTATGAGCACATGATAAAAGGAGAGCACACAAGGGAGGGGTGAGGATAGGTAAGACACCTAAAAACAGCTAGCATTTGTTGCCCTTAACGCAGAGAAATAAAGCAGATACCTTAAGCAACTGAGGCCAATAGGAAAGGGGAACAGGTACAGAGAAAAGGTTAGATCAAAAAGAATTAACCTAGAGGTAACACCACGCACAGGAAATCAATGTGAGTCAATGCCCTGTATAGCTATCCTTATCTCAACCAGCAAAAAACCCTTGTTCCTTCTATTAGCTTATACTCTCTCTACAACAAAATTAGAAATAAGGGCAAAAAGTTTCTGCTGGGTATTGAGTGGGGGGAGAGGGAGGGGGCAAAGTGGGTGGTAAGGGAGGGGGTGGTAAGGGAGTGGGGGAGAAATGAACCAAGCCTTGTATGCACATATGAATAATAAAAGAAAAATTAAAAAAAAATTCCAATGACATTCATTAAAGAGATTGAAAAATCTACTGTTAAATTTATATGGAAACACAAGAGGCCACAAATAGCCAAAAGGCAATACTCAGTCAAAAGAACAATGCAGGAGGCATCACAATACCTGACTTCAAACTATATTACAAAGCAATAACAATAAAAACAGCATGGTACTGGCACAAAAACAGACATGAAGACCAGTGGAACAGAATAGAGGATCCAGATATGAAGCCACACAACTATAAGCAACTTATCTTTGACAAAGGAGCTAAAAATATACGATGGAGAAATAGCAGCCTCTTCAACAAAAACTGCTGGGAAAACTGGTTAGCAGTCTGCAAAAAACTGAAACTAGATCCATGTATATCACCCTATACCAAGATTAACTCAAAATGGATCAAGGATCTTAATATCAGACCCCAAACTCTTAAGTTGATACAGGAAAGAGTAGGAAATACTCTGGAGTTAGTAGGTATAGGTAAGAACTTTCTCAATGAAACCCCAGCAGCACAGCAACTAAGAGATAGCATAGATAAATGGGACCTCATAAAACTAAAAAGCTTCTGTTCATCAAAAGAAATGGTCTCTAAACTGAAGAGAACACCCACAGAGTGGGAGAAAATATTTGCCAATACATCAGACAAAGGACTGATAACCAGAATATATAGGGAACTTAAAAAACTAAATTCTCCCAAAACTAATGAACCAATAAAGAAATGGGCAAGTGAACTAAACAGAACTTTCTCAAAAGAAGAAATTCAAATGGCCAGAAAACACATGAAAAAATGCTCACCATCTCTAGCAATAAAGGAAATGCAAATTAAAACCACACTAAGATTCCACCTCACCCCTGTTAGAATAGCCATCATCAGCAACACCACCAACAACAGGTGTTGGCGAGGATGCGGGGAAAAAGGAACCCTCTTACACTGTTGGTGGGAATGTAGACTAGTACAACCACTCTGGAAAAAAATTTGGAGGCTACTTAAAAAGCTGACATCGATCTACCATTTGATCCAGCAATACCACTCTTGGGATATACCCAAAAGACTGTCACAGGTTACTCCAGAGGCACCTGCACACCATGTTTATTGCGGCACTATTCACAATAGCCAAGTTATGGAAACAGCCAAGATGCCCCACTGACGAATGGATTAAGAAAATGTGGTATCTATACACAATGGAATTTTATGCAGCCATGAAGAAGAACGAAATGTTATCATTCGCTGGTAAATGGATGGAATTGGAGAACATCATTCTGAGTGAGGTTAGCCTGGCCCAAAAGACCAAAAATCGTATGTTCTCCCTCATATGTGGACATTAGATCAAGGGCAAACACAACAAGGGGATTGGACTTGAGCACATGATAAAAGCGAGAGCACACAAGGGAGGGGTAGGATAGGTAAGACACCTAAAAAACTAGCTAGCATTTGTTGCCCTTAACGCAGAGAAACTAAAGCAGATACCTTAAAGCAACTGAGGCCAATAGGAAAAGGGGACCAGGAACTAGAGAAAAGGTTAGATCAAAAAGAATTAACCTAGAAGGTAACACCACGCACAGGAAATCAATGTGAGTCAATGCCCTGTATAGCTATCCTTATCTCAACCAGCAAAAACCCTTGTTCCTTCCTATTATTGCTTATACTCTCTCTACAACAAAATTAGAAATAAGGGCAAAATAGTTTCTGCTGGGTATTGAGGGGGGGAGAGGGGGGGGGGAGTGGGTGGTAAGGGAGGGGGTGGGGGCAGGGGGGAGAAATGAACCAAGCCTTGTATGCACATATGAATAATAAAAAAAAAAAAAAAAAAAAAAACTGCAAAAAAAAAAATAATTGGAGGTACTATGTGTCAGGCAACTACCTATGTATTTCATTTATTTTCTTTTCCACTTTTGCTTCCCTTTCAAGCTAGCTGCTATACTTTTTCTTTAATTTCTCAAGAAAATAGTTCATAATCAGTGCCTTCAAATGAGACGATATTGTTCCATGATCTTTGCATAAGGAGCTGCAATCAATGCTTCCTTTTACTCACTCTCCATCCCAGTTGTTTGCTACCCACCTTTTGCAAAGCACCTTAAAATGGACTCTACACTTCAGTATATAAGTGCTCCACATATAAGCTTTCTGATTTTTGCAAATTAAGAGTTTTTAAAAATTTATTCACCTGCCTATGACATACTAGAAAGGTTGGAATTTTCCTGTGTTTCTTGGCCATGAGACAAGCCACTTTTAGCATATTCTCTTCCTTCTCTTGTTAAACATAATTTTAAATCAAAGGACACATGTATCTATTTTGAAAGTCAAATGAGACTACAGTCCTTTTTATTTTTTGGCAGTACTGGGATTTGAATTAAGAGCCTCTGTTTGCTAGTCAAGGCCTCTACCACTCGAACCATGCCCCAGCCCTTTCATCTTTATTTTTTTTAATTCAGGGAAGGTGAGAAAAATCTTTAGTTATTTTTCAGGTAGAGTCTTGCTTTTTTTTGCCTAGGGTCCTGGACCACAATTCTCCTACTTATCCCTCTCGTGTGTTTGGGGATGACAGGCATGTGCCACTATACCCAGCCTTTCTTTTGAGATGAGACTTTTCTAACTTTTTGCATGGGCTAGCCTTAAACTGCAATCTTCCCAGTTTCTGCCTTCTGAGTAGCTAAGATTATAGGTTTGAGCCAGCATGCCCCTTATGGGACTCCAGTCTTATAATCAAAAATAGTAGTTGTCGTAACTTCTCAGAGGCAATTTCTTTCAATTTCCTGAGGTGTTTCTCTTGTTTTTCACCTCCCTGTTTCCAAGTGATACAAGATGTAACTGCTATTTCTGATTCTTTTCATTTTTTCTAATGAATCTAAACTTCCTATTATGAAAAATGAACTCAAGACTACTCAGATTGTTAGTCTTGGATGCATATTTCCCTTTCCTCTTAATTTGGTCAATATCTATTCCATTCTCCCTTGTCCTTATCCCTTAAAAACATCTTTACTGAGGTCCTGTCTGGCTCCATTATGGATTGCTTGCTCTACAAATATGCACACATCTGAACCTCCTTTTATCACTTCTGTGGTGTATTCCCTACTTCTTGGACTCTAGATCTTACTTGTATTTCTAAACTCTTCCTTAGAAAAGATCCTCCTGCAGTTTCCTGAGGAATAGAGCAAGATAGGTAAACTTTCCAGATTCTCTACATATTAAAATCCTTAATTCTACTGTCACATTTGACTGGTAATTTGATTAGGAATGGATTATTTTCTTGGGGGGGCAGGGATCTGAACTTGCTTACAAAGCAGTTGGTCTACCAATTCATTTTACTCTGTTTATTTTGGAGATGGGGTCTCTTAAACTATTTGCCCTGGCTGGCGCTGGACCTTGATCTCCTGATATCAGTCTCCCAGGTAGCTAGGATTACAGGTGTGAGCCAGGTGCACTTGATTTAGGAATGTAAATTTTATGTGCAACAAATTTGACTAGAGAATGTCTGAAGATACTTGCCGTCATTCATGGGCAGTAGTGGAAAAAACCTGATGATATTACATACCCATTGTATATGTGTGGATCATTGATTTTTCCTCTAGCTCTGAAAGTAATTTAATATTATCCTTTATAGTTAGTTTTTGAAACTTCATAATCAAAATGTATCATTTTTTTCTCTTTTGGCAGCAACTGGGGTTTGAAACTCAAAGGATTCACACCTTTCTAGCAGGACTCTTACCACTTGAGACCATTTCTGCCAGTCTATGATCATGTTATCTTCATGTGTTTTTTTATTCATTGTGCTTCAATGACTTAAAAAAAAGAAACCCATAACCTTTAGGTATTGCTATCTTACCTTATCACACTCAGCCCTAAAAAGACATTAATGTGCTTAGTGCAGGTGGCTCACACCTATAATCTAGCCACTGAGGAGGCAGAAATCAGGAGGATCAAAATTTGGAGCCAGTTCTGGGCAAATAGTTATTAAGACCCTATCTCAAAAAAAATCCTTCACAAAAAAAGGGCTGTGTGAGTGGCTCAAGTGATAAGAGCACTTGCCTAGCAAGTGAGAGGCCCTGAGCTCAAACCTCAGTGCCACCAAAAAAAAAAATCCATTAATGTATACTCTGTCTTTATAGAGTTGCATGTTTTGGACATTTCATATGAATGGAATATTCACTTGGGACTGGCTTCTATTTTTGCCATCACTTTTTAAAGGTCTTACATGATTCCAACTTTATTTTTATTTTAGTGTATATTAATTGTACAAAATAATGGGTTTCATTATATTTTCATATATGATATAAAGTACTTTGATAATCTTCACTACCACATTACTCTCACTTATCCTCCTCTCCTATCCCACTGAATTATTCTCTTTTCTCATGTCTTTTGTTTTTAAGACATGGTCTCACTATGTAGCCCAGGCTAGCCTTGAATTTATAATCCTTCTGCTTCCTGAGTTGCTAGAATTACAGCCATGTACTACACCTGGCTTTGTCTTTTTTTTTAAACACAGATTCTCCATATATGAGAAAACATGTGATACTTGTTTTTCTTAGTTTTACTTAACATGATGATAACCAGTTCCATCCATTTTCCTGCAAATGACACTATTTCATTCTTCTTTGTGGCTGAATCATACAGCTTTGTATACATACACTTTTTTTTTTTATCAATTCAACCATTGATGGGCACTTAGTCTAATTAGTATGCAAGTGTCTCTACTGTACGCTGACTTTAATTTCTTTGGGTATATACCCAGGAGTGCCATGCAGCAGGATCAGATGGTAGTTCAAGTTTTAGATTTAGGAACCTCCATACTGGTTTCTATAGCAGCTGTACTAATTTATATTCCCATACTGGGAATAAAGGTTTCCTTGTTCCTTGCCAGTATTCATTATTTTTGTTTTCTTGATGATAGCCATTCTGACTATGGTAAGATGAAATCTCAATGTAGTTTTGATTTGTATTTCCTTGATGGCTAAAAATGTTGATTTTCTGTTGAGAACTGGGGTTATTTGGTTTCTTGGTATTTAATTTTTTGAATTCTTTACATATTCTGGAAGTTAATTTCATGTCAAATAAATAGCTGGCAAAGATCATCTCCCTTTTGTAGGCTGTCCTTCATTTTGGTAATATTTCCTTTGCTGTGTGGAAGGTTTCAATTTGAAGTAATCTTATTTGTCAATTATTGCTATCATTTCCTGAGCTCTTAGAGTCCTATACAGAAAGTCATTGCCTATGTCTGTATCTTGAAGTGTTTTCTCTGTTTTCCTCTAGTAATTTCAAAGTTTCAGGTTTTTACATTAAGGTCTTTGATCTGTTTTGATCTGTAGATCACTTTCAGTAATAAAATCATTTATACAATATTAGTTCTGCCAATCCATGAACATTGGAGTCTTTCCATCTTCTAGCATCTTCAATTGCTTTCTCCAAATGTAGGGGACTTTCACATCTTTTATTAGGTTTATTCCCATTTTTTTTTTTTTTGAGGCTACTGGTAATGAGATATTTTTTCATTCTTCTTTCTCAGCATGTTTGTTTTGGTATATAGAAAAGCTACTCATTTTTGTACTCATTTCATATCCTGCTACTTTTCTGAAAGGGTTCATTAGAACTAAAAGTCTTCTACTGAAGTTCTTAGGGTCTGTTAAATATGGAATTAGATCATCTGCAAGTAGGAAAAATTTGACTTCTTCCCTTCTTATTTGTATTCTTTTTTATTTCTTTCTCTTGCCTTGTTACACTAAGAATTCAAGCACTATGTTGAAGAAAACTGGAGAGAGTGGAAACTGATTTTAGAGAAAATGCTTTCAATTTTTCCCCATTTAGTATGATGTTTGTTGGCTTTAGGTTTGTGTATACAGCCTTTATTATGCTGAGGTATGTTCCTTGTATTCCTAGTTTCTTCAGGGGATTTTTTATGAAGGGATGCTGAATTTTGTCAAAGGGTTATTTCTACATCTATTGAGATAATCATGTGGTTTTTGTCCTTGATTTTATTTATGTTTTGTATTACACCCATTGATTTGTAAATGTTGAACTATCCTTCTATCTCTGGAATGAAATCAACTTGATCATGGTGTATGATCTTTTTAATGTGCTGTTGAATTCAGTTTGTAAGTATTTTGTTGAAGATTTCTGTGTTACTGTTCATCAGGAAATTATTCTATATTTGTCTTTTTTGTGTGTGTGTCTTTATATGGTTTTGGCATTAGGGTAATACTGGCTTCACAGAATGAGTTTGGTAGTGATTTTCCTCTATTTCATGGAAGAGAAGTACTGGTGTTAATTCTTTTTTAAAGGTCTGGTAGAATTCAGCAGTGAATCCATCTAGTTCTGGACTTTTCTTTGTTAGGAGACTCTTTATTTCCACATCAATCTCATTGTTCTTTATAGATCTGTTTAAGTTGTTTATATCCTCAGCTCAATCTTGGTAAGTCTAGAAATTCATAATTTCTTCTTTACATTCCAATTTACTGGAATGTACTTCTCTAAATATTCCCTAATGATCCTTGAATTTCACTGTGTCTGCTATAATATCCCCCCTTTCATCTCTAGTTTTATTAATTTGGATCTTCTCTTTTTTTGGTTAGTTTAGCTAAGGGTTTGTCAATCTTGCTTATTTTGAAGAACCAATCGTTTCATTAATTGTATTGCTCTTTTTAGTCTCCATTTCATTAATTTCTGCCCTGATCTTTATTCTTTCTATTAATTTTGGGCTTGGCCATTTTTGTTTTTCTAGGACCTTGAGAGGCACCATTAGGTTGTTTACTTGAGAGCTCTCTGAAGTTGAGATATTTGATTAAGGCCACAATGCTAATAAGCAATAGAGCTCAAATTTGAGCTTGACTCTGTTTAAAATCCATGTCCATTTCATCACATCATGCTAATACTGGTGATGGGAAGAGTTGAGAGACAGGAATGGAAAGGTGGGTTGGGGACCAACCATTCTTTAAGTGAAGACAAGAATAAAAGGCTTAAGATTGGATTTTTTATTTATAGGCAATGAACAGTACTTTAAAAACAGAAAAGGGTTTGGTTACTCTAAGAAGAGTTGTTTTAGGAAGATGAATGTAACAATGTACTCGATGAATTGGAGGAAGGATTTTTACAAGGAAGAAAGCTAGTTAAGAGACTTACCTGCCTAATAGCAGCTGTAGAGCTCTCGTGTCAGTTTTTTCATCATGTTTCCAAAATGTACTCTCAGTGGGAGGGAGGAGGTGACCTGCACTGCGGTCTTTAAATTGATTGTTAGACAAGGCTCCAATTCTAAGGTGTGGAAAAATACTTTCTCATTGAGCGGTTAGCAGATGGAAAAAAATCTAAATTATAACTATTGAGCTAAGAGAGTTCAAGGAACTGGTCTGACTCAGAAAATTTAACATTCTTTAGACTTAACTGCCTTAAAGTTATATACATTTTAAAAACTTTAGACTTTGCAAAAAAGCTTTCTACATCAGAACCCCATTTCATTTCTGTAAGGTAGTGAGAAAATATCCCCATTTTATGTGCAACCATTCCAATTCAGAGAGAGTAAAGAATTTACCCATTTAGATATTTAGTAAGTACCAGTGCCAAAACTTAGATTTTGAGTATCTTAGCTCCTACTTTAGGTGTTTTCCCCACCACTTTTTAAGAATCATTTGCTGAACATTTCCAGAACTATCCAGTTTATAACTTAACCAAAACAAACAAACAAAAAACCCCACACAGGTTAACAAAAATTAAGCAATGAGCTGCTTGGGCTTTTCTATCCTGTAACTTACTGTGTTGATGATCTAAGAGAATCTTCTTTTGGAGGAGGATCAACTTTGTCCAACAACATGCTAGTATCTGGGCTTGATTTCATTGCCGAAATCATCATGGCATTACGCAGTTTATTGCCTTGTTCTAACAGAGCTGAGGGTGGCAAAAGAAGAAAATGAAAACTCTAAAATCCAGAAGAATCTTAAAGAAACAAAAATGTCTTTTCTCAAAAACAGAGAACAGTAAGGTAAAACAGGTCTTGTCAGGATTGGTACTAGTAGGAGGGGACAGCATATAAGGAAAGGGTGTAGGACGGTGAATATGGTGGAAATACTATGTACTCATATATGAAAATAGAAAAAGAGACTTGTTAAAACTACTTCAGAAATGGGGAGAAGGGGATAAAGAAGAATGATGGAGGGGGTGAATTCAACTATGATATGTTGTAAGAACTTTTACAAATGTCACAATGTACTCCCAGGAAGATCATCCGGTTTATGTATTTGTTGTTTCCCTTTGGTAACCTCAGCCCCAGGCCTACTGAAGTAGCCCATTTAACTTAGTCACCAGAATCTTGTGGTTGGAAAAGACCTTTAAAGGTCATATTCAACTGGGTATTTAATGTAAGAGGGCCCTCAGAAGGCTATCCAGCCCATGCCCTATCATTTGCAATGGTGTACAATTCACAACCTGTTGAAGTGGTCCTCTCCTGTTCTTTATTGCACATGTCAGACTACTAATTCAGACTGAGTAACAATCTGTCCTATTTCATCTTTAACTCCAGTGATCTTCATAACTCTTATGGAAGAGTTTGTACGTTGGCAGCCCATGAGTTGTGCCTGGTATATTTTGTTTGAACGGTTGTCAATACAGTATTAATTAAAAAAAAAACCAACTACTATGTAGGCTTAGGTAGACAACCTATAGGATGAGGCAGAAGACTTTGCCTTAGAGTCTATCACAATAATGAACTACAGCAAAAGAGAAGTTGCTCCTTTTGATAGGGCAGGGGCTCCCTAACTCTTAACCCATGTCTTCATTTTAAAGTGGGGATGATAACAATTCCTACCTCACTTTGTTTTTTTGTAAGAGTCTGTATATAAAGCAGCTGGCAAGGAGCTAGAACATAATTAATGCTCAATTATTGGAAGCTGTTTTCTCTAGGCTCAAAATCTCTTGGTGATCCTTTTCCCAGCATACTTTTCTTAAAAAGAACTTTCCTCTTTCTTTTTGTTTTATTTATTTATTTTTTTGTAGTGCTGAGAATCAAACCCAGGGCTTTACTACTAACCAAGCTATGCTTCCAGCCCTCATCTTCTTTAGATCTTTATGTTACCTTCTTAATGAGGCCTTCCTTTCCCAACCTGTGTAAAACTAACAACCTCATTCTCACCTTTCTTTCTTTATTTTTCCCCATGGCTATTATCCCCACACATCTATTTTTCCAGCTTATCATTTGCTTTACCATCTAGAATATAAGATCCATAAGGCAGGAATTTGTGTCTTTAAGAAAAAAAAAAGTTATGTCTCTGATACATAGAAGACTGTCAGACATTTAGCAGTTATTGAATAAATGACAATTAAGAGCGCCAGACATTTGGTAGATGCTGAATAAATGACAATTTACTGAATAAACAAATATCACAAAGTATGGAGCCTAAGTCTATTCCAAATATTCCAGGTATAAGCTACCAAGTGCTGAGTACAATGGTACAATTTTCTTTCTTGTTAATGGAGTCTTTGCATTAAAAGAATACAATTAACGGGCTATAATCATGGAGTGCGTATATATGTGTATATATATTTACATATACATATATTTTTGATGGTACTAAGGATTCAACTCAGGGCCTCAGCACTCTACCAGTTGAGTTTTGAAAAACTCCCAGTCCTTTTGTTTTTAATTTATTTTGTTTTTGAGATGGGTTCTTGGTAACTTTGCCTGGGCTGGCCTAGATCTTGCGATCCTATTGCCTCTGCCTCTCAAACAGTTTAGATTACAGGTATGCACCACTATGCCTGGCTGTCTTGAGTGTGTTTTTTAAAATGGGGAATCATAAGATATTTTGAGTTGAAAGCATAAACAGAATTTTTTCTTCACTTAAAAAATATACGTAACTGGGTATTTTGCTCAGTGGTAGAGAGCATTGCTTAGCATGCACAAAGCCCTAGGTCTGATCCTAGCACCACAAAAAACAAGAACAAAAACAAATGTCCCTGCTAATGTAAATTATGTACCTACGTAGTTATCTAAAAGACCTTTATAGGTCTGAGCATGGTGGCTTATGCCTGTAACTGGGAAGCTACTTCAGAGGATCAAGGCTCGAGGCCAACTTGGGTAAAATGTTAGCAAGATCCCCATCTTAACAAATAAAGTGGATGCAGTGGTACACACTTGTAATCCTGTTACACAGGGGGCATGGGAAGGAGAACTGTGGTCTGAAGCTGACCTGGGCAAAAGCAGGACTCTATCTGAAAAATAACTAAATTAAAAGAAACGGCTAGGTGAATGGCTCAAATGGTACAGTGTCTGCCTAGCAAGAGGATGGCCCTAAGTTTCAATCTGTTACCACAAACAAACAAACAAAAACCCAAAAAACAAAACAAGACAAAAAAACGTTTTGTATGAATGCTATAGATATTCTATTTTGGAAATTTTACTTATGGGGATAGAGACAAATTCCTGTCATTCTCCTAATGTCACAGAAAAATATGGTTGACTATTAAAGTATAATGTAAGGTTAACTGCTTTTAACACTCCCTAACATGAGGTAATATAATCCTATTCCTAGTTGCTTTTTTTAAATTTTAGGCTAAGCCTTTACATGGGTAGCCTGTCTCTTCTTCTTCTGTTTGGCTATAACAGAATTTAATTCCCAGACTTAAGATCAGCAGTTAAGATCACTTGCTGTGAGCTGGGTGCCAGTGGCTCACACCTATAATCCTAATTACTTAGGAGGCTAAGATCAGAAGGATCATGGTTTGAGGCCAGCCTGAGAAATAGTTTGTGAGACCCCATCTCCAAAATAACCAGAGCAAAATGGACTGGAGGTGTGGCTCAAATGGTAGAGCACCTGCTTTGCAAGTGTGAAGCCCTGAGTTCAAACCCCAGTCCCACCAAAACAATAAAAAAATCACCTGTTGTGTAGCAAATGGTCCTATTAAAGGTAATAGTTTTCAGAATGTGAAGTGAATTTGGTACTACTCTCTGTACAATGGCATAAGTAAATAATGTTGATAAGGCAAACCTTAACTGCTTTGAATTATTTGGGGACAAAGAGGAACTAGTTTTTTTTATTTTTAATGATAAAAGCTTATATCCAGTTTCCTCTTAAATGGTTCCTTCCCCAAACCTGCAATCATAAGAACCTAATTTACAAGTTACTTGGTAGAGGTTGATGGAAGTGGAGGATGTTGTGTTAGGGGAAATAAGCCTAGCATAGAAAGACAAATACCATATCTTCCCATTTACATGCGGAAGCTTAAAAGTTGGTCTTAAAGAAGTTGAGAACACAACAGTGGTTACCAAAGCTTGGGAAGGGATTGGGGGAGGGGATAAAAAGGAGGAAATGATTACCATGTACAGAGGTGCAGCTGAATAGAAGGAATAACTTCTAATGTTTATATATAATAAGACAACTATGGCTGACAACAAGTAATTAAGCATCTGAGGTGATAGCTAGGCCAATTACCTGATCTGGTCGGTATACACTGTATACACGTATTAAAATGTCACACCGTATCCCACAAATATGTTCAATTACTATGAGCAAATTAAAAGTAAAAAATTTTTTTAAACAAGGTACTTGGGGCTGGAAGAGTGGCTCAAGTGGTAGAATGCTTGCCTAGTAAGCAGGGAGCCCTGAGTTCAAACCTCAGGACTACCAAAAAATAAAATTGAAAAAAAGAAGGTACTTGGTAATTTAACAGGGCTATCTTTAAATGGTGAGTTTCTGGACTATAGTAAGTCTTTGTCTTTTAGTTGGCTATTTAGTTCAAACACAAGTCTTGGTTCCCTTTGTTAGCTGGCTAACAAACAGAGCAATCCCAATAATTATAGCTTAGTCTCAGTTTATAAATATCTATGTACCTGAAAGAAGGTCCTTGGTAGGAGGGTTGTTTGAAGAAAGAATGCATGAATCACTATGACTCTTGGCAACTGTCTTAATTTGAGGCTGAAATTCAGAACTGTTGAGAAGGGACATCTGCTTCCGTGGAGCTTTGCCTTTTAGAATTTCAGACTCTAAATTCTGTCCTGAATTAAGATGGTGCTGCAGTCCAAAGAAAGAATCCTTTACCACATCAGCGTTATCTGTAAAGTACAAGTGATCCTTTCCCCTGGGTTAAAAAAAGGAGAATGTCAGCAGTGTATAATCCATTATGGTAACATTCTACTGTGTCAGATCTAGGAAGATCAGTGATGGTGATGTAACTTGGACTCTGAAACAGGTACCTTACTTGCAATGTCACTTTGTAAATCTGTTTTACATCTTCTAAATTAAAGAAATAATAGATACTTTACTTACAATTGTGGGTTGTATCTTATGTGAAATAATGAAATAGAACTCAGTGCCTGCATGCATATACACACATACACACAAAGGGAAGACGGTCAGCATGGAGCATGACAAAAAGCAAATGCTTCATAAAGAATTATTTAAGACAAAAATCTGTTACTCTTATCCATTTTGTTTCAAAAAATAATACTCTTTCTCTCTTTTCCTTCATGGACATCTATCATGGCATTTATAAATTATATAGTTGTATTTATTTGCATGTTAGATTCTCTACTACATTGTGAGTAGTCCTTCAGGACAGAAAATGTATGGGTTTTTTGTTGGTATTTTTGGTTCTGGCATGCTAGATACATGCTTTACCACTGAGCTACCTCTCTAGCCCTAGGAATTGTGTCATTAATTTCCAACCAGGACCATAGTGCATGTTTAACAAATATCTTGCTAAAGGAGTGACCCGGGCTAGAGGTGTGGTTCAAGTGGTAGAGCATTTGCTTTGCAAGTGTGAAGCCCTGAGTTCAAACCTCAATCCCCCCACCCCCCCAAAAAAAAAGTATTAAGGAGTGACTGCATTTCTGACTCAGTTATCAGTCAACTGCAAATGAAGAACAGACTCTTAAGTGACAGGGAGTTTGCTAGATTGGTATAAGGTGTGGTAATTACCTCGGTGTTGTTGATCTACTACTGTTGGCTAACTCTTTTCCATCAATTTTAATGCTAGGTATCTCGTGAGACCTTGATGGAATCAAAAACTGGGTATTGCTAGATTCAGCATTGTCTCCGAATCCCCGCTCAGACAAAAGCACATTTTCTGTCATGTCAGTGGTAGGAAGAGTATTGTAGCTATCATAAGTTTCTGACAGAGGCTCCAGAGCAAGTGAGACCTGAAAGGGACATATATACATTAGACATTTTCTTTACATTCACAGACTAATTTTAAGACACCTGTTTGATAAAAATTAAAGTCCTCCATTCATTTCAAAATTAAGTCTAACCTCCTGCCTTCCTCAGAAACTTCCTCTCACTCCTGAGACTCCTTCACTCCGTTGTCCTAGATAGATCAGTTACTGAGGGGTCTCTGTGTATGCCTTAAATTTCATTGCTTCATCTAAGCCTTTGTATATACCTTTACTCCAGCATTAATTCTGTATGTCATGTTCATTGCCTTCTTCATGTTTCTATTTACTCTGTATCTGTACAGCAATACATCAGTAAATCCAGTAATTTACTGAATACTACAGTCCAGGAACTATGTGTGTTGTTTGTCATACAGACAAGCTTCAGTGATATTATAACTCTACCAGGAAAATATGTTATCATAGCTTGAAGATTTAAAAACAAAACCAAAAGATTAGAGAAGGTATTTGTATCTTTCAATTTATCATCCTGATTGGATTATGAACTCCTTGAAGGCATGAACCATCTTTTACAGACTAATTAGCACTGTACCATAGGCCTAGTACTCAAGCCTGATATACCTAATATTCTGATGAATAAAAGAATGACATGGAACCTTCTGCATTCCTATAGTTAGCTACTTAGGACAAATAAGTCCCAAGTTCTATCCTGGGGATGACATAGGGTGAGAAGGGAGGAACACTAAGATGAAAAAATAAGTTTCTGCTAGGTGTGGTGGTAAATGACTACAGTCCCAGCTAGTTGGGAGGCTGAGGCAGCAGGATCACCTGAGCCCAGGAGTTGGGGCTAGCCTGGGCAAAAGAGTGAGATCTGCTTTCAAAAAAGAAGGTGAAAAGTTTCTTTATTATTTCATTCCTATGAGTTCAAGTTCACTATTAAAAAATCCTCCAGTCCTCTGGAAAGCCCAATAGAGAAAAGCAAAATGGAAGAAAAAATAATAGAGCCTAAAGCAAAACTTTGAAGTTGAAATAAAAAAAATACTCCAAAAGAAAAGAAGAGCAGTATTGAAAGTTCAGTTTTGATGACAGAGACAGTAGAAGAAATAGTTTAAGCAGCCAAAGACAGTCAAACAATAATGACACAAAGGTGAAAAAAATTTCAGTTAGATGTTTTAGATTATCTCTGGAAAGGTCAATGAGACATTTTGTGCAGGGAAACTTAATATAAGCCAGGATCTTGATTAGCATTCTGATCACAGACCAGGTAATATAAAATCTTTCAAATCTCTTCATCATCAAGTTTTCCCACAAAGACAAATGACAGGAATGTAGAGGGGCAAATACTCTGTGCAGTGATCACTGAATAGTATCTCCTGAAATCCTGGCTATAAATGTCAGGAAGCGTTCTCTTATCATTCATCACTTATTGAAGATACATGTAACCACCACCATAATCAAGAAATAGAACAGTTCTATTTCCCCAAATAACTCCCTGTGCTATCCTTTTGTACTCACACCCTCCTTATCTCTTACTCCTACCAATCACTGATTACAGTTTGTCTTTTCAAGAATGCCATACGAGTATAGTCACACATATAACCTTTTAAGATGGGTTTCTTTCACTCAGCATCTAATCCTTCTGAGATCCTTTCATGTGGTTATGTGCACCAGCGGTCCAGGCCATTTTATTGGCTGACACTCCATTATTAACACAGCTTGTCTCATTGGTTGTTTTTTTTAAACACTGAAGCGGCCTTGCATTCCTAGGATAAGCCTCACTTCGTCATAGGATCACTCTTTTTATACATTGGTGGACTCAATTTGCTGATATTTTCAGACCTAAATTCATGAGGGATATTCCTCTATAATTTTCTTATACTGTCTTTCTTTAGTTTCACTTTTGAAAAAACTTGTGTTTTCTCCTCTTTGATTTTTCTGAAAGAGACTATAAAATTGGTGCTATTTCCTCTTTCAATGTTTGGAAGATGTTGCCAGTAAAGTGATTTGGGCTTAGAGATTTCTGTTTTGGAAGGTTTTAAATTACAAATTCAATTTTCAAAAGAGCTATAGGTCTGACAGGTTACCTATTTCATCTTGGGTAAGTTTTGTTAATTTATGGCTTTTGAAGAATTGCCCTATTTCACCTAAGTTGTCAAATTTATATGTATAGAGTTGTTTGTAATATTCCCTTAATATCTGCAGGTTCTGTAGGCTGCTGTATTAGTTATAGCAGAATCAAGAAGAATGTGGAATATTTCTTGTGTGTATGGAAGAGAGGACAAGAGAGGAGGAGCATAGTGGGTACACACCTGTAATTCCAGTTACTTGGGAGGCAACAATTAGGATCATGGTTTGAGGACAACCTGACAAAAATTTAATGACACCCCATCTCAACAAACAAACCAGGCATGGTGGTACATATGTGTAATCCCAGCTAAGGCAGGAGGCACGAGTAGTTGGATCAGCCATAGGCAAAAGTGCAAGAACCCATCTGAAAAATAACTAAAGTTAAAAAAAAAGGACTGGGGGGCATGATTCAAGTGGGAGAGCACCTGCCTAGCCAGTGTGAGGCCCTCAGTTCAAACCCCAATAACACCAAAAGAAAGGAGAGAAAGAAGAAATTTAAAAGAAATGGGAGAAGGCATATTTCTTTGTGGAAGAGAATATTCCCAATGTTTTAAGTGTATAACCCAATGTGATTGTGTCAAAAGATACAATTACAAAACAGACGATAGTAATCATACTATGATTAGTATGTGGAAAAGATGCATGGTAAAACAGAATAAACAGAAAAGTATTGAAATTTAAGTACTTGTTTTAATGCAAATAAAATAAGTGGTATTCCTGTAACACAGTTAAAACAAAAAGCTAGAAGGAATCAATGCCTCTTATAGATAAAATTTTAAAATTGTCTACTAAATGCAGTAGACTTTATGTATAGTAAATAGTATTTACATATGCAGGTCTAATTAACCTTATATTTGTTCAAGACGTTAGTAGTATAGCAGCAAAATTAAAAGGCAGGTTGAATGAAAATGTTAAATAATTTGTCATTTTTCTTTATACCTGATGAGAACACACAGATAGAAAGAGCTCCCGAAAGCTCTATTTATTTAAAGTATCAAGGAGAATTTTGGTGTAATTGAAACACTTCTGGACATGATGTTCATGACAAACATATCATCAAGAAGATGATTCAGGCTGGAGGCGTGGCTCAAGCAGGAGAGTGCCTGCTGAGTTCAAACCCGGGTACTGCCAAAAAAAAAAAAGAAAAAGAAAGAAAGAAAATGATAACTCTCAGCAGGGTGAGGTGGTGAACACATGCAATCCCAGCACTCTGGAGGCTGAGGCAGGAGAATTGAGGGTTAGAGGTCAGCCAATGAAGTATAGTGAGACACTGTCTCAGAAAAAGAGAAAATGATAGTTCTCTTAACTGAGAAGTCTTGAAAAGTTTATCAAAGTCAGATGACAACGCAATGGCCTTTGTTGACAGTGGACTTGTTTCAAAATCTAAATCCCCAGGGGCACCATTTGCAAGGACAGCACTATAAACCTGTGTGCTACCTTCTTTACTTTGTCTAAACAGCAAAAGTCAAACCACATCTAAGTAATTCACATGTGAACTAGATTCCTGTGCTCAATGTTTTGCTTGATAACTGGATAAGCACTTAGGGTAGCATGTTATCACTACATGGGTATTAAGACGGTTAGTGCTAGGCAAGGTGTTAAAGAAATATTTTGTGAACTTGAGCTTGATTTAAAAGAAGTCTCATAATTTATGTTGTCCAAGGAAAAATCCCAGACTCAGATCACTAGCAGAGTGACAAAATATAAGGCTCTTTTAGTTGACATTACAGTCCATTTAAACAATCTGGGCACTCACAAGGAACTGTATAATACAGCATTTATTTTATTCATTTCTCCATGATTTTATCTTTGGAAAATTTATTAAGCAAGGAATGATCTGTCCTACTTTTCCATATTTTGTATGCTCAAAGAGGATTTCCAGAAATGAAAGTTACAGTATAAAATACATTTCTAAAATAATAGAGCTAAAGACTTACGTCCCAAAAAGATGTTTTTGATTTTAAACTTAATTAAAACTGCTGGGTGTAGGGACTCAGGCCTATAATCCCAGTTACTTGGAAGACAGAGATTGGGAGGAATGGGGCTCAAGACTAAATGGACAAAAGTTAAGTGTTTAAATCTCCTCTTAAGATTCAGACACATCAGGTATTCTATAATGCTTTTTTGGTTTTCTTTTTTGGGGAAATCACTCCCTAAGCCGCAGGACATATTCTCCTTTGGATGAGCTGCCATCTCTGTCTGGTAGACCGCTGCCACCCTTAGATCTGTTTTCACCGTTATGTCAAGGAATTTGTCTCGCTTTTCTCCTGTGTCGGATCTCATTTTCCATTAATCTACCTTGTCTCCCTTTTGAGTTTACTAAAATCCTTCAGCCACTTTGTCAAGAAGCAGATGAGAGGGGTACAAGTGTTTGGGGTACAAACTTTGTACACATGAAAGCTTCATTGTTCTACCCTCATGCTAGATAGACAATTTGCTAGAGGATTCTAGGCCTAGGCCATTTTCATCCAACATTCTGAAGGCATTATTGAATTGTCTTCTGGCTCCAAATGTTGTTATTGAGAAGTGTGAAGCCATTCTACTATTTTTGCAGTACTAGGTATTGAACCCAGGGCCTTGTGCATGTTAGGTAAGCACTCTATCACTTGAGTTACATCCCCAGCTCCAAGGCCTTTCTCTTTCTCTGTCTCTCCTTTTGGAGGTACTGGTGTTTGAACTCAGGGCCTTACAATTGCTAGTTAGGTGCTCTACCACTTAAGTCATGCCTTCAGCCTTTTGTGCTTTAGTGAGTTTTCAGGCTTTTTGCCCAGGGCCAGCCTCAGACTCTTACCTATGCCTCCTGAGTAAGCTATGATTAGAGGCATGAACTAGCATGCCTGGTTTGTTTGTTAAGATGGAGTTTCACTCAGGCAGGAGTAGCAATACTTATCTCTGACAAA